TCCTGGAGGTTTGAGAGCACTGCCTCAATGGAAAATGTAATACTCCTAGCTTGATTAAAGAAGTGATATGATTAATACAATGATTTTTAAATTAAATCATCATAGTTTTGATGGATTCAGAATTGTATGAAGTTATATACTCTTGGTGACATAATCATCATATATCTGTTTGAAAAGAGCATCATCAAAATTGCCTGGGCTGGCATTGTCCACGGTGCTGAACTTCCCTGCTCATTGCCAGGGACCTCCTCTGTGATTGGGACTGGAGGCACTGAGGGATCCAGGAAGAACAACTCATCACATAATAGAGACTCCATGCACGGAACCAGGCTGTCCACATCTCTTGCTATTGGGCCAATCATCGTGACAGTGAAGGAAATAAAACAAAATGCTATGGGTAAGAAAGAATTTCTGTGCTTTTCTGATTCTGCCTTTTCTTCAGCAGCCAAGACAAGAAGAGGGACTGTAGCCGAGTGATAGATCCATCTTCTGGTTTAAAGGAGCAGGTAGCAGGTGATGAGAAGGATCTCTGATGTGGAATTGGTGTCAGTCTATACTGGGCTGGGTGGGCAAGCAGTCTGATCTGGTTTAAGGAAGCTTCCTGTGCACCTTAAAAATGATTTCCCCAAAGCTCCAAACACAACTTTAGCAGAAGTATAGATGCAGTTCTCATTGAGACACATTTCAGTTTGCACTGGTGGGGCAGAGATTCAAGTCTTTTCTTCACTCCAGAAGACCAGCCTTCATGTGCAGTTTGTCTTCCATGGTCTCCATCTCAGAGGTTCAAGTAAACTGCATAATGAATCTGTGGCAGTCTTTTGCCCATACACTAACTAGACTATAAATGTTGCTTAACTTTAAATATGTAACTTCAGCATCTGACCTAAATCTGTTCTGCCCTGAATATTTCTGTTGGTTTAAGAAAGAAAGTGCTGCATTCTTCAGATAAAAGCTAAAGTCATCAATGGGACACATGCTCAGTAAGAGAAATACTTTTTTACTATAAAAAAGTATCAGAGATGGTTACAGTCTTCTGGAGGCTTGGGATGTGATGCCAGAAATCATGTGGCAACACATAGCTCTTTCTGTTCATCCCTTCAAATCCCAGGAAAGTTGCAGGTCTCTTGAACACATTTTGTTGTGTTGCTCTTGCGGATTGTTTCCTACCCAGCTTTTCTGCTTATATCTAGGGAACTGTAGAAGCTACCACCTTACCTTTGCTTCATGCAGTGGCTGTACTGAACTGGTGCCTGGCCGAGGTAATGGGCTGGATGAGGGCCAATAAACTGAAACTCAATCCAGAAAAGATGGAGGTCCTACTGGTGGGAGGTTCGACTTGGATCTTGCCCTGTATGGGGTTGCACTCTCTCTAAAGGACAGGGTCCGCAGCTTGGGAGTGCTCCTCGACCTGGAGCTGTCTTTGGAAGCTCAAGTGACTGCAGTGGCAAGGAGCATTTTCCTTCAGCTTTGGCTGATACATCAGCTGCATCCCTACCTGGGGGTTGACTGCCTAGTGACAGTGACACACACATTGGTTACTTCCCGGTTGGATTTCTGTAACGCACTCTACGTGGGGCTGCCCTTGAAGACAGTCCAGATACTTCAGATGATGCAAAATAGAGCAGCCAGGTTGCTGATGGGGACTGGGCATTATAACCCCAGTCCTCTCATATAACCCCAGTCCTCTACCAGCTTCACTGGCTTCCCATCGAAGGCCAGGCTCAATTCAAGGTACCGATAATCACCTATAAAGCCCTTAACGGCTTGGGACCTGGATACCTAAAGGAACGCCTGCTTCCATATTTGCCCTCTCGCCTCTTGAGATTGGCAGCATAGGCCCTCCTCCGGGAGCCCTCCGGGAGAGACATCAGGAGGCACAATACCCAGAGGAGGACTTTCTTTGTGGTGGCACCCCATCTGTGGAATGTGCTCCCAAGAGAGGTCCGCCTGGCACCGTCGTTATTTGTTTTTCGGCACCAGGTTAAGACCTTTATATTTAAACAATATTTAACAATGCTTGATAATATCTATAGGTTTTAATTGTGCAGCCAGGGTGTTTCTGGGTTTTAATTGTATTTGTATTGTGTTTATTTATTTATGTGAGCCATCCTGAGGCTATAAGCGATGGGACGGCATACAAAAACTCTAAATAAATAAATGAATGAATGAATGAATGAATAAATAAATAAATAAATAAATAAAATGCATGTTGCAGGTTATTTCTTGCTGTGATAAAATGTTCTTTGGATGTTTGATATTTGATCTGCCAGATTTTTCTTCCAGAAGCAATTTTACAATTTTAAAGCCACAAAAGGAGGAAACAGTATTGGAACTTATGTAGGTGTATGCCTTGTGTTGGCTACTTGGTGAGGTTATGTGGATTCTCACATTTGGAAGGATGATTAAAAAGGATACAAACTATGTAAAAAGGGGAACAGTATGTCCTGCCTGCCCTGAGGACACTGAACACACACACACACAGGGGGGGGGGGGAGAGAGAGAGAGAGAGAGAGAGAGAGAGAGAGAGAGAGAGAGAGAGAGTCGGAATCATATCTTCGAACATTTGCCACAGCATCAATATAAGCCACTTTAGGCTCTGAACGATATGGGAGCAATTAGACCCCCTCCACTTTGAATTTAGGGAGGGATCAAAGCTTAGTGCTAGTGCAGATGGTTTTTCATTTAGGTTCCCCATTCAATCTGTGGCATCTTCTGTTTTAGAGGGTTTGGAAGACCTCTCTGCCTGACCCACAGGGGTACTATTGCTTGTCAAAATGGAAAATACCAGGCTAGATGGACAGATATATCATCTTAGCTGAAATAAAACAGCTTCATGCATTGCTGTGGGAAGTCTTCAAAGACTCACATCATGCAGCCCACATAAGCAGCATGGCTGCCTTTTATACCAAGTGATGCTCTCACTCTCTGGATCTTGGATGAAATCTCTCTTTTAGACAGCTATTACCCTCTAGGAATGAAGGGCAACACACTCATGCACTGTCTCTTTTAATGAGGTGCTTAGAAAGTTGTTTGTGGTCTGTTGTGGCAGTCTGTCACTTTTGACTTACTCAGTGAGCAGAACCTGGCTAGCCCAATCTGCCTCAGGACAACCTGGGGTGTCATGACAGAGTGGCAAGTTTTCACTCATTTCTTTTGTTATTACTACATTTTTATTGTCAGGGATAGGGAGAGGTACTCGTTCTGCCTTGTCTCGCCAAATAAATTAACCTACCTTAGGTACCATGCACTTGGATTTCATAGAATCATAGAATCATAGAGTTGGAAGGGGCCAAGAAGGCCACTGAGTTTAAAACCCTGCCTAGTGCAGGGCTCCAAGGCAAACCACGCCCTCACACGGATGTCCAGCAGTAACTTGAATGCCTCTAGAGTTGGAAAGCCCACAACCTCTCTAGGCAATTGGTTCCATTGTCACACTGGTCTGACACTCAGGAAGTTCTTCCTGACACTCAGCCAGAAGAATTCCCTGTCGATTACAGCAGTAAGACTAAGGAACCTATTAACTAGGGAGGTTGCGAGGTCTCCACATTTAGGTGGGTTGGTGATACCATATGTTGCTCCACTTAGCCAACAAAATGTCTTGGGCCAAACCTGGTATGAATGAATCTGAAGACTGAAAAAAGCTCAGAAGAGATATCCAAGTCTCTGCTGTTGATATGAAGTGTTTGGAAAATTCTCTTGGAAAATTTTCTTTAATCATAAACTGATAACTGAATGAAACTGAACCTAGATATAGTAAACGCCCTTTGGGGACATAGCAATGGGTTTCAAATTTAAATATGGAGTGGGGTGAAAATTCAATATATATCGAAATGTAACACCATATTTTTCAATGGAGTTACGAGAGTGGGGAAAAAATCATGGCTGGGTCAGTTTTTAATATTCAAACATCCTATCAAACAGGTCCACATACATTTTTCAAGACTAGGAAAGGTCCAAATAGATTTCAATTCAGTGCTTGAAATGGGGTCTCTGAAATGCTGTGCTTTCCAAGTGTTGTTGCAGAGCACAGTGCATAAGAAGGTTTGCTTCAAATATCTCATCACAGCCCATTTTGACACTTTCCTTCCCACCTTCTCAAAAACAGTGTCATGAACATGCAACCCAGATTGGCATGCTCCCAGCTGTCTTCCAAGACCGTATGAGGTTCTTGTTTGAGACTGCTGAGTGGGATTTATTAATGCTTCCATTCTGGTTCCCCCTCCCTTATAAGTCAGTCCTTAACATCAGGATGCATTTTGTTAACATGCTTTTCAACAAGCCAAGGATATTTCCCATGCACACCAGACCACACTACTGTCAGCCTAGAGCTTTCACCAAGGAGAGGGAAGGAGTAAAACAAACTGAACTTGTTCAAGTGTTGACTGGAGTTCTTTACCTCTTTGGCAGATGTCAAATCAAGCAGCTGACTGCATGAAATCAGGCTGGAGACCGAAGGTTGTTCAGCCCTGCTGTACCAGGTCCTGAGATGGTTTCAGGTCGCACCCAGTCTCTCAACCACATTTTCCCTTCCCCTCCCTCTTTATTTTGTTTTGTCGTGTAAAACAATCTTGCTGTGGAGGACTTGAAAGCTTGCCCTTTAATTTATGGAACTTGAATTGGCCTAATAAAGGAACTACAATCAGGAATTTAGATTTTTTTTAAATGTTGTATACTGTTCTTACTATGTGGAAAGGTGTCCTCTTAGTAAGTTTTGCCATCCCCTGCTCAAGGACAGCTGACTCTTATAAAAATCTTCATCCCAGTGCTCATGAAAAACAGAAGAAATGGCAAATGTGCACAACGCTGCACATTTCTGGTCTACCTTTCAATATACTTGTGAAACGAAGCCTTTCTCATACCTAGCTTCTCTCTGGGCATGATGAATCCTATTTAGCAAATGACTGTGCTTTAAATGGAATTTTACATGAGAAATTAATAATGGCAGCCTCAGTCCCTCACTGTGCCCACTGGAACTGCTTTATTCATTTGTAATGCAGTTGTAATGGGGTGCAACAGATTATTTCCTTGCTCTCTTCACATGGACGACTGTCTCCACCTCCTTCATGAACCGAAGGCACAGCTCCTCCTGCCAAGACAGGGCCACACACTGGACGGCCACTGGGAGCCCGACGGCATTGGTAACAGCCTGCGAACAGGGGCAGACAGAAAGGCAGAAGTGGCAGCGTGACCAAGTTGCAAGAGTGTAACCAAAAGTCATCAGGGATTCCCCGTTCCTCCAGCCACCTGGGCAACATTCCGCCCAGAATGCCCCTGTTCCCAGGGCCCTGGACCAGCAACTGGATCCAGCACATGACAAACCAAGTGGAACCAAACAAGCTTATGAAAAGGATAACATATAGGGGTGGAGGGACTAAAACACAGAGACTCAAAGGATAAAATCAGGTAAAAGGGGGAAAGGGATGGGGAGGGGGAAATCGGGCAGCAGCAGCAGTTTACAGCCAACCAAGAAAACCCAGCTCCCAGGGACTTGCTGGGCTGCCTGGATAGAAAAATAAGAGACTAATCCTAGCCTCAGCTATGCACAGCTCCACCACACCTTCTTCAGGTGCCAGGTATGAAGGACATCATAGAATAGGCAGCAGCACCTCCTGGGAGGAGCAAAAGCTGCTCTGTTCCTCAGGCTTTACCCCACACCAGCCTAGGTCAGCTGAGCTGTGGGGTGATGGCCCATCTCTCTGTCCTTGGAGCCAGCCATTTACTCCACTAGCCAGTCATCCCCATTATCTCTGGAGGCCTTGAGGGCATAATTCTTGATTGGTGGCACCTGGTTTTGCTAGCGTGTTGTCAGTTACAGTATTAACCCTTCCCCTACTCTCTGGACCTCACAAGCCGATCCATGTTACAAAGAGAAACGGAAAGATGCCTCTGGTCACGGGCACAGACCTCTTTCAGGCGCTTGTCCCAGGGGTCACCATAATGTCCCCTGTAATGCTTCAGCTCGTCTTCATCTGCCTGCGTGACCGTGGTGACCGGCACAATCCCAGCAGGAAAGTTCAGGACGTTGTATAAATTGGTATAGGATGTTGCAGCTGAAAGAGCAGAGAAGCCATAAATGAAGCAACAATGTTTCCAAGACAGGAAGGACTCTTTTGGTTTTCAAGACAACTTGGCAGAAACCCATCATAAACTGGATTGCCTTCTTTATTTTTCATAAACTGAAATCTGAAGCATTGTCTTTATGGAGAGGGAAGATAATACAAGGTATGTGGCCTATATCCAGACTTTGCCATGGAAAATTATACATTTTTTTCTCTAGATGGACCATCCTAATGACAAGTCAGTATACAGTGGGAAAGGAAGCTACCACCACCCTGGTTATTGTTTTCTAGGTCCCCTGCAGCATGTAGTTAATTAACTGATGCCACATGTAGTGCAAAGCTTAATACAATATAATGAAGAAAACTTCCCTCCAACTCCCTGTAAAATGCAGTTTAAAATTATTTTTAAGTTAAATTGAGCCAACTGCACATTGGTGAACTGTTCATCTTCACCATATGCTACCATTTAATTTTGATATTTAAACAAAATCGAAACAAAATATTTCATTTACATGTCTAGACCTTTCTTATCTTGAACCAGACCTTTTGCTGGCATGTAGCAGGTTAAAAAGTGGTTTGCAGCTTATTACAATTCAAAAGAGTAGGAGATGGATATTCCTGCCAGTATTATGGGAAACAAATTAGGGGTAGAGATAATACCAAAGAGTTTGCCAGGATAGCCTTCATTAAAAGCTGGACCCAAAGCAGGACAGAGGATGACATCCAGCTTCAGCTTCCTCCACTCAGTGAGAAATTCTCTACGGTATTTCTGGAAAGAAACGCACAAATCACAGTCTGTCAAAGTATGAACGTCACACACTGGCCTTCAGGTATGATTGGTGCATCCATGTACTTGTGAAATGTACACAAGTACAAGAAGATGTACACCAAGTGCCCTTCATATATTTCTCTTCATACTTGAGGTCAAAATCTCCCATAAAAATGGCCTTTAAAGCTGATTTCTATATATTTGTGTTCTAAAAATACTTATTTCTATGTCAAAAATAGTATATATTGAAAACAGCTTAGAAAAGCACAAGTGATTACTGATTAGATGACAGCCCAATTATTATATGACCCTGTGAGAGGTTGTCAGGGCTCCCCACCTGCCCCTCAGCGTCCAGGGAGCAGGTAAGAGAAAGGGATTCCTGCTTCCAGGGGGGGATTCCTCAGAGCCTTGTGCTGGCTGCAACCAGAGGTGTGGATTGAGCCCAATAAGCAGCACCTGCGTGAAGGAGCATGGTGGGATAAAGGACAGGCAGGAGAAGGGAAAGTGGGGAGAGAAAAGGGCACAGAAACAAGCGGGACCAGAAGGACTGAGGGCGGCATGCTGACAGCACGCAGGCTAGCCACAGAAGCTGCAGAGACAAAAGCTGTGCTGGTGCTGGTGCTGGTGCTGGTGCTGTGCCTGAGGCTGGAAAGGAGGCGAGGGACACTGAACAGGAAGAGCTGGCGCTGGCCGCACAGGCAGAGGACTGCGGAGCCTAGGCAGTTCTTTCTCCCGGGCATTCACAGAGACAAGCACCCGAGTGGCTGCAGAGCAAAGTGGAGAGCTCCCTGGCATTCTCTTTGTGCATGAGGAGGTAACAGCCAGGCAGAATGGAGGACAGGCTCGCCATCCATGTGGGAGTGGAAAGGATGCAGCAAGGACCCCAAGGAGGCGACCCTCCCTGCCCTAGACCATACCAAGGGGGCATGCTTGTACCTGCTGGTTTAGCCCTCCTATCAAGGCCGGAAGGCCATCTCCTTTAACTGCGAACTGTGTTAACTCCTGGTTAGCACCTAATTCCCCAAATAAACCAGAGTATTAGCGAAACCAGGGTTGTCCTTGGATGTCATGCCATGGAGCGGGGAAGTGTTGAGGTTCTTCTTCCCTTGTGAAACGTCACAGACCCCCTAATTGGCATGCTGGCATTTTACCAAGAGTATGCTGCTATTCTGATTCTTATTACTGAATTTCTTAGTCACCTCTCCCTTAAAAAAGCCCAATGAAGCTTATAACAGAACGTGAACTCACCTCGACTGCCACATGATGATGCCATAGATGTTTTGCTGTCCTAAAACATGGAGAAAATTGAATGGGTACTACGTGAGAATGCTTCTTGAAGAGAAAATTCCTGAATGTGTTCCATGACTGCACATTGATGCCCAGCTGCCAAGAGATGCCATTTGTGCTGTGCTGCCGAGTCTTTGGCTATGTGCTGATGAGCAAATAAAGCTTTTCATAAGGGACTGCATCAAGACTGAGTCAGTCACTGCATGGAACTGGGAGTGACACAGAGCCAGATCTTCCTGTCCTGTACCTTCCTTTAAGGTGCATCTCTTGTGTATCACAGTTTATGTACCCACTGCATGCATCATAAGCCCCGAGGCTTATGCGAATGGGGCAGCATATAAGTTCTCCAAATAAATAAATAAATAATCATGTTTTCTGTGTCTATTATATGCTTCATGTAGGAGATGAATGAGTGGTGTGAGTGTTCAGGGGTTCCAGCATGGCAGTGAGCTGTGGAGTATTAGAAGCCTCAGAAATCCTGCCATAAGCACTTACAGAGACCTGGGAAGAGATCCTTGCAGACCTACAGCCTGTGGAATAGCAACCTGAAATAGCAGTTACAATATTCATGAAAGTAATGAGCTTGTGGCTAATTCTTCCAGGGCCCTTGTGCCCTTAGCAACAAGGGTGTTACTGACTTATGAGAGCATCTAAAGACCAGGAAGTTAACAGAAAGCCTCTGCAGAATAAATCAGTAACTGCAACGGTGCCTGTAAAGCAGGCATAGCAAAAGTCTCAGTTGGAATTCCCAGACCATCAAAAGAATGTGCACTTTGGTACTCCACATCTCTAGAGCAATGTCTTGTCCAATGGGAGGTGGCCTCCAGCTATAGCAAGCAGTCAGTGCAGCTGGAGAAGGACCAGATATCTGCAACTGCTTGAATGTAAGGGCAATTTTGGTATGCCATTTTTGTGAACTAATAAATCAGCTTAGGATCAGAAGAGACCTTGTGGATGCCTCACTGTGCAAACTCTTTTCAGAGCCTTGGTATGGATGGGTATGATCACCCCAGATCAGACAGCTTTGAGTCACTTTATAACCTCTGCAAACCACTTGCAACTCTCAGGTATTTTCCATGATACAACCCACCCAATGAAAAGCACGTCAGTATAGCAACATCACTGACTACCTTAGACTGCCATCACTAAATAGCAACCTTATCAGTAGCCTAGACTTTTGTATTATATGACTAGAATGGAACTACCGCATTCTTCATTTGCAAACATGCAACCTACTCATTGCTTTTCCTTGCATTTCCTATGCAGTAAGGTTTCTAGGAAGGTTCATGTGCAATGGAATGGTCACAGGTGACCACCTTTTTTGAAACCAGGCATTCCTTACCCAACTCCACACAGGGCATTGAGATCTCTGGCAATCCGAGGGTACTGGAAGAGAAAAGCACAGTGACTGGCTCTGAGGATGCCATGCTGAATAGCCTCAGGCAGCGTGGCTTTGTGTGCCTTCCCTTGTCCTTCAAAGGAGTGCTTCCTGTGGCTGTTTGATCAACCCGCTTCCTTTTGCATGCGGACTTCATGTGACTCAGCTCTTGCTTCTGCAGAAGAGTTGCTGAGCGTTGGGGATCCAAAGGCCGCTCAGACTCCGCTGTCCCTCTCGGCTCTGCCTTCCGGGGCCTGCCCTCTTTCCCACTGGCCAGATTGTCCACCAGCCTCCACTGCTCCAATGGCACATGGTGCCTATTAGCAACTTTCAGCATTTGCTGTGATAAGGAACCGTGAGCCAAATACTCACCACAGGTTTGAGGATAAATGCCAAAATCCTCTTCAGAAAAATGGGAAGACTGTAACAATTAAACTGGGATTTCATATTTGGATCAACAAGATCACCTTTACTGGAAGACAAAAGAAGACAGCCAGACATCTTTACAGTTGACAGTGCAGGAAGGGCCAGAGAACATTCTTAATATTGGACCTGTGCTGCTGCCCAAAATGGTAGAAATTGAAGATGGGGGCAAGCAATTTTTTTCTCTGTTCTTACAACACTCAGCCAAGGAATGTACAGCAAGACAAAGGACTGGGGCTCTGGAGAATTGCACTTTTCAACATACATAGAATGAACTTCAGCTAATGCCTCTTTGCTTTCTGGCTTCCTTGTTCTTGGGGCAGAGCTCAGTGGCAGAACATGTGCTTTGCTGGCCAGCACTGAAGTTCAGCCCCTGGCATCTCTAGCACAAAAGCAGAGAAGGCCTGTGTTTGGGGAAAGCCTGAAACGGGCAAGGCACCTCTGAGATCAGTTGTGGGAATCTGTGATCTGCCAATGAGCCTGGGCCTCAGTCCCCCTCTGTCGCAGCCAGCAGAGCCACGGGGGCGGGATGGTGGGAGGGGCAGCACAATCACACCTGAAGATTCCCCTTCACTGAGTCGGATGCACCAGGCATTCCTCTACCTCGGAGCCCCCAAGTTCTCACAGATGCTTAAGTTCATGTCCTCATTGTTTCTGAAACCAAACCAAAAGAGGTCCATCCTGGCTGTATTTCATGTGTGTTTTCACCATTCTTGGCTTTTACTCAATTAAGTTTTATTAAAACTTCATTTTCCACTGCTTAGCCTTTCTAAAATTGTCCTGTTAAAATACATTCCCCACTAACACAGTGACTGATGTCACCAAGGCTTTTGTATGCATGAAACTGTCCAGTTCAGGAGTATTAAAGCAGAACTATCAGGCCTCAGCTGTGTTCAAAGAGCAGGTGGTCTACTCACAACTTGTCCAGTAAATTTGCAGCTCCATCAGAAAAGAGGCCTCTGGTGAAAAGCTCGTCTATTACATAGTTAAGGCGAGGAGGAACAAAGGGGATGAGCTGCAGGAGAAAAATAATGCTTTCAGTTTTACAACAGAGAAACCTATTTGAGAGGCATGTAAGGAATGTGGATGTTGCAAATCAGAATATGTTTGTGGCATCCCTACAGAGGTGGTGGATGAGTGTCAGAAATGGGCACACTCTTCTAGGCTGGAATTCAGATAAGGGATTAAGAATTAAACATACAGTATGCCCTGCTTCTTGCAGAAGATTTTTGGTTTCCCGAACAGCTCTTTTCATGCTGGGAGATGGCTGGAAATATCCATCATCTTCATAGTATCCAATCCGGAGGGGTTTTGAGCTGGTGTAAATCTGGAAGAAGATATAAAGAAATGTTTGTTTATTCACTGAACAGCTACTCATCACATAAATAACCATCTTATGTTTTGATGCAATGGAATGCTTCATTCAGTATCGGTCAATTGCATTAGAAGGTAGCAATACAGCAATGGCACATGAGTTAACTGAAGAGCTTTGGGGACGTTGCTTGAGTGGAAAACTGAATGATCCTAGTTTAGGCTAAGAAGTCATAAAACCAGTGATTTCTCTAATTAAAGAGTCGATGATTCAATGGATTCAGAACGGTACCATGTTTATGCAACAGTACAATCAGTCTAGAAAATATTTTGTCAATATTTAATTAATTAATTAATTAATTAAAACTTTTACATGCTGTCACCACATGCCTCGGCATCTTGGGATGGCTTACAAATGTACAATTAAAACCAATAAAACAATAACAATTCCATAAAATTATATCAAAACAAAAAAAACCCCAAAAAAGCAACGGTTAATGATAAAATATTAATTTTTAAAATAACAATTAAATAAAAAGGTTTTAACCTGGTGCAGAAAAGAATATAAACTCGGTGCCAGGTGCAACTCTCCAGGGAGCGCATTTCATAATCTGGGTGCCACCACAGAGAAGACCCTGCTCCGGGTAGTTCTTTTCATCTCCTTTAAAGAGCACTCCTGGAGCAAAGCCTCTCCCGCAGATCTTAAGGGGTGTGAGGGCATAGAAGAGGTGCTCCTTCAGGTATCCTGGTCTCAAGCCATTCAGGGCTTTATATGTTAAAACCAGCACCTTGAATTGGGCCCGGACTTCAACTGGGAGCCAGTGGAGCTGGTAGAGGACTGGCATTATGTGAGAGTAACGGCCAGTCCCCGTCAGCAGCCTGGCAGCTCTGTTCTGTACCAGCTGTAGTATCCGGACCATTTTCAAGGGCAGTCCCACATAGAGCATGTTGCAGTAATCCAAGCGGGAAGTTACCAGAGCAAGTATCACTGTTGCTAGGGAGTGCTCATCCAGGTAAGGACGCAGCTGATGAATCAGTCGAAGTTGTAGGAAAGCACTCCTTGCCACCACTGCCACCTGGAACTCCAGTGACAGCTCTGGGTCAAGGAGTACTCCCAAGCTGTGGACCCTGTCCTTTAGAGGGAGTGCTACCCCATCCAGAACTCGGTCAAAATCACCTACCTGGAGAACTGCACCACCCACCTACAGGATTTCCATCTTATCTGGATTGAGGTTCAGTTTATTGGCCCTCATCCAGCCCATTGCCTCTACCAGGCACTGGTTCAGTACAGCCACCACCTCACCTGGAGCAGATGTAAATGAGAAGTAGAGCTGGGTGTCATCAGCATACTGATGACTCCACAGCCCAAACCTCCTGATGACCTCTCCCAGTGGGTTCATGTAGATGTTAAATAGCAAGGGGGACAAAATACAGCCCTGCGGGAGCCCATGACTATAGCCATGGCACAGAGCTATAGCCCCCCAGCACCACCATCTGGAATTGGCTGGCCAGATAGGAGTGGAACCACTGCCAAGCAGTGCCTCCTACTCCCAGGTTAGCCAGCCTATCCAGAAGGATACCATGGTCGATGAGAGCTCCAGGAGAACCAACAGGGACACACTCCCCCATCCCTCTCCCTGAACAGGTCATCGTACAGGGCAACCAAGGCAGATTCAGTACCATAACCAGGTCTGAAGCTGGACTCAAATGGGTCCAGATAATCAGTTTCATCCAAGAGTGCCTGGAGTTGTCCCACCACCACCCACTCTAGCACCTTGCCCAAAAATGGAATATTGGCCACCGGTCTAAAGTTGGTGGCCACCTCTGGGTCCAGGGATGCCCTCTTCAGGACAGGATGGGTCACCGCCACCTTCAACGGGGCTGGGACCTGGCCCTCCCTCAGTGAGCCATTAATAACCTCCTGGACCCCAGGACCAGTCCTGTAACTGGTCTCCTTAAGTAGCCAGGAGGGGCAAGGGTCAAGAAGACAGGTGTAGGACGTACCATCCCAAGCACCTTGTGTACATCATCAGGCCACAATAACTGAAACTCATCCATTAAAGAAGGCTGCTGTTGTCCATGGTGCTGAAACTCTTGGCTGTCCCTCTTCTCTATCAGTAATTACCTCTTCTCTGAATGGAACTGGAGGCACTGAGGGATCCAGGCAGAACAACTCATCACATAGAAGAGCTTTCATGCACAGAGCCAGGCTGTCCACATCTCTTGCCATCGGGCCAACTGTTGCTGAAACTGCAAAGGACATTGAGAAATGGTGTGTGCTGTCTTTGATCTGTTCTTCAGTGGCAAAGATAAGGGCTATGGACATTGCTGACAGTTGGATTCAGACACTGGTTAAATGGATCAGATAGAAGTTGCTGGGAAAGAACTATGCTGGAGACCTCCTGCACAGCATTATTGATCTAAAAGGACAAATGGTCTGATCTGGGATAAAGCTGCTTTCTGTGCTCCTAAAAAGAAACTGTTCTTAAAACAACCAATGTGACTTTGGTGGAATAAGTGATAAGTGGAGAACTTCACATCTCCCCTTAATTCCAAAAGTCCAACCTTTATAAACAATTTGTTTGTCTATCATGTTCTCCATCTGAGAGGCTCACAGCAACTTCAGGATACAAGAGGTAGGCAGAGCCAGTGTTGAGAGAGCATGAAAGCTGCAGTTATACAACTTATAGTAGGTCACAGGTTGTCCCTGCCTGATATACTAGCTTCCTGGAAGCCCTCAGTCCATATACCAACAGGACTATAAGGTTCTTAGCTTTAAGAGTGCAAGCACAGCATGCAACCTTAGGCCATTATCTGGGCTCATCTGTTCCCAACACTAACAATTGCATTGTTTTAAAAGTTATTGCTGCACTATTCAAATAGAATGTCACTAATGGGGTGCTGCCTCAATACTTAGCAGGCAGAGGAACTTTCTCAATATTTAGCAAACATAGGCAACTGCTCCAATACAAGAAAGAGATCAGATAATATCGTCAGTTCATAACTAAGTCATCTAGAGGTTTGGTCTATGATGTCACAAACATGCTGGTGAAATATAGTTCTACTTCTGTTTTCCACCCACAAATCCCAGGGAGGTTGCAGGTGTCTGGAAGTGGTTTGGCAACATGCTTAATCCAGATCACATAGGAAACCAGATGATCTGAGCGTCAGCTTCCCTTGAAGGACCAAGTTTCTACTTCAGGGCTCCTCTGGTGTCAGTCCAATCTGAGCACAGGTGGCTGTGGTGGCACTTATTGTCTTTTGCCAGCCTGGGCCGGTATGCCAGCTGTGAACCTACTTGGAGAAAGTTGATCTAGTCACAGTCAGACAAGCACTAGATTAGACTATGGTGATGAACTATGCATAGAACTGCATTTGAAGGCAGCCCAGAAACTTCAGCTGGTACAGGATGTAGTCACTTAGGTTCTCATTGGGGCCAGAAGGCCTGGATGTAGTGCATTGATTCTGTACCAGCTGTGTTGCTTACCAGTGCGTTTCTGCATCCAATTCAAAGTGCCAGTTTGGTCTTTGAAGACCTAACCATTTAGGGATGGACTATGACCCTGCCCATGCTTTAAGATGAGTGCTGGTGGTCCTACTTGTTAACCTTCCTTGAAGATCAGTTATATAGGTTGCATGTGCACAACATGATAAGCAACTTGGCACGGTTACTATGGTTAGCAGTTTTTTACCATGATCTACCTGACAGATGATTAAGTAGTTTATACATTATCATGGTTTCTGTCTTCCAGTTCAGTCCTCTCACATGTTGACATAAGCCACTGAGGCTGAATTCAATCCCAGTGTGCATCACTGCCCACCTATGCTTCCTGCCCTTTCCTCATTGGTCTGCACATAACGCTTGGATGGCTGGATTAGCTCCAACAGTTGCCATTCTTTCCAGAGAACTCTGTGGTAGCTACACACCACGACCACTGAAACTATGATCCTGGGTTCAGACAACATGACAATCCATGATGGTATGGAGAAACCGTACAGCAAACCATTGTTTCTTCTCATGGTTTCTAAAGATGAAGCTTATCATGGTGAAATACCATGGCTGAATTCAGACAATATGACAAACCAACAATGGTAAAACAAATAAACCAAGACCATGGCTACGGTGGGCATTCTCAGTCACAGTTCCTGCATTACAGAATGCTCTTCCTGATGAAGATGAACCTATCCTACTATGCTGCAGTATTTTAAAAGGCTCTGAAACTCCACCACTTTCGAGTAGCCATTAAATTGATGAGTTTATGCTACCCTTATTGAAGTGTTATAACTCTGAGAAGTGTTTGTTCTTCTATTATCCAACTTACATTTGGTTTGGCATTGTAAATGTTTTATTACTGTACTTTCAATTTTATAGTTGCATTTATCTCATTGCCTTAGCCCAGAAAACTGACTTATAAAGAAATACATAAAATTTGGGTGGATACACTTACCTGACTTCATGCCTGCTATAGGGCTAGCAAGGCCAACAACACTAAGAAAAAAGTAAAGAAAGCAAAAAATGTATTAACTACCCACACAGTGGAAGACGGCAACCAGACTTCAGCTGCAAATCCTATCCATGCGTTCAAAACAGGGAAGAGGAACAGGAGGAGTGTGTGGTGCTTTCCTGGATGTTTGAACAAGGGAAAAAATGGCCAGGTCTAGGTTGAACTTTTCCACAGCTGTATTTTGAGACTGGTCTTTATTTTATGCCCGTATCTCCCTTTCTGGTAAGCAAGTCTGGCTGCCTATAAGTGGCTGAGCTGCTGCTCTAGAATACTCTAGAATAAAAAAGAAAGGGGGGAACGGAGAGGCTGATTTAAAGTTAGATGCTTGAAAGTAAGGTGTCACAGTCTTCTAAAACTGTGAAACATCTAAGTTTGCTTCCTCCCAAAATATACATGTACATTATAAACTGTATAATTTCACCTACATTGGAGTAACCATGCATTCATTTGATGGTAAGCATTTATTTGCCAATGTAACAAACTTACTCTTGCAGCAACAAGTTTGCTAAGGGATGTAGCAACAGGTTACTCAAACAAAACTTTGCACACTTCAGGCAGGCATGGTGCAACTTTTATGCAGCAGATACAAGTATAACAAAGAAATATCATATTCAGAAATGTGCATACATTTGAGTAGTGAAGGTTACAAATGCATGAGCTGTCATTGTTTTGTATATTTCAAATAAACAAATCTGTTTAAAAATCTAGAATTAGGAACAAATAGAATTATAATTGGAACAATTTATTAATAATTTAGGTTGCATATAAATTATCAAAGATAATACATCAATGCTTCCCAAAATAACAAAAAGAAATACAAACATAGTAGTAATAATAATGACAATAAAATAGTTGTAAATCTGAGGAAGTGAAATTGGAATATTTATCAATGTAAAAAGAATACCAGCATTAGATGTGCAAATTCATAAACCCCCCCCTTTTTGGGGGGGTTCAAATGAAACATCCCCCAAATTCTATTTGGATTCAGCTGTTTGGCTATTTGTCAATCCAATAGACATTCCAGAACCTACCTCAGTCTAGAGGCTGTTGGTTTGAGTCCACAAATCCCACAGAAACTGGAGGGCAGGCGGACACTTCCAGCAACATCTGTCCCAAAGCCCAAGATGGACCCTCCTCCAGCGATAAGTGCCCCTTCTCCTCCAGAAGATCCACCAGGACTTTTCTTGTGGTTCAAGGGGTTTACAGTCGGACCAAAGATGAGGTTGCTGCAGTCATAGCTGAACAAGATAGAAAGCTGACCATTAATTGACCATTGATCGACCATTAATACTTTGCATCAGCTAACAAAGCCTGGTACAACAGGTCAAGACTGAAATGGCAGGCAAATAGCATCAGGAGAACCACAGATGAGAGAGAGGAATCTCAGGAAACGGATAAAAAATGCATGAAGGAGTTTGGTAGAGGCATTCAAGATAAGAATATACAAACTGCCTTGTTGAACCAGTCCAAACAGTCAGATGTTGGAAAAAGTTCATTCCCACTATATCTTCAAGTAGGAAATTCCCCATCTGAAATAATCTGTGCAAAATATTTCTTATGTGTTCAATTCAGTGGTGTTGCTAACTAGCTCTAGTGAGATTGTTGTAGCATATAATCGACAGACGTGCGATGTAAATAGTGCAATGGGGAAAAGGGGTGAATTGCTGGTGTACTTTTGACAGCAAATCACCCCTTTTCCCTATTGCACTGGTTACACTGGCATTGTCTTAATGCTAGTACAATGTTAATAGCCACAGTGGGTGCACACCACTGGATTTTTCCCATTGGAAGACACCAAATTCTAGTGCTTAGAGAGGGAAAATAAAGTTCCTTTCAAATTACTTTAGGCACTTTCTTCATAATCTACCAGCCTTTGTCAAACCCCCCTCCCCTCCATTTTTTCCTTCCTGAATTAAAAAGGCCTGAGTTCTCAAGCTTTTGTTAAAGTGCATGATATATTTGGAAAATGAGTAAGAGATAGGGAATTGTAATAAAGAGAGAATCAATACTTTATCATGCTCTGGGGAATGTTGGTTTTCACAAATGGGATTGCCCCCTGCTTCTTCAAAACCTTCACTATCACGCTGTCATCTTTTTCAACTTGGTCAAGACACTGCACAAAACCACATGTAGAGATATGGCCCTTTGGGAGAGAAAACACAGCTGGTTTGAAATGATAGGATCAGTGATCCTCAAGCTATTAGAATTTTGCAAAACAAATACACCTTTTTGGTACAACAGAATCAATTAAAAAGCAACACCTTCTGTGACAAAAAGGAGATTAACCCAGATAGAAAGGAACTGTGCAATGCAAAGTCACCATTTGTATATAGATACCCTTCCTATAATATTGTGTGTGTCCAGACAGGTGCTTTGAGATCACTTTTCCTCCATTGCCCAGACACAATGTATTTTAGGAAGTTTTGCAATAATGAGCATCAATCCCCAACCTGGTACCTTCCAGATGTTTTGGGCTTCAGCTTCCATTAAATCCAGCCAAAATAGTCAATGTTAGAACACTAACATTGTAGCTCAGAGCATTTTGGGAGCACCAGGCTGGGGAAGGCTGCAGTAGAAAAGAGTAGAATCTATCATTCCCTTCATAATTGGCAAATATTTATTTATTTAAACCACTCATATACAGCTTGACATCCTAAATGCCCTGAGGGCCACCTTACATGGTATGTATGAAATGCTTATACCATCACTGATGCGGAAGCACATTTCTATTTAATTCTGTGTGCATATGCAGGGCTGGCTCTCCCATGAGGCAAGGTAACCCTCTGCCCAGGCTGCAGACTGCATCCCCACCCCGACCGGGAGTGCCACCAGTGCCACTGGTACAGGAGGGAGGGGGGCACGGTGGCTGAGAGGTGGTGCACATCCTGCTTCAGGCAGCAGGACGTCCTACACTGCCACTGTGTGTACCAGTGATCTGAATACCAGAAACATGTACCAGACATCCATGGCCAACCCCAGCTCCATCTTGTGTGTACATGCAGTGGGGTATGTGTGCATCGGGGTGTATTAGGCACTCAGGTAGGAGAAAATTAAAACGTCATTTTAATTGTTAATATTATTTGCTTATTTTATCTGGCCAGGGTGACTTATTTTATAATGTTAATTTGTTGTATGTATTATATTTTAATTTTATGTTGTGAGCTGCCCCGAGGCTTCGGCGAATGGGGCAGCATAGAAATCTTTTAATAAATAAATAAATAAATAAATAAAATCAGAAAGTGTGTGTATATGTGTATACATGGATGCATGTTATTTTCAGCACATATGCACACATACACACTCATGCATGAACGGGCCCTTCCTGCAGAATTTATTTATTTATTTAGAAAATTTCTATGCCGCCCCATTCGCCAAAGCCTCGGGGCGGCTTACAAATAAATCAATTAAAATACAATAAATTAACAATATAAAACAAGTTAGCAATATAAAATAAGTCACCCTGGCCAAAAAATAAAATAAATAAATACTATTAACAGTTAAAATGACGCTTGAATAAAAAGAATACCCTTTCCACCTATGTGAATGTATGGGTATCTAGTTTCTTTACATTCCTAATAAATGGCTACATTGAGGCCTTTCACAATCCCTTTCTTAGGAATGGATCAGTTAGGTCTGACATCAGATTTGATTTACTTCTTGAATGGGAATGTCTTGGGCTGAGGAAAACTAGTATTTCTATTTCAAACCTACTAATAGCTCCCACCCTTATGAAAAATATAGAAAACAATGTTATGTTTTCCTCAAAGATGGAAAACTTCCTGCTTGTATTTAGGGGAAGGAAAATAGGTACACATGTAGATAATATGTTTCACGTCACTTTCCAGCTTTGATAATAAGTAGCTATTAATGATAACAACAGTAAGCTATTGTCCCTGAATATGGTTACACCTGTTAGGAAAGAGTGATGAAAACAAGCTGTTATCACTTTGTTGTAAAAATCTTGAGGGCCAGTGGGGAAGGAGCAAGTTTAAAAGTTTAAATATTAAAGCGATTGAATAAAAATTAGAATGGCTTCTTGAGGTGTTTTATTCTAGCACTTGACTGTTATTATGCCCAATTAGAGCCATTTCAACAGTGAAGTATGCATGAAAAGCATCCCTTCCATCCAAGATGTATCCATGTAATGCACACTATAATCTAGCTAACTGAGGCAGTTCACACATATGTATGCCCACACACACACACTTTGCAATGTTTGAAGGTACACAGGCCCAGGTCTAAGTGGGGGTAGTCACTACTCCATCAGGCAATGTCACACACTGCAGCTGTAAAAAGAAATTCCATTGCCTGAAAATAGAGTTAGCCCATATTAAATCCTTTTTTCATTTCTATGTCTTTTCTAGAGTTTCATGGTGAGATGGTTAATGCCCTGCATTTTAACAGAAGCCACACAAAAACCTGATTATGTTAACCACTTTTTTTCAAAGCACTAAAGTGAATGAAGCCCTAGGGAAAACGCAGACAAAAAAGGAGAGAAATCAGAACAATTCTGAAAAGAAAGTATTGTATGAACATTTGGGGGGGGGGGGGCTCTATTTTTCTGTTTTCCTTTTTTGCTTTATTTTTCTTTTCCGAGGCCTTCACAAGCAATGCATGTTATTCCCACTTTCATATTTTTTCCTACCAATTAAAAAATAAAAGAATAGCTGTGAAATGTCTTCTAATTGTTAGTACTAGGAGCCCTCCATCTGCAAGCACCCATTTAGAGAGCACCACAAGATAATTAAGGATGGGATAATTGGGGATGGAACCCTAAGAGTGAAGAGAGGAGCACCTTGCATCCAATGTGGTCTTTAATGCTGACAGGAACCCCAAACAGCAACCCTTTCTCCTTTTGCTTCTTCACTTCCAGGAGCTGTTCCTCACACCCACGAATAAAGTCCGTGACACAGTTCACATCCTGGGTCACTTGAAGAGCCTTGCCACAGAGGTGGTGGCATGAGGGAGGAAAAAAAGAAACAGAAGGTTTGCATTAAAACAAAGAAACAGCTGCAAGTCAATAGGTCAGCACTGGCAAATATTCTGGATAGTAAGAAACTCTTCTTTTCAAAGCACAAAACACCTCAGTTTAGTTAACAATTGAATAGCTGCACAGGTAGCAGCAAATTGTAGTGCCTCCTGGGCCTTACAATCATTTGATGCTCCCTATCTTGCTTCAAGTTTATTAAGCCTTGAGTCAAAGGATGCCCCCATTCCTAATCATTAACCATGCCAGATGATGCCGATGGGAGTTGAAGTGCAAAGCATCTCGAGGGTACCGTCTTGAGGAAGGCTTTTCTAGGCCAACTCTTCTAAGAGAACATACTGAGCATTCTCTTTCAAAAGGAGGCATCCAGGAGCACCATATGCTTGCCATGGGGTCTTTCTACTCTGCATGCTCAGGACCACCCTCCAAACATTCCACATTAGGTACTTGTGTAAGGAGCTTATTACACATACCCTGTTTCCCCAAAAATAAGACCTAACTGGAAAATAAGCCCTAGCATGATTTTTCAGGATGCTCGTAATATAAGTCCTGCCCCCAAAATAAGCCCCAGTTAAGATCTCCTGCCAGACGGATGTATTTAGTAGATCCATTGCAACACAATTTGGGGTTTGGAGAGTTATGATGATGTTCCAGAAGAAGATGACATGTCTTTCATGTAGATTTTTGTACATGAATAAATGTAGATTGTTGTACATGAAAAAATAAGACATCACTTGAAAATAAGCCCTAATGCATCTTTTGGAGCAAAAATTAATATAAGACCCAGTTTTATTTTGAGAGAAACACGGTACCCACTCAACACTTCCCTTGCTAATAGTGGCTACATGTACATGCCTGTAAGTGCAATAATACCGGAACACTCAGACTCTAAAGAAGTATAGTATTTTTAGAATACATGTGTGTTGGATCCAGATTTAATTGTAGTTCTAGACCCACAGGAATCAATGGGACTTAACTTAGTAATACTTCCAATAGGTCTAGCTGAAGTACAACTAAGTCTGGATCCAACCCACTGTATTTTTCCAGTAACAAGTTGTTACTGTCTGAAACTTAAACATCACTACCAAACCAACCAACCACCCAGCAAAATCCTGCCCTGAAGAAAGGTGCATGGATGGATCCCTGGGATGAGACAAGCAACAAGTGCCCACTTAGCGCATATTACCCGACAATTAGGTTGAAAGAAACCTAAGGTGGCTTCCTGAAGGCTCACCCTGTCCACTCACCCTCTTTATGTATGTATACAAAACCCTCTCTGGAGAAAGAGACTCATCTCTAAGTTTTTCTACCAGTTCCACTAGAGGCAGGGATAGAATAAATTCTGACTGGCTTTCAGGGATCTGCAAGAAAAAGCATCTGTGTCATGGGAGAAATGACATCTTTAGGCAATAGGAACAGCCCTAAATTATGGGGGCAATGCATTAGACCAGATCACAATTGTGAAACCAGGACAAAAAACTATTGGATCTCTATTTTAAACTGTTATTTCCTGGTTCTATCACGAGCAAGGATAAAATCGGAAAGGAAAGCAAAACCTTCATATTGCTAAACATTCCCTCTAACAGTGAATCCAGGTGATGGCATGCCAATTAATTTGGAAGTTGCCCCCAAATAAGATAGCAATTTCTACAACCTCCAGGAACTTGCTAGGTACGCAGAGGGGCGTATGTTTAAAGAACCTCAATACGACCTGACATGAAATTTGAGTTTATACATTCACATAACTCCCTCAAAGAAAACATCTTCACTATTTCTTGGATGACCATACTAGACCACTTCTGGGGTGGCAATAGATCACAATATTTTGTTGCATGTCCCACTTGTCTCCTAGAAATACAGAAGCTGAACTTTGCAAAGGATATTCTCACTCTGCCTTTAGGACACAGGGTTCCAAGAAGACAATGATGTCTGATTTGAAATGTGATTTGCACTGCAAGACATGGCACTGCTTTCCCCTTTTCAGCCACTTGGAAAACCTTGGCCTTGCTTAAAGGGCCAGGCATGCTTGAAGGTGGGGCAATCACCAGGAACCTCAAGCAACTCTGGGATATGAGCCAAATTGGTTAACTATGCAGCTATGCACTTGAGGATCACAGCAGACCCTGAATCAGCAACTTGTTCTTTCTGTGCACCTGGACTAGGTTATGAACCCTGAGTAAGTGAAGCTGAGCCAGCACCATCTGCAGTGGCTGGGAGATGCCCTTCCACATTTCTATGTGCCTTGACATGCTCCTAAACCAAGGTTTCAAGATGAGGATGAGATCTGTGGCCTTCCAGATGTTTAGGGCTGCAACTCCAGGTGAGATACAAGGGGAGTATGATCCTGTTCATTCTACCAGACTTCTCAGCAGCTTTCAGTACCTCTGATGATGGTATCCTTCTGGACCAACTGTCTCAGCTGGGAGTGAGGGGCAGTGCACTGCAATGGTTCTGCTCCTACTTGGATGGTAGGCTCCAGAAGGTGGTGCCTGGGAGATAGTGCCCTGTCCCTTGGATCCTCCAGTATGGGGTTCCTCAGGGATCAGTCTCGTCTCCCATGTTGTTTAATATCTATATGAAACCATGGAGTACAGTCCTATGGAGTTTTGAGGTGTGTTGTCATCAATACGCTGATCACACGCAACTGTATCTCACCTTTTCATCTTCAGCAGGTGAAGCTATGGATGGGCTAACAATGGGCTGGATGAGGGCTAACAAACTGAAGCTCAACCAAGACAAGACTGAAGTGCTATTAGCAGGTGGTTCTTCTGACCAGATGGAAGGAATTTAAGTTGTTCTGTTTGGGATCACACTGTTCTTGAAGGAGCAGGTTCGTAACTTGGGGTCATCCTTGAGCCATCTTTGTCACTTGAGGCCCAGGTGGCTTCAGTGGTTTGCAGCATCTTCAACCAGCTACATTCCTATCTTGATGGAAATAGCTCTTGGAGCTGTCCTTGAATACCGTTCAGAAGCTTCAGCTTGTGCAAAATGTGGCAGCCAGACTAACAGAGATCAGTCTGAGCATATAACACCGATTCTGACTTGCTTGCACTGGCTTCCTGTATGCTTCTGAGCCCAAATCAAGATGCTGGTTTTAACCTACATGGCTTGGGACCATGACAGCTGACAGAATACCTATCCTGATCACCAACTACCCAGACACTACTACCAAGTTCTGGGGACTGCCCCCAAATGTCATCTCAAAAGGAGGCTGAGTTGGTGGCAACTAGAAGGGCCTTTTCAGTGGTGGTGCCAATTACAGAATGAGCTCCCAACTGAGGTCCACCTGGCGCCAATCCTACAATATTTTCCGCATCAGGTAAAGACTGTCCTTAACTGCTAGGCATTCAATTGGTTTACTGAAGCTTGCTGAAAAGGTCTTAAGATTTTCCTTATTGTAACTTTCGTAACTGTTTTAAATGTTTTTAAAATGTGTACAAGCTTTTTAATGATGTTTTAATATGATGCATTTTATATTGTATTTTTAATATGCTGTTGTAAGCTACCAAGAAAGCTATTGGGCGATATAGAAAATAAATAAATAAATAAATAAATAAATAAATAAATAAATAAATAGGCCTACGATTCTCTCACTCACTTTTGCCTATGCTGGCTTTTGCTTATGAGACTGTACACCAAAACATCTGGAAGGCCACATGTTGCCCATCCTGGACTAGCCCCTTGCCTACTCATGCAAACATTCATAAGTGGTGGCACTTAGAGCAGTTTAACAAGTTTGCACACTAGATTCTGTGTTGAATATTGAAATTCTGCTTTTCCTACTGCTTTAGGTGTCACCTGGTAGTAACATGAAATACAAAAAAATAGTCCCACTAAACATTACATACATTTCCCAGTATCACCCAAAAGATTCATGTATCTCTCCGAAATAATTTTCCTATTTTTGCTGGTTTCCATGATCACAGCTTAAAAGGTTCGTTTCAGGAGCCAGTACTCAGAGTGCACTTTCAGGAGACGCCTCCAAAACACCCCACCCTGAGACACATCACCTTCTGTTTGAACTTCCAAACCGCCTTTGCCATCTGTTCCAGGCTCTCATCCCGCCACTGCCGGGCCTCTCCCATCTTCCTCTGGATGCCTCTGCGCTGCACCCATTTCCACAGCACACCTGCCACGGCCGAGCCACAGGCCACCACAAGGGCCACCTGAGGCGTCAGCCCATCCTTGGCCAGGATCTCCCCCAGCTTCTCCTGGATCATGGCAAAGGCTTCTCCTGCCTTCCCAGCCTGGCTATCCCTCACATCGCTTGGAGCTGGCGCTATTTAAGCACTGGCTGTCGAACTAAGAAAATCCAAGCTTTGGCCCCTCCAAAGGCATCCCAAGACCTGACCTTTGATCGGCTAGATAGTAACTAATCCCCTACAATTTGCTTAATATCAAACAGAAACATGCCTCAATGACTAAACCAACAGTCTTTTCTCATTTTAGTTAAGGTTTACTCATTGTAAGGTTCAGGCATGTGTTCTTTCCCCCACACAGATCCTTCTTGCAGTGGTGCAACGGAAAAATGGCTAGGGGGGAGGAGCAAAGTCCACCACCCACAAAGGTCCCTTGGAGCAACAGTGTCCTTGGTGGTGCAGATCTCTATCCCCGCCCCCCCCCGCCCCCAAGAAATGTATGCAGAGACTATTCCCTTCATTATTCAAGACAATGGACTGATCAGTTTGTTAGCTTAAATTGGGAGGGAAGAAAGCCTTCCATGCTGAGAGAGAGAAAGCAAGAGAGAAAGATTGGGAAGGAAGGAGAGAACCCAAAACAGCTAAGGAGCGTGGTAGGAGAGACAGAGAGAAGCCAGAGGAAGTAGTACACAAACAAGATGCTTAATTATGTACACATGTACACATAAGCATGCGTGCACACACACAGGGGGTGCTTTCATTCCCTTCCCCCTTATAGCATCCATTTGTGATGGTGCCCAGGCACTTTTTCTAAATGTCACATGTGTCCACAGGACAAAGACCCTTGAACAAAAAACAGACCCATCCATATACACATTTTTGCTGCAGGTTTTTGGTGAGATACACCACAGGCATGGCACAAATGGGTTTTCCTTTTCTTCTGTCTATTTTCTTTTATTTGGTATTAACATTGTTGGATGCTTTGAATTCTGTCTGGGCAAAAAGGTGAATTGAAGGGTTGTTGTTTTAATACACTCCACCCACTCAGCAATGGCTTCCCACTGGATCATTCCAAACAATGCCGAATGCAGCCTACTGCCACTAGCAACAGGGTCAGAGGCTTACAGCTGAACAGAACAAGATATAAATAATAAATATTTATGGCCATAATAAAGGCATCCCTATTGTAAAGTAAGGTTCAAACCATCTTTTAAAAGGAGGGAAAACAGCAATTGTATAACTAGCAGAGAAATGAAACTCTGCAAACATACATCTTTTGGAGTGATCTTTTGGAGCCTGCCCAAACTAGCTGAGGAGATAGAGGGATGGGCAGACTTTGACCTGTCTTAACTAAGTCCAACAGTTACTCATTTCCAAACTTAAACTCACTTGTCAAGCTTCTGAATTACTTATTAATGCACCCTTGTCCCTGACTCAGTGTGATTTACCCAGTTTATATGTTTGCATGATAACCAGCACAATGCAATATTGCAACTACTCCTCTCACATCTGGACACAGCCTCCTGGGTGAACCAAGCCTACCCAATAAATACCATTCCCATTATTTATCCCTGTTTCTCCAGCTCTGAGAAGCAGCCTAAATATTCCCACTCATCATGTGGGCATACCTGTGTAGATGTATCTTAACCAATTAATGCCAACAAGTTTTGCCCACCAAAACAAGAAACTGCCGAACATAGATCCTAGCCGTGGTCAGGCCGATGCTGTCCACACCCACCTTACTGAAGCTGTTCTTTAAAAATTTTCATGCAAACCAGATTGGAAAATAGTTTAAAAACTGCAAGCAAACAGAATTTCCTGGACGCTTTATGAACTGTCTTTAGCAGCTCTTGCCCATCCTTCTGAGATGACTAAAGCTACAGAAATTGCCCCTGAGAAAATAGCAGCTGTTTTTTCTGTACAAGGGTTATTACCAAATATCCAAGAACATCTTAAAACCATTAGTGGATAGCAGGCCAAAAGAAGAGGAGCAATGGATTAACCAGTGCCCTAGTAGTCCTAACACAGATACTGAACAAGCATCAGGAATTACTCCTGAATCCTCTTCCCATTGTTCTAGGTATGCCAATACTAGGACAATCAGAAGAATAGCAATACCACCTCTGCATCACTTTTATTCCTTGATCAGTCAGAGTTCATTTCAAATATGTTAAGCCTTTCTATTCACAAGTTCCCCTTCCCAAAGAAACAGAGGAGTATCGTCATCACATCCAGCTTGGTGACTGCATAATGTCAAGGTCCATCAAAGAAAAATATCTTTAGAACACAGATGGAAAGGCCCAAGTACTACTAACATCTCACACAGCTGTGAAATGTAGATTGCCAGATGTGGATTCACACATATTGCTGAAGGAAGACCTCTGAACCCACAGAAAATATGCAGGATACAAGTGCTGGCAACCTTTCCTCTGCAGAAACAGTGGATCTCCAGGACAATCCATCCTGATCTCCTGCATGCCACTTGTGAGCTGTGGAAATAGAGGAACCAGGGCTTGGCCAGTAGTCACCTCCAGATTCATCTGTTCCAGCCAAAGGAGAAAAGAATTTCCTGGGGCAAGTTGAGCTGGAAATAGCTGTTCTTATTCAGATTTCCAGAAAGAACATGACCAGCAACTTGGCAGGTTACGTTATCTGGAACCAGAAGAATAAGGAGTAGCTATTTTATAGCTTCCATTTAGTCACTTGAACACAGTGCTTTCTATTGCTATGCCAATGCTGTACATAAGCAGGAAATGCCAAAGAACTAGACTTGAATAAGTAACCATACTTCAGGATAAAAGGATGTTTTAAAATGCAGCAGCAAGATGACAACAGAGGAAGGCACACTGTGACTTGGTTGTGCTGAAATAAAGCCCAAAAGGGGGGATGTAGAAGTAGGAAATATTTAGGCTTTGAGTATTTTTGTAGTCAGCTAGGTAGGAAAGTAGATCACATGTACATGCAGCAAAGGCAATACACATTCTTGAGACTTGGATGCAGAAATCATGCCTATCTATGATAATCTAGGACAGTCTGCATTTCTTTTATCTTATAATTTATTCTGATGCAAGATGGAGTTGTATCTGTTACAATCTACATCAGGCAGATAAGTGTATGTTACTGGGTGCATCTGTTGAGTATTGTAATTTACATACATAGTAACTGGATAGGTTTCTATTTTCCGCTGTATAACCAAAGAATGTTATAACAAAATACTTTTCTTCGTGGGGTAGAGACACTCATTGCTTTCCAGGAACACTCTGACAGTTTCCTCTCTCTCCTGAAATCGCTGGTGTGTGTGCTTTATTAAACCTACTTACCTGGGTAAACCTAAATGCAGAGAGAAGTTCCTTTCTTCTAACCCTGCAATAATGAAACTACACAGAGGAAGAATCCATCAGATGAAAGCACTCACCAAGGTTTATTGTATTATACAACCTTTATATGGATCTTTTCCAGTACAGATTCAGGGCTGAAATAATCTAGGTCACCATGATGGTCAACACAAGTTATAAAACCTTGATAAGGCTCAATTCAAAGTGCTATTTTTTTCCTTTTTAAGGCCTCACATGCTTTGGGTTCATGTTAGAAGGAGAATGACATACACCTTTGTGACCCTGCTGATATGTGAAGGTCATTAATTCCTACCCTACCAGCTGCCCTACCATTCAGACCTGTAAGGTTGGGTGGTAGAAATAAGGCCATCCCAGTGATAGATGCAGACAGAACTTTCTTAGTGGTGGCTCCAGCCCTCTGTAATTCCCTTTCAAGAGATATACAACTGCATCTGCTGTTTTCAAGCGGGCTTAAAAAGATGCTTTTCTTTACATTTCAATTGAACTTTTTAATTATATATGCCACGTTTGAGTTTTGGATGTAGCTTGTTCTAACTGGTTCACTTATACTTGTTTATGGATTTATGGCCTTCATGGACTGACATTGAACTGCATGTTTTGCATTGTAAGCCACCTTAGGAAGCCTGCATGCTTGAAAGGTGGCTAAGAAATGCAACAAAGACAAGCCACGAGCAGACACAAAAGCACTTTCTTTACTTAGTCAGAGCAGGGGTCAGTGATGATTATGACCCGGACATGCGGAGGCAGCTTTCTCCCATCATCCTGCTTCTTCAGGGTCATATTCAGGGTAGGCTTGTTTTCTGCATGGTCAGCTTCTCCACTTCCTTCATGAAGCGGAGGCACAGCTCATCCTGCCATGGCAAAGCCACACACTGGACAGCGACAGGGAGTCCCACGGCCTCTTTTACCACCTGCCAAGATGGAATACGGAAAGGCATTACGTGCGGAAAGATGGAATACGGAAAGGAATACGTGCCAAAGGTTCTTGGCAACCACCCCAGAGCAGCTCCTGTCAAGCCATACCTTCTCAAAGACTTTGTCCCACATGTCATTGTAGTGCCCTCTGAGACTCTTCAGCTCCTCCTCATCCTCCCTTGTCACAGTGGTGACGGGTACCACTCCCGCAGGGCAATCCAAGTAATTATACAAGAGAGTGTAAGCAGATCCCACTGTAAAGAAAAGAAGACAAAGGCTTCAGCTAAATTGGCTGGTTCGTGCTTTTCGGCAACTGATGCAACAACTAATGACTTAAATAATGCTTGGGGTAGTTAGAGCCAGTGTGATATAGTGGTTAAGGACATGGGACTGGGACTCAGGAGGTCTGGATTGCAGTCCCCGCTCGGCCATGGAGCCAACTGGGTGACTTTGGGCCAGTCACAGACTCTCAGCCTGTGACTTCACAGGGCTGTTGTCACGAGGATAAGACTGAGAGGAAGAAGAGACGAAATATGGAAGCAGCCTGGAGTTCCTTGGAAGGAAAAAAGATGGGGTAGAAATAGAATAAATAAATAAATATCCCTAATCCTGCAAGCTATCCATACAAATCTTCTGGTTTTTCAATGAGAAAACTGACATCCCTGGAACAACTAAATGAGGGGCACATCAGACACGGAAGTCCCCATGCCAGTGGCCATCTGAAAGACACAATGACACATTTGCCTTTGTAGTTTGGTGTTATGACCACTATCTAGAAGAAATGTTCGGCAGCATTTAAAGCAAACCTGTCTGCTCAGCCACTCCAGCTCACAAGTACATTTGTTCTCACAGAAGGGTTATAGACATGCTATGTTGTCAATGCTAAGCTGGAAATATTTTCCTCCCCTCTTCCAGCAGAATTCCTTCTGTTGACAACGCAGTCTAAAGCTGCTGGTTCATGGCATTCCAGAGGGATCATTTCTGCCTCCCACACTATTCAACAAACACATAGAACAGCTGGAGGGGGGCATTTTCACAATATAATGGCAACATTCAGTTTTTTTTCTCCTTTCTTCTAACATTAGTTGACAGCTTGCACTGGAACCTGGAAGCCATGATAGGCTAGATGAAAGCCAACAAACTGAGATTTAATCCAGGTAAGATTCAGAACAGGAGTTGAACCTGCTTTGAATCAAGTAGTAGTACTCCCCTTAATATGATTGCTCCTGAACTCGGTATTGCACTTGGATGCTTCAGTAGCAGCAGGAGCCAGGAGTACTTTTGCGCAAATTCCACAGGTTCAGCAACTGCATCTGCTTCCTCAGAAGGTCAGGAACCTACATCCATCTGGTTCCTGGACACCATGACATACCTCTTAGACAAATCTAGATTTGTTGCTGCGATGTGCTCTTTGTGGGGCTGACTTCGAAGGCATCAGATGCTTCAGTTAGAATGCTCACATTCTGGCATTTGCCAACACTTGCACTGTTCCCAAGCATAATTCAAAATCTTAGTAATGACCTTTACAACCCTGAACAGCTTGGGTCTAAGAGATTTTAAGGCTGGGACCAAGATCTGTGGAGGCCCAGGTGATGGGAACAAGGGAAAAGGCCTTCTCAGTGTTTGCACCCAAATTATAGAGCAGTCATTTCCATCAGGCTCGTTTGCCCCGCTTTCTTGCCATATTTCACTGCATATATTAATATGCTGGCAGGTTTTTCTTTTCCTGAGTAGACAGGATCCCTTTGCTATGTAGTTATTTTTATGGAATGCTATCATATTTTGCAATTGGTTGTAACTGCTGTCAGCCTCCCTGAGATATGTGTCAGAATCAGAAATGCAGGATACAAATCCTGATACACACAAATCAGCTAAATGGAGCATCTACTGAGCAAAACCCAGTGTGGCTGGCCTGCGTCTGACATGGAATGGAATTAATTCAGGAGTGCCCATATTATACATTATACCAGCGCACGGTACTAACAGCAATCCGGCACTTAAACTATTTTCGAGCACTCATGAGGGAAGCCATCGCTCTGCAACTGCATGCTTTCATTTATACTGTAAGAGGCACTCAGCAGCTCCGTTATGCAAGAATAACACACCCACCGGCCGGAGCATTGTGCTAATAATAATGTTCCAGAGAACACCACAGCTGGGCCATGTTTTGACTCAGAGTGTCAGGACACAGGACAATCTGCAGGGTATGTGGAAGCACTTTAATGGACATCAGTGACATGAAGCAACTTGATTTTCAATGTAATGTTCAAGTACCTGAATATTTCTCAGGATATCCAATATTAAAAGCTGGACCTAGTACAGGACAAAGTAATACATCTAGGTCTAATCTTCTCCATTCATCAATGAATTCCTGGAAATATTCCTATGGAGTAAAGAAAAGGAAAGGAGAGGCAGATTTCAGGAAGAGAAACTGAATGGAACTGCTGGCAAGCAGAGAGATAATTGAACAGCAAATGTGTCCTTCATTTGGAAATGAGATGGAGCCACAAGTCTATCTGGTCAGTAAATTAAACCAATGCAAAATGGCACCCCCTCCAATTCAGCAGAAACTTTGAATAAAATAGATGCTCTCTATTCTTATGTCAGTTTTCTTTTATGCCCTTCATTTCATTTAACAGTGCACAAGCTACACAGAATAAGGAATTCAATTTGTGCAGTCATTGTTAATGGAAATTTCCCCCTCCCTTTTCTAACCCCCCCCCACTCCATGATGTAAGTTTGAGGAAGAAATGGGGGAGGTTTCACTCTTCCCTCCTTGGGGTGTCATGGTCTTGATTCAAATCAGGGCCATGTGCACTTACATGAGAATAAAACATTAGGAAAGCTTCGGCTCACTACTATACAATAATATAATGTATAGTTGAGCTCTTTGTGTGTGTGTCTCAAGAAGTTGGTTTCTTGAGATGCTATGCTACTTCTGCTTGCTCTTTACTTTACATTACAGTGTAAGAGTTTTCCGGTGACCAATATCTCTTCAGAGCTTTGCTTTGGTGGTGTGTTCAGGTGGGCCAATTAATGCATGGGGAGGTCTTTTGCATTAGAGGCACTCCTGTGCCATGCAGAAAGTTCAAGGAGAAGCAGGGGGTTGATCGAGCCTCAGACATCTCCTCCTTGTCCCTTTCACCAACTAATTCTTTAACTGAAGAAATCTCACACTGTCAACTGGCTAATTTAGTGATATGAGGGAGGGAGGGAGGGAGGGAGGGAGGGAGAGGGGGCAGACAGATGTTTTACCGTAATGTCTGCATGAAGTTTCCAAAGCTCTTTCACAGACCTAAAATTTCAAAGAGAAAAAGGTGGGAGGGATGAGTGGTGCATGGATTTGCATATTCCACACCAGCCTTCAGCAACCTGGCGCTTTAGGGCTGTGCTGGACTGCTACTCTTATTACAGAATTGGTTGGTATCCTGGAAAGCAAGCATTGTGGAGGTGATGGATATGAGGACAGAGGCAGCATCTGTGGGGAAGAATCAGTGAGTGGAAGGGATGAGTACTCAACTCTTCCCTTACACATAAATCCAATCCTGAACCCATCACCAATCAGGTTGTTTCCCCACTTTGCCTGGGGTTCATTTCCATGTTAAAGTTTTGGCAAGGAAATAATCAAAAACAGCCAAGCAAGTAAGGTTAAGCATTCCCCACCCCCACCCCCCACCCCCTTCACTCAAGTTCTTCCTTGCATGTGCCATTCACATCTGCCTGACAAAATAAAAATGGAATTGAGAATTGAGCTTTCCCTTATTGAATCTTAGTTCTGCCCTTCGAATACCATTAATTAGGGGTATTTAGAAAAAAGTTTTTTTTCAAATTCCAAAAGTAACAAGGTTCAAAACATACATGGCCAGCAGCTTACATTTGTTTGCTTTTAGTACAGTATCTGAAGGCATCTTCAAAACTCTAAGAATATGGAGCTTTCTTTAAAGCAAGTTTCCAGCCCTCATCATTGCAGAGAACAATTAAACACATGTATAGAAAATGCTTCGCATAGACGTAAGTCCAGAGAAGTGTATCAGATGCGGCTTTCACATTAACTACTGCTTCCAAGCATTGTTTCACCCAAATCACAATGAATTTGTGAACAAATGCCTATGTTGAAACATGATCAGGCACACCAGGGATCCTTAGCTCCCTGCCCCACGCCCCCAGTATTCCTCCAGACAGTACCTCAGGCGACACTGAGGAAAGAATCACAGCTCCTCTTTCTGATTGCTGTGAACCTGAGCTGACTTGGGCCACCCACATCTGTCTCTTAAATTCTCTCCCTTCCCCAAGATAGCACTGGTCTGCTGCAGAGCCAGCTTTTACTGCCCCCTTAAGGTACAGGTACAAGCTGCCCCTCTGGAGTGCTCCAAGGCACCACAGAGGCACTGCCCATGCCTGCCCACGTTGTTTAAAATTAGTCTTCTTTTCTGACCTGTTGCCACTGTGCAAACAGGGCTTGGCTGGGACAATGTGCAAGTGGGGTGCATGATGCACGGGGGCAGACCCTCTGGACACTGCCCCCCTCCCCCGGTGGCTGGAACGCCATGCCACACAGCCTTGCCTTCCGTGCCTGACAAGGGAAATGACGCTGAACTGTCAAGCTCCATTTCCTCCAAAGATGGGGTGAGGGGCACTTTCATACGCTCCTGAGCCCCCAGGGGGTTCGGAGAAATGGCAACGGTTGTTCTCCCCAGGGAAGAAAGCGGAAGGAAAGGGCTCTTGCTGGGAATGGGGTGCTCTTGTGGTTAGAGTCCTGGACTGTAGACTGGTAGATCTGGGTTGCGGTCCCCACTGAGCCATGAAGCTCACAGTGGGCCAATCACTCAGGCTCAGCCTAACCTACCTCACAGGGATGTAGTTATGAGGGTAAGAATGTTGTGGTGTAAGCTGCCACAAGAGGAAAAACTGCGGGATGGAAATGCAATGTAATGCAATGGAAAAATACTGAATAATATTGTGCAAAGCAGCCCCTTCCTAGCAAAAGATTCTTGCACCTTCGCCTGGCCAGCTCATGTTCCACAAGCCAGACAATGAAAACCAGGTGGGGAGACGGGCCTCCCAGCCTTGGCTGGGCTGATGTGCAGAGGTGCCTCCTGCAGGGCAAGGATGGAAATCTCTGAACCCCCTTGCTTGCCATGGCTGGCTCTAGAAGGGAGCCACCTACTGAAAGCAAAGGATCTTTTCTCAGGTAGGAATAGACTGGAGTGGGGCTGCCAAGAGTTTTGCTGGCAACTTAGGAGGCCTCTCCTAGGCTGATTTGAGCTCCCCCTGCCCTGCCCCTTTTGGCTGGCAGGGGCGGAGCGGGGAAAGGCTCTGACACCCGCCCCAAGTGCTAGCTGGGCACGTAGGGAGGTGGCTGTCAGCAGCACTCCTATGGCGGCCACCTGGCAAAAGCAGCAAGGGGTTTTCTCCTGCACTTGCCACGTAGCTTGCTTGCTGTTGGGGCTTACCCATGGTGGGTCATGCCATCTGAGTTCAGACAATCCAACGGCCCACCCTGGGTGACACCAATGCTAGAACAGCCCGTGGGTTCTCAGAGTTTCAAAATGACCCAGCCTGAGGGACTCCGCAAGCTGTGCAGGCTGCCATGTTGTCTGAACCAGGACACTGACATATAATTCTAACCAGTTAGCTTCTTTATGTAAAGCAAGACACGTGAGCCAGTCTTGCTGCAGGCTGCTTTACAAGCAACTGCTACAAGAGTCAAGCATCCTATAAAGCAGATTAGACAGCTGAGACCAACTACTAAAAAGCAGCTAGAGCCCTCTGATTCAGGGTAGCCCTGAATCCTTCCCTTGAGCAGTATCTTTTCCAGCAAAGGGCTTGGAAGGTCATCTTATCTTGCACTACTCCCCGTTCCTCCTTCGACATCCAGCCCTGGGATCTCTAATTTGTTATGTGTTTAATTAAAACATTTATATGCCACCCAATTGTGCCACAGCACCTCTGGGCAGATCACAACACAAGATAAAACCAAAATAAAACATTCTGGCTTCACATTGCCACGGTTTCAGAGGGGCCTGCTGCAGTGTTATTCCCACCTTCAGCCTTCAGCCACTTCTTCCCCTCCTCGTTGGAATGGAACGCAAATCCCTCAGCTTCTTCTGAGCTCGGCAAGGGTGCACCGGCTTGGTGACATGTTAGGAGTCCTGCCTGCTGCAGCAGGCAGGGGTTGGGGCAGATAGCAAGACCAGGGAACAAGACCTTCCCTGCATCTCTGAGACTGGAAAGTACATCACCAGCCCCTGAATCAGCAACCCTAAGGGACGAAGCCCTCCCGCTCCCACCATTGATCCTTACTTCTCTTTCATGCTTCTCAATATATTTGACAGACGGGGACTCTGAAAAGACAAGAGAAATTCATACAATTGTTTTCCAACTCTGGTTATGAATTATTGTTTTGAATACTCCAAATGTTTTTAAGGCTTGAGAAAAGGAACTGTGCCTAGCCAGAAAAGGTCAATCAGGATTTTGTCCCCCAACACACACAATCCAGGAAGCAGAAAACCCCTTCATAGTCAATCAGGTTCAGTTGTCCCACTGCATCTGCTGTACATTCATGTGCAGCAGTCAGAGTAATTAAGAGCAATTCAAGGTCAGTGCTATTCATACATAAATACAATTATTCATGTCCCCAACCACAAAAATACTCCTGTCTCCTGTTTTAAAATGACTCATAATTTCTGCATTATATTTGGTGTTTTGTAAACCTCAGGAGATTCAGTACAGATCTATTCAGTGTGTGTCTTGTCTTTTGAATTTGACTTATTTTGTTTTTGTTAATACAACTCGAAAGTTCTTTTAGCAAGGTACAGAAAGGTACAGAGAGAGAGAATGGGACTGTACAGATAGGGGAATGTGAATAGAAGACATTTAAGGCAAAAGGGATTAAGTACTTGTTGTATGTACAGTGGAACATGTTGCAAGAGAGCTTACATGTTTTCAAGTGCATTCCTGGAACCATAAGGCCTAGTATCTTTCTTTAAAAGTGGCAGGGAAAAGCACAAAAGATTACCAGAATCTGTATATACAAAATCACATGTTCCCAGCCTCATACCCTACTTTAAGCTTGTACCATGGGTTGATGACTTGCTGCCAGGTTTTGAACAGAAGTATAAACCTGAAGTTGCTGCCACAGAATTGTGGAAAACAAACTCTTTTTTAAAAGTATGATTAGAAAAGGAATGTGCAAAATTTCAAGGGAAACTCTTTCTTTCCCCAATCAAAAATATTTTTCAAAGGTTCTATTATACATTCTGCACTACATATATTCTGAATCCCATTATACATATGGGATTCAGAAGTTGAAAACAGTTTAGCCTTCCACAGGTCTCCCATCATGGTGATTAATTTGCATTGCCAGGACTTTCTGCGAATTCCCAGGTAATTGCAAACAACATTTCCTTTTTTCTACTCCCCTGAAGTTGGTAGACATACCCACTGTAACTCCTTTCCTGCCTCCTGATATTGCTCTGAATCTACTCCTCACATGGTCAGCCTTGTACTATTGAAACTCAAGTTTGCCACTGCCCTTACTTTCTTCCTGCTTTCTATCTGACAAATCCTAATCCCAACCTCTGTGGTTTCTACTCCATCATCACTATTAGAGACCTCAGAGGGGGTGGGACCTGCTGGGCTACTGCTAATGATACCAAAGTACCCATTCTTCTCCCCCTTTAAATATTACAGGTGAAATAAAGGTGCATTGTTTCCACTTGCCAGCTTTAACTAAAAATTTGATGACTGCATCTAACACAGTGCACCATCTACTTTGTGCCTGTCATGCTTCTGCCAAAGATCCTAGTATTTCCATGTTTTATGTGCAGTCTACGTATACAGAAATGTGTTTACATGCACATGTGAGAGAACACACATGGTTTGAGAATGACAAGAATTTCCTTCTCAAAATATATGAAGGAAATTCTGGCCAGAATCACCATTGGCTACTTTCTACAGAAAACCAGGAAGGGTAGCAAGAGACAGGCCTTACTATTAGACTGAAGGTCCAGGCGATGAGGCTTCGTAGTAAAACAGGTGTTTTTAAAATGGACAGAATATCCCTTCCATTGGCACCTTCAGGTTCCCCTTCCCTGAAAGGCAAGCCCATGAACACATTATGTCATCTTCACTGTGAATTCTCCCAGTCTTTAGTCCTCCATCGCTAGGCTTCTGCCATCACTCCTCTCATTCAGAAATGTCTGTTTCCTACAACCATCCAACTTTGCTTCTCATGGAAAATGTAGTGGTTAGGACTCCTCTGAAAAAGCTTCGCCTAAAGCTACCAGCACCAGAATGAAAGGGACACAACAGCTGCCCTTAGCAGAAAGATACTGCAAGGAAGCAAAGACTGGACAGCATTTGGAAAAGCTGCAGTCTAAGCCATACGAAAAGAATCCAGCTGAATCAGACCAAAAGCCTTCTGCACAACCATCCCATTTGCAGTGGTGACCTGCCAGCTGCTTCTGGGAAATCTCCAAAAAGGACATGATCCAGAGATACAGTGGATCAATGGCCTCTGTCCTAGCCACCTATTTGCCTGCCCCAAACATGCCCATTTCCTCCTCCCATGGGGATACCAGCCTTGGAAGAAGGAGCTGCTGAGAAACATTCCATGGCATCTGGGCTAGCAGGGATCCTTGTGTCAGGTCTCCATCTCTGAGGCTGTGGCTCTGTCCCCGGCCTCAGAGGAGAGCTGCAGTTTTCTATGGCCCCTCAGATACTGCCAGGGCATTGTTGCTTTGCTATCTTGAGAGCTTGCGAGTTTATGCCGTCTGGCCATGGTCATTCAGTATCAGAAACTCGCAGATGACTCTTTCCCCACTGACAGTGATGGAAAACAAACAGTAAAGGTATGTTTAAGACATGCTTGATTGTTACACGCTATACTCATCTCTTTCTTTCACATACAAATGCTAGAGTTTAGATAACAGAATACTTACAGGAGTTCTAAAAAGGTGGCACCTCCATCACCAAAAAACCCACTCACAGAAATATGACTAGTAAAATATTCTAAGTTAATGGGCTCAAAGGGGACAAGCTAAAAAGGAAACCAAGAAAATGAGATGAGAATTAGTACCAGTATAAAGCAAGTTGAAGATAAAATACACCTTGCAAGAGGCTACTCATTATTCATCCAAAGCATTTTGCATGGAAAGATGGGGTGTGTGGAGAGCTGTGGCAGCTTGTGACATTCTGGATCTAAGCCATACTAGCACTGTGCAGGCTGTAGCATTTTGGAGACACAGAATTGGAAGAGTCCAAATTTCCCCACACATCCTCTGGCAGCAGGAACAAGAATGTAAGACATCCACTCCCTCTTAAATGTAGTATTTATACAGGCTGAAGTACTGGATTGCCACCAGAATATTTTTGCCTGCATATGAATCCTTTCCTGGCTATCTGTCCATGTTCCAACATGGAGCAAAGAGGACTTCTCTGAAAAAAAGAGAAGCTTTTTTTAGCTCTATCTTGCCTAAAGCTACCAACACCAGAATGAAAGGGACACAACAGCTGTCCTTAGCAGAAAGATAAGATATATGCAAATAATATTAGAAAGCATCTCCAGATACAGTAGCATTTCCTTCAGACTACTGGAAAATGTCCAAACGTCCACACATTTCTCCACTGAATGAAAGCTTTTGAAGACCAGAAGTAAAATCATACTGAAAATCATTGTAGTTACCACAATGGCAGAAGCTGCGGTAAGCCTATGGATATTTTTCAGAGCATCTACCACAAGGTGGCAGAGTAGCAGCAGTCCTATGTAATCATTGCATTTACCTGGTGGAAATGCAGTGCCTGGAAATTGGATCAAGCTATGTGTGATGCTGAATGCCTCTTGGAACCACATTAACATGGGCATTTCCCCCTTAACAGCAGGAAGCAGGACAATTTTCATCTGTACTGCACAGCACAGGTCATCTTGATCTTTTAAAGCTAAGATGCTTAGCTAAATGTTCCAGCAAACAGAAAATTCACTGAGGGAAAGCTTTCTTTCTTGAAAAAAAAAAGGGGGGGTTAGTAGGCCAACTTATGTATATAGCAAAAGTTAATAAGCCAAGCATCATTATGCAGACATTATTGATGCATAGCTTCAAAAAGGATTAAACCTTAAATTAGCTTTATTTTCAGAGAACTAAAAACCATTTTTATACTGATCTTGGGAGGAAAAATCCATCCAGAACCAAGGCCTTTCAGATGCTTCCTTGCCTGAGCACTTTTGTCTAGGGTAACAAAACCACTTCAAGAGCACCTAATGCTAGCTTTCTGTTGATGCAAGGTGAAGAGAGCTATCCCATCTTTCCACTTGCAGGATAACAATGGAATCCATGTGCTGGTGGTAGAATGTGATGGCGGATACCTACTGTGTGACCAGCTTTTTCTAGAAGCTGCTTGGTTTCCCTTACAGCTCTTTTCATGGAAGGGCTTACTAAAATGTAAGAACTGGCTTCATAGTATCCAATCCGGAGTGGACGGAAATCAGAGTACACCTGGAAAATAAGCAAAGGGAAGTGAACAACTTCCAAAAGCAATGATCAGTGCATGCAACCATCATGCCAGATTCTTTTAAAGGCCAAATTACTAGATCAGTCTTCCCCAACATGGTGTCCTGCCAGATGTCTTAGATCGAAACTCCCATCAGCTGTGACTACTGACCATATCAGCCTGGGCAGGAGGGCACCAAAATAGAGGCAGCTGCACTAGATCAACCATGTAAGTGCCCACTTCTTTGGCTATCAAGCTTTTCTGCTGGAATGGCTGAGTAGTGCAAATGCCATATTGCCAGTGAAATTCCAGATACACCGACATTGCAGGGCTTACATCAGCTTCGTAAAGCTCCTCAGCCCTAAGGCTGGCATCCCAAGAACCCTAGGTAAAACTTTTCAACCCTATCTGAAAAGAAAAGCAATTGTTTCCAACAATTTCCCTGGGGAAAGAATTGTAACAGACAGAAAAGCCCTCTCTCCAGACACCACCAGACTCACTTCAGAAGATAGTGGGACCCAAAGCAGAGTCTTAGAGACTGATCTTAACACCTAGGCAGCTTCATGCAGGAAAAAGTAGTCCTTCAAGTGCCCTGCTATCAGGGCATTTAAGGCTTTATATGCCAAAATCTGCAGTTAGAATTGGATCAGAAACTATTCCATATGCATCCAGAGAGCCTTTCTGGCTAAAGGGGCATGAGATAAACAAACAAACCAGCATAATCAGAGAGATCCCTCACGGCAGAAGATCCTTTTAACAGGTAAATACACAAACACAATGGGAGATATATGTGCTATTCACACGGATGTTTTCAATAACTGTGTCTTTGAAAGCAAAATATCTGGAAGTGGCAAATTAGGCCTCCACTTCTATGTTTTTATCCCCACCTGCAGCAACTAATTGCAACTTGGGGCAGAGCTGAAGGGTACTCATCTGTACTCTAGGTTTTTGTATACAGGAATGTGTTCAGCCACTGCGAGGAAAACGGAGAGCTTTTGTTAAGAGCTCCCCTCTTTTACCATGTTTCTCGGTGTCAGAGAAAGGGGGTGCTGATTCCTTCAAAGCTCTCACCTGCTCATTGAAAGGAAGAGGGGGCACTGTTGGATCCAGCCGAAACATTTCATCACACAAGAGGGCCCTTAGGCAAAGAGCTAGGCTTTCAACATCCCTTGCCATGGGTCCTATGCCTGCAGCAACTGAACCAAGGAAGAAGAGAATTGTAGTCTTGAGATGATCTATCCAGCTTGGGAAACACAGATGGGAACAAAATGCTCCATTTACCACAGAATACAAGTCACACTACGTTCAAGAAGAAGCAAGTCATGTATCTCTTTCTTACACACATGCGCACACACATCCAACCACAATGACTGATTTTCCTGCCTTAACTTCTTTGCACTGTCTTCCCAGTTCAAACTACTGATTCAAAATAATCACAACTAAAACTTTTAATTAAATGAGGAATCTGAAAACAATTAAGCACTGCTGCAAAATGGAAAATGGGGGAAGCTGACATTTCATTTCAAGAATAAATGGACCACATGTAGTCATGAGCTTACAGAGAACTTTCCAGGATTTCTTTGTTAGAATTCCTACATCAACTAATAACACAAAATTGCTTTGATTTTTAAAACCGTTTCAATCTCCATTTTAACGCAACGTTTTAACACAACACCAACATGATCAGAAAACAATACAAATATTATGCCATTAGAACTCATTGCACACTCTTTAAACGATGCAGAGGGATCCCAGGGGTGAAACTCCACATTATTCACCATCTTGGCAACCTTCTTCATCCAGACAAGTTAAAAATCACCTACCTGCTTTCTGCCCACGGATGCATGGTACAACTCCTTTTTTACTATGAAAAGATCCCCAAAAGAAGAGAAGTGTTAGCAAAGCTATCCAGGATCCCAGTTCTCAACCTCAATGCCTTGCTCGTGTTTGAAATAAGAACCTATTTGCAGGCCCTAGTAGGCATGCTTTTCCAAGTGCCTTTGAGGATCCCCTGAAAGGAAAGGTTACCCTACTGCTTAAATCAGCCTTCCTCAGCTTGGTACTCCCCAGAGGTGCTTGAGCAGAAATCCCAGCATCCCTGACTACTGGCCATGCTGGCTGGGATTCATGGGATCACCAGGTTTAAATGAATGTAAGAAGCTTGCAACCAAGAAAGAAAAGGCACGCAGAGAAAAGGCGGGACTAACTGAACAGTTCTATCCACATCACCTCTGTAGTATATCCCGCTGAGCTCAATGGGGGCATAAGTGGGCATAGGACTACTGCCTCTCAGATGCAGACAGTAATTAAGGTTCAGTGGCCCAGAATAAGGTGGACCAGGATGACTAATTTGTTTTTACTGCTTGGATTTATTACTTGCCATTACATTCTGAAAGTGACCTGCCTACATAATTACGATGAACCTGGATCTCTTGGGACCCTATGTCGGCCCCTGAGAAAGCTTTTAATCAATATTTTAAACTGTGTATGATATGTTAAGCACTATTTTAAAGGACCTGGCATTGCATTTTACCTAATTCTGTCACCTGTGGGTTTGATTCCACAAATCCCACAAAAAGCAGCTGGAATACGAATGCTGCCTCCTACATCCGTGCCAATCCCCAGAATGGATCCTCCACTTTTAATTAGAGCACCTTCTCCTCCTGAAGAACCACCTGGAGTTTTGGTGTGGTCCAAAGGATTCACTGTCTGGCCAAAGACTACATTGTTGCAGTCATAGCTGAAGAGAGAGAGGAAGAGAGAGACAATGCAGTCAACAGGGCTGGGCCCAAATCCTTTGCTGCCATTCCCTGCGAGACAGGGATCACTTGGCCATGAGCGAGTTCACACTATGCCATGTTATTTCTGCAGTCCTTTGCCCAGCTGCATGTGAACAGATGCAACGCCCCAGTTTAAGATATTTATACTGTGCCGCTTAATCACATGGACTCACATGATGGCTGACACATATAGAACAGTCACAATACAACACTGAAAGTATCAATAAACAAAAGGAGCAGCAATTGTAAACGGTTCAGAGATCTTTGGCTATGGGGCAGTACAAAGATGAAATACATAATCATTATAAATATAAGGTATTTAATCATTATAAGCACCATACTGTAAGCATCACAATGTCCAATTTTTAATGGACACATTATAGATTCACTTTTGAAGCCCTAAAGGGCTTCAGTGGAGGACCAGATTGTGGAGTTCAATTTACATATTTTGTGTTCACCATGCCTAGCAACAGCTGAAGCATTGTCCTGGACCATACTGTACATTTTCTATTCATCTCAAAACAAGTACTTTCATACATCACTCAATGAACCCATATAAAAGGTTTACATTCAGCAACAGAAAGCCTAATTCTGGCTGAGCTCGCAATGTCTGAAAATGGCTAACAAATTGATGAGGGTTTGGTAAAATTTCATCCATAGAAAATATCAGAAAATGCCACTATTTACCTCAGCAAAGACTGTGGAATGTTGGTTTTTACAAATGGAACTGCTCCTTGGTGTTTCAGGACCTGGACTACAACAGCGTCTGCTGCGGCTGGCTGGTTGAGACGCTTCAGCAGGCCCAGAGTGGAGTCATGGCCCTGGGGGAAATAAAAGAATAGAAGATTCTCCCCACAGAAACATTAGAAATCATGCCATGGCGTTCATCACATGTAACGCATATCACTCCTGCTCACAAAAAAAAAAAAAAAAAAAAAAAAAAAAAAAAGGCAAATGTCTTGGCTTGGAAAATGCTAGAAAATGGACAATTTCATCTATCAAGTTAAGTTGAAATGTGCATCAACAGTATCTGGTCTGGCCATGAGATGACCTGCAAATAGGTGAATCTCAAATGAAGTCACTGCTGAGTAGACATTTCTCAAAGGATTCTGATAGGACAACTGATCATCTGAATGATCTGACCAATCATGAGATCTCAGAAAGCACTATCTGCTGAAGAGTATTCTAAGATGGAGTAAATCAAGAAGCAGTAAATCATAGCTGAGGCCAGTGCTTCAGAAAGTCAAAAGGTCTGATCTTGACATACATGAAAGCATTCACAAGATTGATTATTGCACCAAACTATGGAAGCTACCATACTTTAAAAAAAAAAAATAAAGGTCATGTAAATTACTCTGGGACCATACTCTGGGGAGACCAGACATGAATAGAATAGAATCCAGATGCAAAAGAATAGAATAGAATAGAATAGAATAGAATAGAATAGAATAGAATAGAATCCAGGCTCAATATCCAGCATTCATTCTTGTTCCAGAAGTAGATGATGTCACTGTGCCATGCTAATCTAACTCTTTTATTGATTGTTGCAATATTAAATATTAGTTTTTATTTTACTCAAGTTCTAATTTACCCAAAGTAGAAACATTTCTGAACAGCATGTGGTTTATTTCCCATATTTTAAGAAACAGGATTATTTCAGCTACTAAATCTTTATAGCTATGTTAAGTACTGGACAATATTTTAAATTAGACCAAGCCATGCCAAAATTAGCTCAAGACATAAGACAGACATGCCTTACCCCATAAACAATAAGTGTGCAAACCATGAAGAAAGCTTTATATCCAATCACTATTTTGTCACATGAATGGCCAGCACCCGTATTCATGGTCAACACTGGTTGTACCCAAGGGGAAAATGGTGATTTGTCCTCAGCAGCACTGCTTGACTGCTGCCAGGGGCTGAGCTTACTGCAGGTATTTTCAAGCATTTGCAGGCTGAAAACAAGCGGGGGGGGGGGGGGATGAGAAGAAAAAATAACTCTTCACCCATGTGGGGACTTCATTAACAGGTGGGTCTGTTGTTATGGGTTCTGATGACACCTAGATGGTACAATTTGCATTGGCGAAGGGGGGTCCTTTCCATCTAAAAAGTGCCTCCCTGTCTTTTTAATTTTAAACCATTTCCCCCTTTCTCCTATGTGCCTCTTCTTCCTCCTTTACACTAAGGTATTATTACCTTGAAGGCAGCTCCTGTGCAATTACTTTAGGAGGAGTTATAAAATGAAAGCTGGCAACCAGCCCCCTGTATGCATGGGTTTGTGAAACTGTTTGCTAAGACTGAGATCACCAGTGTTAGAAAAAAAAAATGGTTTAACCCAGAACATCACACCAGAACATCACGTTGTGTCCTTTCATGTATTGATCTGTTGTTATAAAAAATGATTTAAGATGAATAGAGCTATGTATGTACATGATAACTGTGACTAAGTTTAATTGCTTTACAATGGAAAGCAGAAGAAATTTAATTATTGAAGACTGGAATAAGAAGTCATCTGATCATATAGCAATGGTAAGACTAACTATGTAGAAAGACAATCATCCAAAGAAAATGGTAAGTGGAAATTGTATAACATATAAGCTCTTTTAATGGGGATAATAGCAAAGATAAAATATAGGTTAAAATAGATTTAAACATTGTATGATGTTAGAAGAATCTACAACAAAATTGAATTAAGTGCAAAAAAGTGATTGTGTAGAAAGGACAGTAATTATTGACTTACAGTGATTTTTCTTAAATATTTGATATCCTAAATAACATTTGTTCAAGGACTCTTCTGTGTAACTTTTATGTGCATTCTTATTTTTTATTTTTCTTTCTTTTTCTCTCTTCTTTACAAATTTTACTGTTATTATAAAAAAATCTATTAAAAAGCACTGGTTGTACCTTGTAGTTAATGGAGTCCTTTATGCTTACTGGAACCCCATAGAGCAAACCCTTTTTCTCAGGTTTTTTCACTTGCCGAAGCTGAGATTCACTGTCTTCCAAATAATCGGTCACACAGTTGATATCTCTGGTCACTTTCAGGGTCTGAGAAAAGCAGAACAAGGCAGTTCAGTCCAGAGATGTATCTCCACTTACCAAGTAAGGCTGTACTTGAAAACTGCCTTTGCAATAGAAAAAATTAATGTGTCCCCAAAAGAGACAAGCATCAAAACCACAGAAGACCATAGTATTTTGTGACTCTCCTGCCCTCAGTTTCTTGTTTTGCCTTCTTTTATTTAAAGCCTTTTTCCTTCTCCTCTCTTATGAGAAGAAAGTAAGACATTCTCCAGTCCAGGCAGTTTTGACTCGGATACAGACTTAGTGATACTTACAGCTAGTTCACATTTCACAGCTCTAATTCAATTGGTTGTTTAAAGCAAGAATGATGGAAACAAGTGGAATGCATGTGCCACACACCCATCATTTCTGCTGCTAATCCTGCATTGCTGGGTTAATCCTGATTTGTTTAATCCAGGCTTCCCCGACTTGGTGGCCTTCAGAGGCATTTGGATCCAGTAGGAATCCAATTGACTGAGAATTCTGAGTGTTACAGTCCAAATATGCTTGGAAGGCATAAGGTTGAGGAAGGCTGGTTTAATCCAAAAGAACCCCCCCCCCCCAAGATTTCTGGGTTCACAGATCACAAAACAGCCCAGTCAATTGTTGATAAAAACCAGAAATAGTGCTGTTTAATCCTGAGAGGGTTGAATGAATCAGGAATTGCCACCTAACTCAACTCCCACTAGCTCCATATATAGGACTTGACAGAGTCCCATATACTCCACCTATAGCTGAAATTGTGCTGATATCTAATTGCCAGACATCAGAATGCTTGAGGTTTGTGTGATCCTGAACATCCGCAGCTAGAAGTTTCCTGTGGGCGCATACATTACTCAAGAGGCCAGCACAGGGGACTAAAAGAAATTATCTCTTTCAGCTTAGTTTGTTTTCCCTCTATGGAGCTATAGCGCTAAGCACAGCCTGAATTCCCACTATTCCCACAGGCAACAAAAAGGAACTGAAAATGATGCATCTTGTTCTTCCTGAAAGAGGCAGCAATCTTGAGCTCACTCATTTAATAATAAAACTCTAATTAAAGAAGCATATTCTTCAAACCAATACATTGAAGCAGGTGTTCTAAGAGTTGCCCTTGAGAAGCAGACCAGAGTTCAGACAGAAGGCTTAGTCTGTGACCCTGTACAGACTTACCTGGAAGTAATTCTCACTGAACTCAGTGGGACTTATTTTTGACTAGGCATTAAGCAACAGATATGCAGATGTGTGTTATCTGTGTGCCAGTGTTGCTGCTCCAAAGATATGACTGTTCTGATTCTAACCCTAAAGCTCCTACAGTACCAGGGAATATACTCATAGTTAGCAGACAACAATACCTTCCAAACCTCATAGCCCTTTTCCACATCCATTTCACTTCAGCTTTGCTGGTTCAGAAGCCACAACTCACCTTGTCCATGTAAGTGTAGAAGACACTTTCAGGTGACAATGAGCCATCCCTGAGTTTCCCACAGAGTTCAGGGAGAGCCAAGGACAAAATCGGTGATGGCTGATGACCTGGATTCTAGGGAGAAACAAACACATAATTTTACTGCTGTTTATTTCATCTGCATGCTTAGGACCGTCAGGGGGAACTGTACAAGAAGAAAGACCGTCGGCAGGTATAGCTTCTCCCTTCACGACACCACTGTGAAGGGGGAAAGAGAGCTGAGCAAAACTGGAAACTCGTACAGGTTCGTACACGCCGAATCCACGGGAGCTGGTGGTTCTGCCGCGTTAGCCTCAAGCAACGCAAGTCAGTTAGTTCCTACTGAACTGGTGATGCGAGTTTCTTCATCTTGAGATGCACTTCTTGCTGCTGCGCGACGCCGTGGGAGGAAAAGCCTCCGCGCTCTCCACCTACCTGCTCCTTGAACTTGCCGACAAGGTCGCCCATCTGCTCGAGCGCACGCTCCCGCCGCCGCTTCGCCGCCTCGATCGTCCTCAGAAGCCTTCTCCTGCGCCTCCATTTCAGGAGGAGGACCGTCGCTACCGAGCAGCACAGGAGCGCGGAGATCAGGCCGGCGGGGTTCATCCCCTCGGTGCTCAGGCGGGCGAGAGACCAGCAGCTCGCTCAAATGACGCGGCTCTCCTTTCCAGCAGCCAGCGCACTCTGCACCGCCCGGCGCCGCCTGTGCGAGGACGCAACGCTCGAGCGGACCTCCGCGAAAGCCGGCTTGGAGTTCTAGGAACGGTGCGCTGCCTCTTTCGCAAAGCACGCCATGTCCGACGTTCAGCTTAATCCATTCCTCTCCATACTTTTGGAGTCCACGCCAGCTTTTCGAGATATACTGATCTCGTTGAGAAACTGTTTCTACTTGTGACTAAGCATGGCTTGTTGTTAATTGATTCGCCCTCTTTGCACTTTGGAGCTAGTCTGAACTTTTAGACTGTGATCTTGAATGCACCGCTGCTGGAAGACTGAGGTTACAATCCTGTGCATGATTAGACAGGGAAAAGAAGTCCTACAATTCCATGCATAACCAGGAAGTAGCTAGACAGATAGTGTGGGAAATGCTAATTGTTAGAATATAAGCCTACTAAATTGAATTAATCTAGTGCTTTTTGACTTTGCTATTTTCACATCTGCCAAAGTCTATTAAAAAGACATGCACCAAAAGACATGTCAGAAACAAGTCTGCTTAGTTTTCCTACACTATGAATTCTTCTAATTGTTTTTTTTTTCTGAAAGAACAACTTGACATTTTTACTTGCACATAATTTTAGACACACGATAACCTGCACATGCAATGTTTTTAAGATCATGGAGATGAGAAACTTAAGTGTGTAAATATTCTGACTGCTGGGCACAGCATGTAGAAGTATATTGAAATCTGGACTGGAAGACCTATGCAATAAATTAAATGTCTCCAAGCATTAAATGGGCTGTTCTAGCTTTTCCATGTAATTCTGAATTAAATAAAGCTACCTCTGAATCACCAACATCATATCGTTAATTCCATAATAAATGCTTTCCTAATAATAAAGATTTTCCACCTGTCCTTTAAAAATACAGAGAAACCCTATGGTTGCTAGAAAGCTTTTAAAGGGTCACAGGATTTTTTAAAAATTCCCAGAACTAAGTTTGGAAAAGAGCTCTGGCCTTGAATCTGGAGTTCCACATTTGGTTCCCCCACCCCACCCCCGCTCCCCACCACCACTGCCTTGCAGCCAGCATGGAAAAATCTGTGCTGGCTTCTTCTCTGGATTAAGTCCTATTTATTTGAGTGATGCTCACTACAACATAGGTATAGGTGTGCACAGAATGGTAGCATGCAAGGAGCACTCACAAGATCCTGTCTTCATGGAGTGTAAAGAGAAAGCAAGGGAGTACAGTCTGGCCCCTAAAATCTCATTGAGGTCTGGGGGGGGGGGGGGGGGGACATTGGCAATGTTTCCAGTAACACACACCCTTGAAAATGGGGAAAGGCCAATTCACCTGGGAGGCCATCCAGTAAGGAATATTGTGCCTCTAGAACAGACCAAAAAGATTCCATTTACTTGAGGCAGTATGCAGTACCACGGTTACAGTGCCATGTCTCCTTGTTTCTTGCAGAAAGAGAAACATAGAAACATCGAAAAAGTGCAAGTCAGAACAGGCCTCCTCAGCCTTCCAGTCTGACAGCCAGCTCGGCTCATGTAATGTCCAGCTGTCCGATCTTTCCTTTGTACAAAGGCAGCATTAAAAATAATTCTCACTGGATTGTGCAACATATTCTTTTTTGCCTTTCCACGTTGCTTGTCACACACAAGAGATGCTACAATGCAGCAAGAGCAGGGCTACACTACTACTCCATGCACCAGACCGCAGTTCAAACAACCACTTCACAGATCACACCAGTCAACCGATACATAAACCTTTCTTCCAGTAGTTGGAGCTCATCAGCGGCTACAGTCTTGCGAGGCAAATAGTCAGCCTATTGCAGGGGTCCTCAAACGTTTTGAGTAAGGGGCCAATTGAAAGGCTGAAAGGAGCAGTGTGGTGGGGGTGCCTGGGGGCACAGGCAGGTGAGGTGCCAGTGGCTTGCTCACTCAGAGACCATCTCCGAGCGAGCCACCACCTCCCCGCCCGCACAGCAAGCGCACACGCGTGGGCGGCAAACTGCAGCGCAGGCTGGATGGATGGCCGTGGCGGGCCGGATCTGTCCCGCAGGCCGTAGTTTGAGGACCCATGGCCTATGACATCTTTGTAAACAATATGCCATTTCTTCTCTTGAGTCCAAAATAGCATCGATCAGCATAGCACAGATCAGCACATTTTCCAATTTCTTGGGAAAATTTGATGACAATTTAGAAAATGCAGATGCTCCAACAAGGTGCTTTAGTATGTCCGGTGATCTCCTCCGGGCACACATGACTCGTGCTCCCCACACCCCTTCAAAAAATGTTGATGCATGCAAGAAAGCAGCTGGAAAATAGCACACAGGGAAGTGCCAGGACCACAGATCACCTTCAGAGAGCTTTAGGAATATTTTAATCAGAAAACTCCTCAATCACCCTGCCCCAGGGAAATTCACTTGGCACTGTCTTTCTCTTCAGCTCCAGGCAAAGACGTATCTTAAAAAAAAAAAAACCTTAGCCCTGTGAATGCTGGTGGCCTTTTTATATTATTGCTATATTGATGTTTTAATCTTTTGTTTTAATGGGTTTTAACATGTTGTTACTTATGTATGTTTAATATGTTGCTTTAATATGTTTAATATGTGGTTGTAAGCCACCTAGAAATGTTTTTTGGCAGTTATAAGCAGCATATAATATACACATAAAATGAATGAATGAATGAATGAATCTTTGCATTTTCAGCAAAGATGAAATGTTGCCATGGAAAATACCTTAAATAGCCTTCAGCAGACTTCATAAATGCCAGTAGAAATGCACAATACACAAGTAGATAGTTTACTCCCTTTTCCACATAATTGAAAACTTTTGGTATCACTTTCTTCTTGAGATATCTCTGAGGTGCTTTCCATGCTATTTACTGCACACTGTTGCTGCTAAAAACCATACGGGTGATGTACATGGTAGAAATAATTAGTCTGTAGCTTTAAAACTGTAATCCTTACCTGGGATTAAGTCCTTTAGAATGCAATGGATTTACTTCTGAGAAGATATATATGCTAGCATGCTAGAGATCTTTTGGAATTCAGCTCTCAGTATTCCTGACCTGGCTGGGGCTGATGGGTGCTGATCTGGAGGGCATCAAATTGGGAGAGGCAGCTTTAAAGTGCAGGGACTCTTAAGTGTTACCTGGCAAGGTGATGCTGCCATGGGAATGCTCGCACATTTGGACTGATGGCCATGTTGGCGGCATGCGAACGTGCCTCTGTTCCAAATGGATCTTCTGTTAAAAAAAACTTGAGGTGCAGGTAGTAACCCAAAGCAATGACTGCACATATAAAGTGGACAGCAGTGTGATCAACAAAGCAAGATGTTCATATTTTCTTGTAATTACAATCACAGCCCTTTAAAAAGATGTTTAAAATTGTCAAAGTAACATCTGAAAGATTTCCGTTCCGCCTTTCATGACATGTTATGTTCCTTCTAATTCAACCTGCGCAATTTGCAAAAGTACATGGGTCCAAAGTTAGCTGTGAGATGGGGAAGGATGAGCTCTCCAAGTCTGCACTCTGGATAGAAAGAAAATGTTTTCTGGAACAGCCTCCGAAAATAGCTCAAATCTTCAACTTGGACACTGATTTCATATTGGATTGCTAGTAACTCCACAGCTTTCTCAATCACATACTCATTCTGCAGCTGAGATAAGGTGCATGTCGAATACACCACCTCTCCTCCTGGACTGGTAGCAAGGATTCCAGCTCTGAAGGGAAGAGAAAGAAACATATACTGAGCGAGGAGATGATTTAAAACTAAAGCGATTCACTTGTCTAGGACTGTGGCTCAGGTTTCATGAACAGCTCAACAAAGCATGTGGCGTTCTTAATCCAAACAATACTCAGGGTCCTTTATCCACAGAGCACCCTATCCGCTGCTTCTCTGGTCAATGCTCTGCTCTGACACACAAAATCAGGCAGCCTTCTGCTGTCCTGCTCCACCAATATTCTGAATCTCCCCATACTTGAGAGCAATTGTCTCCAGCCTGGTACCCTCCAGATATTTTGAACTTCCGACTCTCATCCGTCCCAGCCAGCTTGGTCAACGTCCTGGAATCCTGGCTGCGAAAACAGCTGAAGGGCATCAGACTGGGGATGTCCACCTGAGAGCATTGCTTCTCCTCCTTGCTCTCCACTGAGTTATCCAAGTCCAAGTGGGAGAGTATCTTACAAGAATCTCATGAAGTAGCAGGAGTTCCTTGGGATAATTACACTGAAGACTGAGCTCCCATCTGGCTCACACTCTGACTTTTGAAAGTATCATTTGCCCAGTTGGTTATGGCAAATAAAGCTCACCTCCAAGTGGATAAGGCAGGGGAGCGTTGTGCGAATCTTCCACGCAACAACTAACATAGATATATGTGGGCAGGGAGGCAGGCAAACATAGGAGGTAGACTATTAAGGTTTGGGAGCTTCTGTGAACAATGTAATCAAACATAAAACATGGGGCCCAAGCAAGGCTCAACAGGTAGCTTCCATCACAGAAGGTCCAGATCACTCACACGAGTAATTGCAGTTGGAGCATTGGCAACATCTGACGCTCCCCTTTTCTCATGCGCTCAAAAATATTATTGTCCTCTTCTAGGAGTGAGTGCCGATCATTTGTGCACGGCACATCCACAAGCACCTACATGGAACACAATATCAAGAGTTTACTCTTAAAAACTATCATGAGTTTTACCTGTTAATTTCTTCCCACCCAGTCAGATGTATTTTGGTCAGGTTCCTTCTAATCTGCTCAAGAATGCTGACCATATGGTGAAAAGTCAAGAAAAGAATTTCAAGCTGTTATTGTCCTCAACAGTTATGGAAACACAAACTAGAAATTTACTGAGCTTTGTTATCTAATTCAAAAATGACAAGTAAAATTCTCAGGCTACCCCATAGAGAAAACTATCGGACTATATGTTAGAGGCAATTTTGTGTAAATCACATCACAGCTGCAAGTATTCTTCAGTTCCTTGCAAATAAGAGAATGCCCCCTTTGCCAACGGTATAGTGCTGGACTAAGGGTAAGGAGCCAAGTTAAAATCTTGGCCATGGAACTCACTGAGTGAATTTCAGGCAGACACAATCTCTCAGCCTAAACTGTGAGCATAAAATGGTCAGGAAAACCATGTACATCCAGAGAAGAAAAGATCTCAGAAATTAAATAACATATAAATAAAATTGAAGATATAAATGTACATACCTAGACGCAATACTGTCAAATAGAAAATGAAAGATTAATCTGGGAATTATTAAAAACAGGTGTGGGGTGGTAACAGTTCAAGAATAGAAACAGAATCCAGTTAGACTCTCTGAAAATTGCATCATTGTATTGGCAAAATGCTTTCAGACTCTAAGGTTATACATCACTTTTTGTGGATCACATGTTATGTATCACAGTTTATGAATCTACTGTATACATCAAACTGTAGATGAATGCGTTGGCATAAAAGAAAAATCTTGCTGGATCAGACCAAAGGTCCATTTAGTCCAGCACTCCATACCCACAGTGGCAAACCAGCTGCCCACAGGATCCCTCAAGCAGGATGAGTGAAAGACCTCCTCGTGCCCAAGATCCACTGGTGTGCATATAAATAGGTTCTAGCATGGCCATGAACTATGGCATATTGGGGATCCCAGAGATCCTGCCATAAACCCTTTTGGAGTCTGGATGAAGCAGCCCTTACAGACTATCCAGAGTCAGTAACATCTTATGGAATAACTCCTTGAAATAGCAGTGAAAACAACCAACATGTTTCCCAGCTCAAGGGTGTTACCAACTTATGAGACCATCTAAAGGTTAGGAAAATAACAGAAAGCATCTGCAGCCAGATCAATAACTGGAAAAATATTAATGAAGCAGGCATAGCAAAACTCCCAGCTAGAGCTCCCAGACCATCAAAAAGCTAAGCACTTTGGGACCCTACAATCTCTAGAACAATGTCTCACCAAATAAGAGTAATGAGTGGTCAGTGTGACTGAACAGGAATACATTTCGTGTCTGTACCTGCTTTATTTAAGTGCCCTTTCAATATGCAATCTTTGTGAATATATCGGTAGAGCGCCTGTGGGCCGCTTCATTGCTCCAACTCTTTTTAAATCCCTAATCTGATTGGGAGCGATCATTCTCCTCAAACATAACTTTGAGCCACCAGATGAATCACGTATAAAGTACAGATCTTGGCTATACTGTTAGTGAAGGAAAACAGTTCAGTGAAGTGTTATTCTAGGATTTGTACTCTTAAGATAAGCAAATGTGAAAATGTTCTAAAGGGGCAAGCCCTATTCTGTATGAGAAAATAATCCAAAGATTTGTATCTATTGTACTCTCCTAATGTGTGTGAATGTTCCAGTCTCAGTACCTCCATGTACCATATTACAAATGTCACAATGTCCCTCTTTTATTGTGAAAGGATTCCCCCAGCCTGAATGAAGGAAAGTCAGCAGAAGTAGCATACAAATTACAAGAAGGAAATGGCTAAAGAACTCAAAACAAGGCATTTTGAATGTGAACAAGAAGCTATAGTTAGTTAAGGTTGGGGGTAAAATACTAGACAAACAAGACTTTCAAGATACACTCAAAATTGGAAGCAATTGCATTTTATCTAGGAAAAACATCACATTTGAGCTTTGAGCCTCAGTCTGTATCTCATCCCATAATCCCTGCAATTTGTAGCACTGACCTTATCATAAGTGTTTTTCTCCAGGTCACCCCACTTCCTTCCATCCCATGATGTAACCCGCACTGTATTGTGGATCTCTCTGGGAAGGTAGCTGCGGAGAACCCCACGCAGCCGGCCAGTGCGTGAAACAGAGAGATCGTTGGCTGCCAGCTCTCCTATTGAAAATGAATAACAGCATAAACCAAAGGCAGCTCAACCTTCAGACTCTTTAAATCAGAAGGAATGATGTGTGCATGACCACCAAATGACAGCTATATCACTGTGTGCTGTGTACACCTTTCTCATTTGCACGCATCATACTGTCACACACACACAGCCACTTCTGGACAAATCCATGGATTCAGGAGAAGCATTACAAACAGGAGAGGCAGCTGCCAAGGTATCAGACTCTAACCCTGTCCTAAGAACATCTGGCTGGCACCTCTTTGGCCTCTGGAGGTGACCCACCATCCTTGGATTATAGTATAGAGGTAGCCAGATTTGCTCAATGGAAGAGCCACATGTGGGAAATGTCAGATGTTTGAGAGGAGCTAGTTGGTACCCGTGGGGGGTGGCAAGCGGGTGCCCACGGGCAGCAATGGCAGGTTGTGAGCAGCAAAATAAACTCAGAGGGTTTTATGCAGCTCCGAAGTCTCGGTTTGGCCACCCCCAGAATATGGCTACTCCAGCCCAGAAACCCCAATGCACCCCAGACTTAGGGCAGATCTTGTCCTGGTGACAGTGCTTGGACAGCAAATGTCATTGACCAGCATGCTAGCTGATGCTGCCCCCTCCTCACTTGACACCAAACCATGGAGACTGTAGCCTCTGGTCCTATAAAGAAAAACCACCAGAAGACTATTGTATATCGAGGAGATAGGGATGGTGTGCCACAATTGCTCCCTCTGTTCCTATGTCTCCTGAAGGACCTTAAGAATAGGGTCTCCTTAAGACCCAGTTGAGGTTCTCTGGCATGAAAAATGTGTTATTCTAGGCCGGTTGCTGATCGGGATGGTACAGCCTTGGAATGCAGGAGGATACTGTACACAGTGGATTTGGCTTACTGTCCACACACCTTAACTTATCTTTTAGGTGGTACCGAAATCATCATGAGACCTACAAACAGCAGGTGTGATTGATTACAGTGCTGTATTGAATGGCACGCAGCACTCCAAAATTTAGGATAAAAACCCTCCAAGTTCTGCCCAAGGGGAGCTTCGATGCAGGCCTAACTGGGCAGGTGCTGCATGCCGGCCGCAGACTGGGGTCTCCTCATTGTCGTCCACTGGGGCTCCCGACAACTGATTGAGGAAGGTCAGCTTGTTTGGTATTGTATAGTCTTCATATTATTGTGCCTGCTTTGGAATAAAATCTTTTGACATCAACCCACCTGGATCCAACCACCTTTTGCTTCTGGATCCAAAAAGAACCCTTGCCTTTGGCAAAACGCTTGGCGTCCCTCCTCCCTCTCCTTCACGATCTTCATTCTCACAGCCTCAGAACAGTTTTCAGGGCTATCTAAAACATTTCCACCAAATTTCAGTTGCTGTGTGCTTAAAATCTCGGCTGTTTCAGCCCTTTCCTCCCACTCGTCATCTATATCAGAGCCAAATTCCACAACTTCTTGGGGCACCTCTGCAGAGGGACTGGCCACACTGGAACCATGGTTTCCTCTGCACCATCAGCTATTAAAGTGCCCCTTTGACTGAACTGGTTTCTCTCTCTGAAGGCAGGGGTGGCCACCCAAATAGAGCTGCAGCACTTTCCAAGGCCCACACTGAGTTAGGCAAGACTGAGGAAACATCTGAGTCAGCGCCTACGAATCGCTCTCCTGAGCTTCGCAAGGAGCTATCCAAGGTGCTGCTTTTCCCAAACCTTTGCCTTGCTGGACTTCACCTTAATAGAACTTGAACGTATGCCTTGCCACAAGCCAAGAGCGTCATGCTTCAGCTGGAACCCCATCTGGGTGATACTATCTCCTGGGAGAAAACAAAGGAGCTTTCGAAAGATGAACCTGTGCAATCCCAATCACAATGTGGACCTCTCAGCAGCTTTCGATACCATCAACCATGGTATCCTCCTGGATAGGCTGGCGGGATTGGGAGTAGGAGGCACTGCCTGGCACTGCCTGCTCCTACCTTGAAAGCCGATTCCAGAAGATAGTGCTGGGGGACTTTGGCTCTGCGCTATGGCAACTTTGCCATGGAGTACCGCAGGGTTCCATTTTGTCCCCCTTGCTATTTAATATCTACATGAAACCGCTGGGAGAGGTCATTAGGAGGTGTGGGCTGCAGAACCATCAGTATGCTGATGATATCCAGCTCTACCTCTCTTTTTCAACTAATCCAGGTGAGGCAGTGGCTGTACTGAACTGGTGCCTGGCCGAGGTAATGGGCTGGATGAGGGCCAATAAACTGAAGCTCAATCCAGATAAGACGGAGGTTCTGTTGGTGGGTGATTCGAGCTCCTGGGTAGGTGACTCAGGCCTTGCCCTGGATGGGGTTGTACTCCCTCTAAAGGACAGGGTCCGCAACTTGGGAGTGCTCCTCGACCCGGAGCTGTCCTTGGAAGCCCAAGTGACAGCGGTGGCGAGGAGAGCTTTCCTTCAGCTTTGGCTAATCTATCAGCTGCGTCCCTCCCTGGAGGATTGCCTAGCAACATGCATTGCTTACTTCCTGGTTGGACTTCTGTAACTTGCTTTACGTGGGGCTGCCCTTGAAGACAGTCCGGATACTTCAGATGGTTCAAAATAGAGCTGCCAGGATGCTGTCGGGGACTGGGTGTTAGTCTCATATAACCCCAGTCCTCTATCAGCTCCAATGGCTCCCCATTGAAGTCCGGGCTCAATTCAAGGTGCTGGTTATTACCTATAAAGCCCTAAACGGCTTGGGACCAGGATACCTAAAGGAGTGCCTTTTTCCCCTATTTGCCTTCCCGCCCTCTGTGATCAGTAGCAGAGGCCCTCCTCCGGGAACCCTCTGTGAAAGATGATAGGAGATAGAGTAGCCGGAAGGGGGCCTTCGCTGCGGTGGCGCTCCAACTATGGAATGAGCTCCCTAGAGAGGTCCGCCTGGCGTTGTCATTATATGTTTTTCAGTGCCATGTCAAGACTTTTTATTTAATCAATATTTTAATACCTTCTAATATTGAATTGTATTTTATTAATTTGCAGCCAGAGTGGGTTGTCTATTTATGCTGTTAGCTGTCCAGATATGTTTGTAATTGGACGGCATACAAATTTTATAAATAAATAAATGTGCTACGAAAAGGAAGGGAACTACAGCAGGTCTCTCCAGTTGACCCAAACAAGTGAGCCATGCCAAATTCTATTGCAATTTCCCCAGGGTTCCTAGTGCAATCAGGACAAAAGCTCCCAAGCAACATTCCCCTACAATATTACTGAAAAGCAAGTCTCATACCAGGACTTATTTCTAAGAAAACATGCAAAAAACCTAGCTATACAATTCATTATACTATACAATCTTAATTTGTGAGATAAACAAGAGCAGGAGGAGAATTCATTTTGGGGAATTAGAAAACTGCATGGCATGAGACCTACACTTTTCTGAGGTTCACGAGCCTTGTGATAAAGAGTCAAAATCTACAGCACCAAAGCCTTTATGCCCAAAACCGCCTTATATTAAGTCAGTCTAGTCCCTTTTACTCAGATCTGAATGGCAGAAGTTCTCCAGGGGGAATCTTCTCCAGCTCCCCCCGGGGATGCCCGGTTTGAACCAGGAACTTTCTGTAGGTAAAGTACGTGCTCTCCCACAGAACAATAGCCCTCCCTGAAAGAAAAGACACCTAAAGCACACCAAGAGATGAGAAGACCTGGGCAAAAGCCCAGAAAAAAATGGGGAGAGTATGGCAAGAGCATTTTACTCATTTTTCCAAGGTATGTTTAAAATCTGTTTTCCCCAAAGGTTTCTTTCTTCCCTTCACCCACTTTTTGCTTTGTTCCCTCTGCCATCCCAACCAAGCCTTCACATATCTAGGCACAACACACAAGCACCTTCTCCTTTAGTTTCTTAAGTGTAAAAGAACCAACACATTTCAAAAATATGCAATCAATCTCAAAGCCCACTTAATGGGGTATAATGTATGTTGAATATATGTGCATAAACTCCATTATGATGACTGACGGGGAGAAACTTTGCACAGAATATATCAGCTCTGGAGATGGTTGTGCCCAAGACTTCAACCCTGCAAACAGAGTCCACACAGAAGTACAAAAAACTGTTTCACTGGCTGGTTCCAACTTCACCACAGGAATACCAGCTGCATATTGAAGGGCAAAGGCAGGAATAGGTTACTTACGACAACATCCAGTCTGCAGAAGTGCCAACGTTTTCCCACCTGGTGCTGCACAAAGGTCAAGGACTAAGTTACCAGGCTGTACATTGAGAGCCAAGACAGGCAAGATTGATGCAGCATCCAGGAGATAATAGCCCAGAATTCCTATAAAGTCTGGTCTGCAAAGAAAGGAAAGGTATGAAGCTTAAATGTACAATGAGCCCAAGCAGTATGAACTCTACAGTGACTCCTGCTTATAAAGTACTGGCAACATGGAAGGGCTGTGGTCAATGCACGGTTTGCAAAAGCTTCCAGGTTTACTCCTTAGCATTTCCAGGCAAGGTCGGAAAGGCCCAGTGGTGGAGAGCTGCAGCCAGTCAGCACAGCTAACACAGAGCGAGATGAAACAATGCTTTCAGTCTATACAAAGCAGCTTCTTCTCACCAGGTATGCACATGACTCTGGGAAATTCCTGAGTTAATTAACCACGAATTACAGGATGAGCAGAGCACTCAAGGCACATATTCATAATGTCTGCTTTCAGTTTAAAACCAGACTCAGAAAAATGGGTTAACCCCTGAGTTAATCCAACAATTGTCCATGGTTTGTTGCTGGATTAACTCTGGGTTGTTTAACCCATAAATAAACCAGAGCTTCTGGGTTCACATGCCACAATCCTGTGTTGTTGAATAAAAGCAGAAACAAGTATATAGCTTATGAGTTTTGCTCATCCCTACCATTCCTGGATTAAATCACCTAGGAATTTCCCATAGCAATACTCCAGATGATGCATGGCTCCAGCTTCAGAGAGGGGATGGTCTGGGGAAAAACACGGGATGAAAAAATATGGGACGAATATGGGACGAAAAAAGTTTATTTGGAAAATGGGAGAGGGGATGGATTTCTTTCCCATTTTAATGCCTTCACATCTGTATTCTAGTTCCTGTTACCCCTCAACATGGGCCATGCTGGTTGCTGCTGATGGAAGCTGAAATACCAAAATATCTGGGAGGGAAGGCAGATGGTGCTCACCTCTCTTAAGAGTGCACATGTGATTTTTATAGTTGCTGATGTAATTATTTATGAAATAATGTAATTATTTAAGAAATGCAGCTGTTTCTTGTTATTTTTTTATGTTTCTATCTACCATACAAGTCAGAAGGGGCCATCTCAGGCCATCTAGTCTGACTCGCAGCTCCAGCCTGCTCTGCTCATGTAATCCCCAGCATGTACTTGTCCAATGAGCTTTTTGAGTTAATGAATGTTTTGCTTTTCACATGTTGTGAGCAACATTATGCTTTCATTTAGTGCAAATAAAAGATGAATGAAATAAATGGATAGATAAATCCATGCTCGTGCAAACACATACAGTGGGGCTGTGAGCAAGTGAACAAACAGGAGCAAAAGAAGTTTCTGGAGCCTTTGGCAACATCTTGTTCCCCCCTTCCACCTGCTCTGTCTTCTTCTGGAAGGGCAGACAGCATATGTGCTCCATTTTAGTAAGAGACAAAAGTTGTGGCTCATTAAGAACATCAAAGAGAAACAAACACTGTGTTACTTACTATTGATAACAAGCAAATATTTTAGGAAACATTCATAAGAAACGTTTCAATCTGACAAATATTGAAGAATATCCCCCCTACACACACGCGCATGCATACAAATCAGCAACATACTTGGCTGGATGAAAAAGACTTATATCTCCTTTGGGGAATGTGTAGCATTTGATGTTAGGACTGATGGAAGGAAAGGGCTGTGTTTGGGGTAGCTCAGAAGGTTCAGCCTGAGTTTCTTGAGAGAAGGTAGATTCACTGGCAACTTGCTTAGCTGTAGAATCCAAATCCTGCACTCGTTGTAGAGATTCCCAAACAAAATCCACTGCATTTTTGTCTTCTAGTTGCTGGATTATCTGCTGCACATCAGAGAAATTGTTGACCAGAGCTCCATATTTCTGTTCCGACAGGAGGCTGATGCGGATGGAGGGCCAGAGACTACCAAACTGCACACTGTAGTTCATGTCAAAGATCTGCAGAGCCCGTCTAGTATTTAGCATCCGAGGAGCAGTAGTTGCCTTTAAAGGGATTAAAAGAACAGGTGTGTAACAGACTTGAAATCTCCAGTGCTGCTTAAGAGTGAACATTTCAGTGATATCCTCTACAAAAGTGGTATGTTTTCCCTACTGGCAACCTCTCCCTGATACTAAGAGAACTGGTTCACATGTAACAGCAGTAAACTGTGGGTGAATTAACCCACAACTTGCTGTGGTGTGTGCAAGGAATGTTCTGTGGCCATTTTGAATATGTGATTCCCAATTATGGACTGTTACTTGATATCCTAACCCAGACACCATAGATTAGTTATAGGATAAACAACCCACAATTAAGCAACAAGTAGCACTTAGTTTAACTGTGGGTTGCTTAACCCATAATCAACTTATAGTGTCTGCATTCAGATGCTATGTAGAAACCCCTGATTGTTATTAAATAAATAAAGCAGCCTTTTTATTTTCTAACCTGCCCCATTAGCCATAAGGCTCTCTGGGTGGGTTACAACAATAACAACAACAAACATAAAATAAAATAAAATAAAATAAAATAAAATAAAATAAAATACAGGATAGAATAAAATATAAAAATAGAAACAACAATTACCAATAAAAACTTTTACAACAATATCAGATGGGCTACAATAATAACATATCCACAGTTAAAATGCTACTAGAACAAGTTAACAATTAAAATACTGTTGAAATAAAAAGGTTTTCGCCTGGCAAACCTCTCTGAGGAGCTCGTTCCAAAGTCGGGGTGCCACTGCAGAAAAGGCTCTTCTTAATGTTACCACCTTCCTTCATGTTATCACCCTGTTAGGGAGGTTAGACTGAGCGTCTGTGACTGTGAGCATCGCAAGTCATCCAGTGAGGTTCATGGCTGAGTGAGGACTAAAACCCAGATCTCCCAGGTCCCCAGTCCAACATTCTAACCACCAGCTACACTGGCTCTGCCTGGGACATGATCAATCCACAGTCTACACCATTACATACAAACAGACCCTGTAATCTTTTCAGCACTAGGTGAAGACTCTCCTTTAATCCCATAAATTTGACTGCATATGATGGGGGTTTTGATGCTATTTATTTTATCAGGTCCCAATATTTTAGTATGTCTTTGTATAGGCTTTTAATTGTTTTAAAATTTTGTTTGTTAAAGGTTTTATTTTATGCTTTTATTATGCATTACAATTATATTACAATTTTGGTGAACTGTCTGGAGAGCTCTGGTTATTGGGCAGAAGAGAAACAAATGAAATAAAATGAGCAAACATTTCCAAAGGTTGGGTTTGGTCTCATATGGAACTAGGAGCAAGCACCCCATTCAAGAACACACACCCTGCAGCATGTCCACATCGCTGGGCAGTGAGAGTGAATTAGCACAGTCATGAGACTGCAGCAAATCACACAGCTATGTCCAACTCAATCAACACCCTGCCACCAGACTCACAAGACTGATCCTTCCCACATGAGATGACACCAAGGAAACACCCACCCCATTCCTATCCTAGGGACATATTCTCCCCTATACAAGGAGGTTTGCATTCTGCAACCAGAAAGTCCATATTCTGGGGATGAAGTATATGAATGTAACCTTGTCCAGTGAACAGGCTTTATTTTACAACAATCCTTGGAGATATTTGTTGCACTGCTTTTCTGAGGGGCTGAAGAAAGGTAACTGAAACTCAAGGTACAATGGAGGGAATACCAAAAGTAATAGCAGAAGGACACTAGAATTGGTGCAAAAATCCCATACATTTCCCTACCCAGTAACAGGAACTACTGAACATTTTACCAAATATTTCTTTGGAAAGAGGAGGGCAAGGAACTTAACCCATAATCAACCCAACTCTTCTGTAGTTAGTAGCAATGTCTGTGTATAGGTGTTTGTGTATGGGGGGCTGTGTCCTGTAAGAACCAACCAGCTTCTGTAGAAGGAAGACTACAGAATAAGTCCAGCCACAAGATGCAGATCAGGATTTCTGAGTAGATATGTAAAGTACACCGCAAGTCTGTGAGACCTAAATGTAATTACCTTTAAATTCTATTAAGCTCTATGGGATTTACTTCCAAGTTCAGGAGGCTAGCCTGCATTTTTTAATTTATTTAAAGATTAAAGGAACAGGATTACCTGTGCAATCCTATTTTTATCAACTCAATTCGGCATTCAATGGGCTGCATCCAAATTTAGTCATACTAAGAGAAGATTAAGGATGCAATCATGCCTATGGTTAGAGTGAAAAGAACCCTCGTACAACTCCCAGCATTCCTCAGCCTAAACACGAAAAGGATCGCACTCAAAATTCGTAACGACTATGTCAAATCTCGTTGATTTCAATCTCACTGATTTCAGGAGACTTAAGAATGACTGAGGTTGCAATCCTGTATCTGTTTACCAGAGGGTAAACCACAATGAACGTAGTCCTTACTTCTGAGTAAACACGTATAGGATTGCACTGTACGTCTGCATCGATCCCAGAGAGGTTAAAGGATGGAAAGTTCCCTTAGCCGCGCGACTTTTATTCTGAAAGAAAAACAGCAGAAGTTCTTTTTCAAAGAGCCCGAATGGAACTCTTTCTTCAACACTAATTTCAGATAAGCAAGGCGGAAAGTGGGATTGGGGGAATTTAACAACCGGGGTTCGTGAGCTGTTTGCAAAGAGGATTAGCCGGGCGAGAGTGCAGGGGCCAGCAAGGAAAGCAAGCCGCGCGAGGCGGGGTGCGCGATGCAGGATCGCGAAGGGTCTGCCAGGGAGACCGGGAAGACGGTGCGGAGGCGCTGCAGTCACTCTGGCCTCGCCGAGCGCCCGGGAAGGCGGCAGTTTTCCACTCACCCATTTCTTCTTATAGTGCCGATGTCGGCAGGGAGCCGAGGCGAGGAACGGGCCGCTCGGCAAAGGCGCCTCTCGCCGCGGCCGCTGCAGCAGCAGCATGAGCTGCAGGAGAGGCCGCCTCCCTCCCGCAGCGTGAGCAGCAGCCATCTCTATGCTCCGACGCCAAGCGCCCAACCAGCCAATCCGACCTACGTTAAGCGCTCCTCCTGCGGGTGGGGCCACCGCGGGGCAACCCACCGCACCGGCAGACCGGAAGAGCGGGAAAGAGATCGCAGCCCGCCCGGTCTTCGTAACCTAATATGCATATTAGGCAAATCAGACAGTTTAAGGCGGAGATTTCCTATCAAGTGCGCCCTCTTCGCGCCAGGCACCTAATGCAGGAGCTGAAGGAACGCTGGAAACGGACATGCCTGATTCATTTCGGCTAGAAAAGAAAATCCTTGGCCTTGGACGAGGCAGGTTCATTATTATGCCAGTGTACATAGTTCGGTGTCTGCCCTCGATTCCGTGAAAGCAAAGCTAGTCCCTTTTTTTTCTTCCAAATTGCAAATTCTTGACAACTGTTGTCTTTACTAAAATCAAAACACACCCTTAGCTTGCACCTGCTAACCATTTAGAAACAAATGGAATGCTTCCCCACAGCAGCAGAATATAGGTTGCAGACCACTGCACAATTACTGGGTAAATCATGTTGATTTCAAGAAAATTACAATTCATTTATTTTGATCTAGAGTTGCACATTATTTCAGTTCCTCCTTTGTTCACTGCACACCTGCATCTTCACCATTTCTCAACCACAGCTCCCCCCAGCAGTCTAGTGCGCTCCGGCGTGAACCACCACTTAAATCGGCACTGCTTTTTCAGGTATGGGTGAAGCCTGGCAAATGAAATTTCCTAAAATGTGTAGATGTGCACAGCGCAGAGATAAAAATGAAATTTTAGTATGGAAAAAGCAGCATACAATGCTAGCAAGAAGCGCCAAGAATTGTTCAGGACACAAAAACCTGCATGGCTGCCTAAGCACTTACAGGTTTTACAAAGCTGTTGCAAAAATTGCAGCTTGACCAATGCAATAACAAGGTGGGCATGATAATCCAATGACAGCAGCACAGGAAGAATCATGGCAAAATGAACCAATACTTCTATGTCTGACTTGTATGTAGCCTGGATTTCCAGATCCAAAGTTAGGGACAGTCCCTTGACACTGGAGCTAAGAATCAGAGTTACAAGCAATTTTCCATAGTCCTTTGCAACTGCTGCTCTTAGAAGTCAGGGAAAGGGACCTCACAGAGCAGCAAAAAGGGGCATTTCAGTGGACAGGGAGGGGAGGAGACTGGAGAAGTCAGGAAAGGATTTATCCAGCAGCCACTCCTGCTTCTTTCCCTCACCCCTCTGAGGCGTTCTAACTAGATAAGTGAAAAAGCCCTTCTACCAGAAAAGCAGGCTGGGAACGCAGAGATCTCAACTGCTCCTCCTGCTCTTTATAGAATGACTGTAAGCCTCTGAGCTTGGGGAGGTATAGTAACAAGACTAGACTTAAAACCCATTCTTCACCTAGAAGAGTTCTCCCATTTCCCATTTGACCTGTGGTCATTAGGTGGTTTTCTGCTGAGTGCTATGTGCTCATTTTGACTTCAAATATTTTTAACCAACTTTTTCAATTCTATGAATTATGATCTGTATGCAATTTATTTTCAATGCCATGAGAAAAAACTCTTTCTGAACTTGGTGTGCATTTCATTTAGAGCATGCTAGAATATTTATTGGAATGGTACCATGTTACTGTGGAATTTCTATCATGGAAAATGGCACTCAAGAATGCATCTGAATTAACAAACATTTAGCATTTCACAGGAACTTTGTTTAATATGGGAAGATACAGAAACATTGTAAAGTGTTGCAAATCTTCCAAACAACATAGAAGTATTTTGATGGCAACCTCTAATGCTTAAGAATTCCTAGATAGCTAGTTCCTTCTTCTCAAGCCACAAATGCATAGCAACACATCTACTTGAACAGAACAAGTTCAGATTTGCATCAGGTGTAGAAGAGGAGAGGATTGGCTTGCATGAACATCTATTTTAATTTGGAGAAGAGTTTATGAGCCACCTGAAAATCAAAAGATAGAACACATTTAATAAAAATTAAGACACATTAGTTACTGTTGCACTCTCTTTGGGAGCGAACTACATTCTAGCAGACAAGATAGCTCTTCCAGAGAGCTATAGTTTGGCAGCAGCAGGGAATTCTATAGGATGTCCTTTACAAAATATTTGGATGCTGCACAGAATTTCTAAACAACTAATAAAGAATGAAAAATGAGAACTGTGTAATTTCTCTTATGAAGCTGACAGTTCTTTCAAAACTATAAGGTACATAGTAAGATTGCATTTGAATTATTTGTTATTAATAAATACCTACATTCAAATGTAGTTTCTTGTTTGATGTCAACATGAACGGAATAAAAATTTTATGACTCAGCTTCGGAGAAATAGCTCATTTTCAGAGCCATATGCCAATGCTCAGACTGAGACGTCATTCTGTAGCAACTTACACAATGGTCTCTCGCATGTAAGAAGTCAAAAAGCTCCTCTGTACAGGTCTCTTCTGTATGGGACCTTGAGGTCACTCGAGCATCACACTGTTCTAAACGTTCCCGGACTTTCAAACATTTTTCTGATTTTTCACATTGTTCCCTGAGAGTAGTTAAGGGATCCTGGAGGAAAAGCAACATAAAAGTAGGAATAATTAACATAGATGCCTCATTACTAATTGAAGCTCACCCTTGCCCTAGAAAACACAAGATCTTGCTCTCTCTAATTCCAAATAAGGGAAAGGTACAAGCAGCTTTGAAATTGTGGGCTCTAAATTGTAGGTCATCACCAACCAAACTGTGGCAGCCAAGATGACTGAGAAGCACTTGTAAAAATGAAAGCCAAGGGCCTCAGAATTATAAACATGAGCCTTTGAGCCATGAAAAACTTTCTTAATCCGTACAACCCAAGTGATGTCTGTCACTGCTCTGGACTGGGAAAAGGATACATGTGCATGTAAAATAACATTTCAGGCTTCACAGTGCAGTTAAGTCAGGGGCACTATGTGCAGAAGTTGCTGTAGGATGTTTACAGATATTCAAAAAACATTACAATGTGATCCTAGAAATATGAATACTGCATCTCAGTTTGCCATGCAGAGAAAGCCATGTATTAATACTTTACTAACCAACTTTCAGCTCTGAATCCAAACAGACATCCTCCCCACATCTTTGTACCATTTGACAGCTTTCCAATTCTAGGTGGGAAATTTTGTGAAGCAAGAATTAATGTAAGTTTGTTGAGTAGGAAACCCTATGAATGACTTTTCTTACTTCATCATCATTATAAAGTTACATACCACAAGTTCTTCCTCCTCCTCCTCTTCCTCCTGAACAGAGAAACAAGAAAATCAAAAGAAATTCATGAGTCTTAAAATTTGCAGACCACCATAGCAAAACCAGGAACAATTCCAATTATTTACATTTTTCTATGCAAGACAGCTTCTCCCTGTCATAAGTTATTTTGAATATGCTTAGTACACCAATGCACTATTTGTTCCTAAATATCTATTCAACAGTATTTAGTCCAGTTGAACTTGGTATCAAGAAATATATTGGGACACAGAATAATTGTGCAATGAAGCCTTCACTCCTGGAGAACAGTTATGATTAAACTAGAACCAGAACCAAAATTATCAGGGAAAATCTACTGCACTTTAAGCAACAGAGATAATTTGTGATAGAGATGGGTATTGTTAAAATAAATTAAACAATAGGAGTCTAAATGGGGAAATTTCTTAGGGAGCTTCCAGAGGCTTCTAGTGCTAACAAGCAGAAGACATTGTATAACTAACTCCATCTTTTCTTCCTCAATGGATCTCCTGTGGTAAGAAATCCTACCACCACTACCACATACAAACAAGAATTCTGCAAAAAGAAAAAGAAAAGAAAAAAGACAGAGCAATGGCACAAAAATAAGTCTCACCTGGAAGTGTAGCTGAATTTTGTGTAAGAGAAATGAGGAACGGATGTGGCAAAGCACAAGAGAAAAATATGTGGCCCTCCAGGTATTAGAACTACATCATCTTGGACCTAGCCCATTTGGGTTGATGCGAGTCCAACAATATCTGGAAGACCACATCTGTTTATCTATCTGAATGGTAGAAGCACATGGAATTAAGTGTGCAAGTTATTATTTAAGCAAATACAGCAGAGACTCAGGGAACATTATATGGAAGGCACTGCGAAACAACATAATGTTGAACAGGATAAATGAAAGATAACCCCACAGCAAATATATAATATGGGCATCTTACAGTGCAGTTCAAAATGAGATGGGCCAAAGTATTCAAGAAGAAGGAGAAAAGAAACTGAAACAACACTAGAAAAACCAGCTTTGTTAAGTTGTACATAACTTTTTCAGCAGGAATTGTATACCAGGCACTGTACAGAATAAATAAATTAGGTTGTAACTACAGTAGCAGGGATCACAGACAGTAAAAGCTAAAAAGAAGAGAGGGGAATATCTTGTCTGGAAACTAGAACATGCATCTGCACATGTACTCATAAGTTGATACCTCTGTGAAAAATAAGGACAATGGAAAAATGAATTTAGGAAGGCTGGGATGAGTCCATGTAACCTGTTCTGAGTTTCTTTCAGAAGGGAGTTAAGTATAAATACATGGATTGTGAAACTAAAGAGGGTTTAACCAGAGCATCACAAAGATGGCAAAGCTTTGATAGAAGTGAAATAGCAGGCACAGAGCAAAAACTTACAATAAAAAGCAACAGAAAATAAAAGCAACAGGCAGAGGATTTATTTTATAATATTTTAAAGCTGTCCAATAATTAGTGCTCACTGGACAGATTACGATAAAGCACTGTATGTTAATGCTTTTCTTAATACCATGAGAAGTGTGCCCTGAAAGGCAAGCTTCAAATATTTTAATTTAAAGTGCTCATTAACTGCACAACTATATTGCCCTGGAAATAGTAAGCTAGAGGGAAGCATCTCCCAGCACCCACCATTAGCCAGAGGTCCAAGGACCACTGGCAAGTTGAACCCCCAGATTCCCTATAATGACACCAAGCCAAGGCGGATACGAACCAGGTCTATTCACTGGCTACAGAAGAAGCAACTATAAAATTCTTGCTTCTCCCTCCCTTCCTCCCCGGAAGAATACTTGCCTCTGAATGAAAGAAGCCAAGAAAAAAATATCCTGGCGCCATCTTGCCAATTGAACAAGTTGCCAATGAAAATAATCTGCCCTGAAGTGCATCCAGAAGGCCCTTATAACTCATCACCATATTCTGGTCTTGAAAGGCTGCCTCCCCTTCCTTTCCCCTTCCCGTGTGTATCTTCTCGTGCTGATATGGGCTTCCTCATTACATCCAGTGGGGCTGACTCTGAAAACAATGGGCACAGGATTGCAGCCGCAGCTATTCTGGCTGAGCTATCCACAGATCTACTGCAGTCCTATTAAACGAGACTTCGGCAGGAGGACGAGCCGGGAGTAGACCAAGACCCAGCGTGGGAACGCGACTGGGAGCAAAGCAGGTGGGAAACTCGAAGGAAGCCGAAGGGAACTCCTCAGATTCGAAAACAAAACACCTTTCGTTTACGCATCGTAATGAAGGGAAGAGCTCACCTTTGGGTCGCCACTGCGGCCTTCCAACGCCTTCTCGTCCTGCCACCCCATCGCTGCAGACCTTGCTCAGGCTTCGTTCCACTGCCTCAGAAGGACGCGCAAGGGTCACCCGCACGCTCGACGGAAGTCCCGCCCTTTCATCACCCTCGTTCCAACCGACCTTCTTAAGATGGCTCCATTTTATTACACCCAACATGGCGCCTCTGTTTGCGGCACGTACAGTGTTTTTGCCTCCACTACTATGGCCGCCAGTTCCGCTAAAATGGCGCTAGGGTGGAGGACGCTCGACCTGCCCAGTATGGCAACATCATACGTCTACATAACAATGCTTGACCCTCCCAAGATGGCGTAACTCAGCCTAGGGTCTTTAGAGTAGACCTGTGGCCTGAACAATATGGAGCCCAAGTCCGGAGGGGAGATCGCTGACCGGAATCCTCTCAGCCTGTTTGACTTAAGTGGCGCGGTAGTCAGCTCCATCATGAGACACGTGGAGAAAGAGGTTTGGGGTAAGAAGGGGAAGGGGATCAAACTGGGAGCATCCCCAGTCCTTCCTGACATTAGGACGCACGGGTCTTCCGTGGCACGGAATGCGAGACTCTGCTTCTGGCATCTGAGTGAGGGCTTTCTGGTACCGCGTAATTAAACATTCAGCATACGTGAGTGTCCAATATGCAACCAGGGAAGCGGGACTGAAAAACAGAAAGACATGCTCTAGGAAGCAGGCTACACGCCTTACCATACAAATAGGAAATAAACCTATCGGGCACAGTTGGACTGACAACCGAGTAAACATGCAGAGGATACTTTTGCTGCTGGATATCCTGGTGTAACTGTGGATTCAGCTATTTTACCTTTCTGCATATCCATGCATAGGACTGTTCTTGCTTCCCACTACCTTTTTTACAATATGTATTGCAAAACTGACGGTCACAGGTACAAGATAGAGTGATGGCCACAAATTTGGATGTCCTTCAAAGGGGATCAAATAGATTCATGGAGGAGAAGGCTATCGAAGGCTACCAGGCATGATGATTGCATATTACCTCCAATATGAGAAGCAGTGTGCCTCTGTATGCCAATTGCTGAGAAACATGAGTGGGGGAGAAACTACTGTGCTTATGTCTTGCTTGTGGGCTTCCCCTGTGTGACAGCTGGATGACTGTTTCCAGACAGAATGATGGTTTGATCCTGCGGGATTGCTCTTTTTCAACTGTATATTTGTTAGTGTGGCAGCAGGTCCCATTGAATTTGGTGGGACTTGGTAAGTTTAAAAATGCTTTGTGTTGGTCTCAATCTCAGAGTGAATGTCACAATGTAACTATAAACTTAAAGTGCTAGATTGGCTTTGCAAACAGTCTAAATATAAAAAAGGTGGAGGAAATCATTACTTACAAATATGATATAAATATCCTATTCAACTGTGATGGCAGGAGGAACATTCTCAAAACAGCTTTTAAACGGAATCAGTTTCCATGGTTTTATTTTCTAATGGTTGCCTCTAGGACTAGCAGTTTTTGCAGAGGTTCAGTTCTGGGCATGAAACATTGACTGAACAGGCCTGCAACCAATTCACCTCAGTTTGTTCTTTCGCTGTAACTAAAACACAACTTTGTATTGCTTTCTCCCCACAAAAGCACTTCCAGGTCCAGTCCTTCAGGGTATCCTGCCTCTACTTAACATATACTACCTGGAGCGAATTGAAGAGACTGCTGTGAAAAAAGGTCAGTAACTTTGTGGGAGGGGAAAGAATGATAGAAAGTTTTTAATAATAGTGGTCTCTTGTGAATTTTAAATATTCTGTTACTACATGGTAACCATAGCATGCAAGATTGTTTTTATGATAAAGACTAATCCCTGCTTGCCATACTTGCAGTTTCCAAGTCTACCTGGAAATTTGCCCAACTGATTTCAGTGTGGCTTATTTCCAAGTAAATGTACATAGGTTATTACTGGACTTAACTGAATTTAGTTGCACACAAGAGCTCAAGCTCAGACTCACAATTTCTCAAGCATAAGCTTCAGCCCTTCATTACATATGCAGATAATTTTCAATGTAGGTGTTCAGTTTAAATTTGAGGCAGAATTTTCATAGTAAATATTACATTTACTATTCATGAGGTAAGTCTTCTCATCAGAAATGGAATGCTTGCTTTAAATATATTAATTATGTACTTAGAGCATAATCCTATGCATGGCTACTCCAAAGTAAGCCCCCTTGAGTTCATTGGAACTTATTTCCAATTAAGTGTGTATAGAACCACAGTTTCCCATATATCATGCTATACATAACTGTGTATTTATGTAAAACTAACTGTCCAGATTAATTTTAATTGTAATTTTTAAAAAGTGTATTTTATATTCACCTAGGGCTCTCAACACAACCTATATGGTGCAAGCTCTGGTTTGACATCATCAAAACAAGACCTTCCAGATTAGAGGTGAGTTTAGGATGCAAACTATAAAGATGTCACACCTGTGAAGACCAGATTTCCTGTGTACCAGTCTTCTCCAACCTGGTGCCCTCCAGATTATTTAGAATACAATACTCGGGATTTCTAGTCACTGGCTATGCAGCTGAGGTGGACGGGGGTTGAAGTTGAGAGCATCTGGACAGCATCAGGTGAGGAAAGCTGCTGTACACACTTCTCTGGCAGGAAGACCCAATGAAAACAATGGGACTGAATTCCAAATAGACTTGTATTGCAGAGATTGTATCCTGTTGCTCTGCCTTTATTCTCAAGTTTCATGGAAACAGCCATTATATGGATTAAAAGCTGCACAAAAGCAGCATTATTTAAATGCTTTGAGTAGCTTCTGTTTGCACAACAGGACTTTGCCCTTCCCTCCTCCTTACTCTGCCCTCCATACCCAGATCTTCTCTACAGGATCCTCCAGGAGCAAAATTTGAAAGTGCATGGAGGCCTGTAGTGGAGCAGTGGAATACATCCCACCATTGGTATCTATTCCATTGGAAGTTGGCTAGAACCCAATAATTTTTCACTCCTGAGCTGGACAAACATTGCTGTCTTACTTTCCATCTTTGTTTAGAAGGGTTTGCATTCTTATGCACACACACCTGGGAGTAAGTCTTACTGAAATTAGTTGGACTTTCACCAGAGAACACACGGATGAGACTGCACAAGGCGTTTACATTACTATGGTTCAATTTGATTGCAGAGTGTCAAGTGTTGGAGGAAGAAATTCCTTGAAACCTTCTTCTCAAATGTGCTGCGTGGGATTTTGGATGTATCTTCATACCAACAGCTGAGTGATCCTTGCTTTCTGCCCTTGCTATACACTTCACGACATGTTACCCAGCTCACCATCTATAACATGCTTGAAGGCATATCAGAGCTCATGGCTGAACACAATCAGAGTGTTCTAGAAAACCTGGCTGTCTCACTCAAAAGTTTGACATTCCGTCACCTCCTCTCCTTAAGTCTCTCTGCCAGGCAACAGTTGAGTTTGTTTCTTCATCGCCTCATTCATCATGGTGCTGTGGACCAGCTGTCTATGTACTCTTGGCCTGATCCTGACCCAGTAGTGTTAGCCCTCATTCTAAAAATGAGTGCGGGGGGTTGGCACCCAGGAAAAGCAGTGATGAACCCAGGCAAACTTTGTCATCTGTGTCAAGAAAAATCTGTTGACCAGAAACAAAAGCTCGATCAAGAGTCTAAGAAGCTTTTTGATTCAAGGCAGCAGTTCCATAAATCAGCAGCTAGCCGATCCAGTGATAAGGAGCTGAGAAATGAGAAAGTGTTGCCCAGGTTGTCTCAAGAATTTGTTCCAGGCTTCAAAAATGCCATAGAACTGGCTAGAACCAATAACAAGATTCTACAAGACCCAGGAGGCCATGAATTGGGTTGCAATTCTTACCAAAACAGAATGCAGTACTGTGCTGGTTCAGAAAGAGACAGTGCTGATGAGGGATCTGTTAGTTCCACTGCAACAAAGTCAAGTCAAGATGCACCTGCTTTAGGAAGATCTCAAAAGAGGCGTAAGGTTGTAGCAACAAAAAAGCACAGCTGCTCTAGGAGGGCCACCCAAGCTGCTACAGAGTTGGATGACCTCTATGACTTTGTCTTTGCAGTTGCAAGGGAAGAGGAGGGGGAGAGCAAAAGAAGGCATGCTGAGGAGGGGAACAGGCTTGCAAATTGCTTCCAAGCAGAGGCTGCTGATGGTACTGGTGTGATTTGTCCTGAGGGAGCCCAACCAATAGGAATCACACCTTTGAAAATGGCTGCCTCTTTTCGAAGTGTATCCATGCTGGAAGTATTCTCCATCCCTCTGACCAGGAATATGTGTCAGATGCTTGGTAACTTGTTGAGTTCTTGGGTGTCTTTGGAAAAACTTGTCCTGACTTTGAACGGTGAGTGATAATGCAAATATCTGAATTCAGGAGTTTATAGCAATTTGATTTAGTCTTCTAATGCAGGGATGGGAACTTGTTGGATGCCAACTCCCATTAGCCCCAGCCAGTAATACAGACTTGGGTAGCTTGCATCTGCCAACAGAACATGTTGGATTTAGGGAGGTTTACAAAAATCCTTGGAGAGAAAGCAAAACGAAATAGTGTTTTTTTCCTTTTCATGCAAAGATTAAATCCTAGTTTGTTCTAGGTGTCCTTAACCTCATTTAACATCTGTCTTTCCAAGGTTCAGAAAGCAGTTCTAAAATACATGCAACAGATACACTTTTAAAAGAAAGGTAGCATATTTTTTAGCATACATGTGTGCAAGCATCATTTATTAATCCATATCTGAGTTTCTGATCATTTTGGAGCAGTGTTTCTCAAATAAGTAGTGGCTTATTTAGCAGTGGCTACAGATGTACTCATAAAAGATACTTTAGTGGCCACAGGAGAAGTCAAGCCTCACAGTTATGACTGCTATCACTACTGTCCTTCTCTTGAGAACAGCCAGCCTGAAGTCCTCCAGGAATTTTGGAGGACATCACCTCAGGCCATTAAGAGTGGTGGGAGTTCTAACCCAAACATCTGAATAGCACTAGGATGGGGAAGACTGCTTTAGAAGATGGGAGAAGTCCATGATTTATTCACCCTGATAATAAGAAGTCAAGGATAATGCATATAAAGTACAGGCTAAGACACATTCATTTACCTCGACTGTCTATTAGAGGTAAATACTCAGGATGTCTCATTCTGTTTAAGAGTCTGTATACATGGCTTGGGTGGCAATATATAGGATATAAGCCACTGCCAGACTGTAGAACAGGAGTAGGGAACCTGTTCTCCTCCAAAATTGGGATGCAGCTTCCGTAATTGGTGGTCATTGGCCCATGATGGCTGAGGCTGGTTTGGGTTGAAGTTCAATAATAATTGGAGGGCTGCAGATTTCCTCCTAGAGTTGTAAATCAAAGTTATCACTGAGCACACAGTCCTTTCCAGGATTAGACAAGAAAAAAAGATTCAACAACTCCCAGCTTTCTTCAGCCAGACAGTTGTAGAATTTTGTTGCTTTTGTTTTTTTGGTCTAAGCCTCCATGGGGTTGTACCCTAAGTTGATCAGGTAGTGATTATATAAGATCCATTGACCCTCTCTAATCAGAGAGCTGTACCGGAGTTTTTGTTGGGGACCTATTCTTGCCTTTTTTCCATAAATGGTCAGCCAAGCAGTAAATAATCTGGTGCAGAAGAAAACACCTTGGAGGTAGTTTTGCACTTCTAGCAGTAGCATTTACAAGGTCACTGAATGCAAGCTAACTCATTTTTAATGTTCATTAAACTCAATTCCAAATTATCAGAACCAGCCTGCCTTTTCAGGCCTCTCCTCTTTCCAGTTCCACTGTATCCGAGCCTCTCTTTGTTGCAGGCAGTGGCTACTTTTCTTACAGCCCAAGCTATCACCTTGCTGCACATGTGAAATACAGCCATCACATATAGGCAATTAATTCTGCCTTTAGTATCCAGGAATACCTCGGATAGTACTGAGTGGCAGAGCCAGTGTGGTGCAGTGGTTAAGAGCATGGGACTGGGACTCAGACGATTTGGGTTCTAGTCCCCGCTCGGCCATGGAGCCAACAGGGTGACTTTGGGCCAGTCACAGACTCTCAGCCCAACCTACCTCACAGGGCTGTTGTTGTGGGGATAAGATGGAGGAGGAGGAGATGTAAGCTGCCTTCAACCCTTTGTAGGAAAAAGGCAGGATATAAAGCAAGCAAGCAAGCAAGCAAGCAATTAAAATAAAATAAAATAAAATAAAATAAAATAGTTTGGATTTCCAGAGCTGAGGTTGCAAACAGGACTTAGGAATCCATGCTGTGATCCCCATGTTACCACCCATCAATGTGGAAAGAAATGCACTAGCTGCTTCACTGAGGTCAGAAAATCAGGCTCAGAGAAAAGGGTTAAGAGGGGAAAGTAGAGAAGACTGAGGTCACCAGGATACAAGATATCAGGAGAGTATGTAGGAACAGAGGGAAGATGGTGGCACCAGCAGCAGTGTGTGTTTGTTTGGATTTCCTGAGCTCCTTCTCTTGTGCTCTGGAGGTTCTGTTGGCCCCTTAGCAGGTTACAAAACAAAACACTATTTGGAGTTCTCTTTTATGAAGAATTGCTTTTTGAGGACAGTGTGCTTGGACTTAATTGTGGTATAAAGGACATTCTGATGGTACTCGAGCGTCCGTCCATCCTTCTCTGAACAGTTACGGCTTCACAGCCAAACTCTGCTTAAGAGCTTTCAAGTTCAGAGGCTTGTGAGCATCAGGGTTGCAATAGATAGGACTGCGCCTTAACTGTGGATGCTGCGGTGGGAGGACTTGCAGCCATGAGGAGCATCGGGTGCTTGGAACAGGTATCAAGGCAGCAGGTTAGATACTACAGATTGCTTGCCCAGTAGTCTGCTCAGCACTGCTCTTGGTCACTACAGCTCTCATTTTTTGACCCGGGAAAATTAAAACAGGATCTGGTAAATCTTTGATAGTGTCTAGTAGTTCTCAAGTGTCACCATCTTTCTTGGAAATGCATGCAAGATAGAGGTCTACATCTGTTTCAAGTGAAGTATTAATATTTGTTCTTGTGTGCGCGCACTTTCAACGTATATTTCTTCCTTTAACAAATCTGGTTCCAGGTTTAGGCCCCGGCATCTTAAATATCCTCTCTGGGCTCCGAGCCCTGTCCCGACACAGCAATTACTGCCTCCGTGTGGTGCATATCAGTGACATGTTTTCACATGTTCCCTGCATGAATCTTGTCCATTCTTTTTTGAGTGCTGTTCCATTGCTTCAGACGCTTTTGGTCAGCTTTGATCTCAGATCCACAACAGAATCAAGCAAGCCTGAAGAAAGCTCGGGGTTACCATCATTGCAGGAAGAAATTCCAGGTAAAATATTTTGTTTCCAACCTAACATTATAATGTGAATATCCCTTCTTGTAAGGGTGAGGTAATTGTGTTAATCTTGTGGAGGAGTTCCCATATAAACCATACCCATGTGATTGCTTTCATGTACCTGGTGATTTCATAGTCCAAATTATTTCTTTTCTGTGCATGCCATTACTTATCCTAGAAGTAACACCATACATGAGTTGGATTAGAACTGGGCTTGTCAATAAAACAAACAAATAGGCATTCCCTTTAAACAGCTAGTTCTTGTCCCTTTTGATATAGAAAAACCAAGGCATTCTCCAATTCTGGCTTTTCACCTTGAAAAAGCAGATGGTGTGACGCCCCATAGTGGAGAGTTTTGCATACAGAAAGGCCTTCTCTTTGGTAGCCCGCAAACTATGGGATGTCCTCCCCATAATGCTCAGCTGGCACCCATGTTACTATCTTCTCAGTGCCAGCTTATGGCTGTCCTCTTTGCCAAGGCATTGACCAACTCCAAAAAGCAGGTGGAAGCAGGAGGCATTGTCAGTTGTTTTAGGAGGCCCAGCAATATGAACTGGTCTTTATTCCTTGATGAAGTTTGGTATTAAATTTGTAATGTAATTTTGTGATTAAAAATTACTTATATTTTATATTATTTTATTTTATTAACTATTGTTCACTGCCCAGAGTATTTCAGCTATTTGGAAATATAGAAATAAAAATAATATTTAAATTAGCCAATGATGATTTGAGCAAGCTCTTCAAACTGATATCACAAACCCTTGTTTAATCCTGGTTCAAACGATGGGTTTTAAAGTTTCCAGTTGTGAAGAGGTTTTTCTCCTCTTCTGTCCACCACCTAGAGAGCCATCTGGAACATCTTGACATCAGATTTCCCCGGGAACCTCTTCAAACAAGTCTCTTGTTGCCTGTGCTAAAAGCTTCAAGGTCTCTCCAGAGTCTGTCTCTAGACAGTGTTGCAATTTCCTGTCCCGAGGAGGTTGGGTTTCTCCTTCATGCGCTCAGAGGTATGATGGAAGCGATTTTCCTGCAGTACACCTAATCAGTGATTCTTGTACTAAAATCTTTACCATCTGGCCAGCCAGGTGTGAGACCTGTATGTACTGCAGGCAGAACTGTAAAAGACTCTTATCAACATGTTGAAATAATACAAATAATACATTATTTCAACAATAATACATGTTGAAATAATACTGAATGGGAAAACTTGAATCAGCAGGCAGCTCCAAACACTTTATCCCCTGCAGAGGAGGGCAGGATGCTCGCCAATGGAGCAAAGCTCAGGGAACCAAGGTTCAATTTTGATGCCAGGAAGTACTTCCTGATAGTTAGGACCCCGAGGGTGTGGAATGGGCTTCCATGGGAAGTGGTTGAGGCCCCATCAGTGAGGGTGTTCAAGAATAGGCTAGACATACACATGGTGGGCATGTCGTGAGCGGAGCCGGGGGTCAGACTAGATGGCCCGGGAGACCCCTTCTGACTTGGTCTGTTTCTATCCTTTTAGAATATAGCCCAAGTCTCAGGAAGCTAAGCTTTCATGACATCAACCTTTCCAGCCATTCAAAAGAAGTCCTCTTTCTGCTGCAGGACCATATCCTTCAAGGTATATTAAGTTCATTTGTCTGCTTGTATCCAATATGAGTACTATTTTATCAGCAACTGCTCTTGCATGCAGTCAGGAAGCATATTTCTGCTTAGGATTGTCAGTATTGTATTTCAGAGACAGATGTTCCATTTCAATCATTCACTTGCAACATGGGGAGCTGATTTGCTTTGACCTCCATTTAGTGCTAAGGTTCTTCTTGTGCAGAGGTGGATGTTGGGCCAGAAAAGAGTCCTACTGCCTTTAAAGCAAAATGCTGCACTCTATTCAAGGAGTATTAAAAAGGGACACAAAGCTTAGAATATGAGAAAGGAGAAGGGGTGCTTCTCTCCACTATGTATTATAATTTTATTTTTAAAGTCAGTTTATGTTACCATAGTGGCTGACTGTATTCTGCTTTTCTGTGAAATTAATTTTACATAGCAAACCATAAAAACAAGGAACATATTTTTCAGTTATTGGCCTCCTTTATCTTGCAATAGAAATTACATTTTCCTTTTGTCGGCTGTTTGAAAACTGCACTGCTGAGCTTCTGTCTGAAATCATCAATGTTGTGAAGAACAATTCATCACTGAAGAGCCTTAGACTCCCTGGAAATAGGCTGGGTATGTAAGGCAAATAGAACAACTATTCTGTAATACTCTCTTTTCCTTGGTGAAAAGGTCTGCATGTTATTAACACTAGCACATTTTGCCTGCCTTGTCTGCTGTCTTTCAAGCTCAGTCAGCAAAGTCAGGAATTCAAATAGCTATTTTTGAGCTTTTGACTAAGCTTTTTTTCTACCAAAATTCATCAGTAAATACTGTTCATCGTGCAATTTGTGGGTTTCCAACTCTGCACCCTTTCTATCTTCTCACCTTTACAGTTTCAGCACAATCAGTAAGAAAAACTAGGACCATTGAACCATGATTTGCTGAGTTTTTATTTGCAGCAAGGTTTTTTTCCCCTAGTGGGAACATTCAGAGGTGTCATTACTTGCTGAAGCTTAAAGTGAAATACAGTCCATGCTTTATTAGACAATGCCTGAGTGCTGCTACTTTATTATGAATTAAACTTTTGACAGTAATACAGCTTGCTAAAGAAACCCACAAAATTTACTAGTTTTCCAAACAAATTCTAGTCAGTAGGGTGATGAAATGGTTTCTTTTCCTGCAGAGTTTCTGCTTAGCTTCTCTGCTGGATGCAAAGAAATAAAACACATTATCCCTCTTTCACCAGGCTGCTTATGTGCCTGCATGCAGCTCCTGTTCTTCTAATGCGGACCAAGCTTCAATTAAAGGTTGCTGTGATTATGAGCTGGAATAGTTCTATTTAAGATGGAATAAAGTATCTGTTTCTGAAAGTTACTTAATAAGAGGGAAATGAAGTAGGCTCGGCTTTCCCCCTTTAAGGGCTGATTTAAAAATAGATGAAATGATGGTGAGACTGCTGGATATTAAGTCCTTAATTATAAAATATATCTAAGCATTATCCAGAGTATGATCGTTTCCTTCCATAATAGTTCATAATCTATGACACACAAGGAAAGACGGCACAGAGTTTTGGTACCAATTGATATAGAATGGCTAAGTGGATGAGGGATGATACAGTTCTGGGCTGGCAAGAACAAAATAGTAGTTGCTTCCAACTGAGCCAATGGAGGGCTCTTTTCTACCTCACAGTCATGTGGAAATGAGGCAGGGCCTAATTTCTGATCAAGCTACATCATCCTTACAAATCTGATTAGTGCTACAGTGGCAAGAAAAGTTAGGCCTACGGTTCTTTCAGTACATCACTTCAAAACAGGTCTTTTTCCTACTGTATCAGGAGTCCTGGTGCTCTAGAATCAGAACCAGTAAGCAAATTAATGTATTTTCAGTGAATTTCTGCTGGTTGAGGACATGTTCTCCTTATCTGCAATTTACTCAGATCCAAAGAAAGAACAATGTGGCAGGATAAGGAGCAGATGAGTAGAGAGTAGGTGATTCACACTGATTGTTTCCTCATGTGCTGTTCTCTGCCGAATTTGACAGCACTGATTTTGTCTCAGCTTATACTTTGTTCCATTGCTGCTTTCATCTGTACTCATTCTGTTTATAATAGGCATTTAAATTGTATTCCACCCATCATTAGGAAATCACAGGCTGGTCGCACTGGCTGACATTTTTTCTGAAGATTCATCCTCTTCCATCTGTTTCCTGGATGTAAGGTACGTTACGTAGAACCCTCCTCAGTCAGTCCCATTGGAAACTAAATGGCAATAAAGTAGCTTACTAGAAGTGATGCATAGTCATCATGCATTCAGCAACTTCTTTTAACAGAGGCAAAACAATCCTTTCCAGTGTACATTTCTGAGGCATGCCAAATTTGAGTCTATGAACTATTTATACTGAAATACCCCAATAATCCAAATGATTGTTAATCAACATTGAGACTGTTTTAGAGTCGGTTTGGGGTCTTCTGCTGTCGGATTCAACAAACAAGGAAATAATTTCCATGATCAGTCCAGAATTATATTGATGAGTCTCATAAGCATCAGTATAGCTGTAAAAATTGAGACTGCACAGGATCAAGATTGCTTTCCATGTTATTTCTGCTTGATCACTGTCAGGTTTAGTTCTGAGTCATTTGGCAGGATGTGTTCAGAGCAACAAAGATGTGTGCCTTGAAATTATCTTTCCTCCAGTTGCTACTTTTGTTTTCCATTGTAAAATACTGAAGACTCAATTGTTTAGTTGAAACAAAATCATTTCATAAAAGCTCCATGTAAATGAAGTTTTTTCTAGATAAAGTTGCTATGATATGAAAGTATCACCTTATGTACACGTTCACTGATAAGCAGCAGAAGTGGACTAGTCTTATCCTATTCTCCCACAGCTCCAACTGTATCAAACCCGATGGTCTCCTAGAGTTTGCCAAGAAGCTGGAGAGCTATGTAAGCCAACGCGGAGAACACATCAAGTTTACCAAACTCTGCCTCTATCAAAACTGGCTAGACCAAGATGCTGTAACTGCTCAAGAGGCTCTCTTACGGCTAAAAGCTATGTGCAATGTAGTCAGTGACACATGGGACTCATCTCAGGCCTTTGCTGATTACATCAGTGTGATGTAATGAACACTTATGGAATAATATCTTGTATTAAAGTTGCTTGCATTTACTAGAATTCAGCTTCTCATTTTCTTCTAGACAGTTCCTATAGGAACTCGCCTCAGACTTTTTTTTAATAGGCGTTTATTTTATATCCCACAGTAACTTGGGGGAAAACAGTAAGAGCCTCTGAACTACTGGAGATAGGAGTGGGGGTTCAGTTATTAAAAGCATGGACAGTTATTGCAGGACTACATTAATCTCCATTGGTTAGGAGTTCACAAGCTCTGCAGTTATCACTAGTAGTTCAGAACCTTTTGTATTAATAGCCAAACCCCCTGCAACCATCAAACTTATTATGGAAACTAAGGCCTGCAGCCAAAACTAAGTACACAGAGGAAGACAGGATAACATTTGTAACATCTATCCTAAAGCTGGTTATAGAGATTTCATAAAAGTGTGATGCCGGTTTGTTCCAAAAAAACTTGACACACCATTCTTATGCATCTTATAAGACCTTCCACTGAGTTCAGTCTACAGATTGATGGGAATTATTTGTACAGTTAAGTTGTATGTCACAGAACAGTGATATAAACTGGCCTACCACTGTCCTCCAAATGCAGTACTATAGAGAATGGATAAAATAAGCTTATGGAAGTGAAAAGGAACAGAAATACTTTACCACTACTAGTGATTGCCTATATGGATCGTGTGGGTTAAAAACTTCTGAAATGAAGTAAAATGTGCACTTGACCAAAAGGAAGAAAGTTTATACTGAAGGAAAGCAGTTCAAAACTTTTATATATTCAAATATAATTTGTACTAGACTTCTGCTCAGCTAGGATAAAACCCAAGATGATCAAAATTTAGAAGTGGAAAATGGATTTTCTTCTCCTCTGTTACTTACTTGTAGAAAGTATGGATTCTATTTAAGGGGCACACCTTTGGTAGCTGGCTAATTTAAGCAGCCCAGGACAGCCTGTATGCATATATAACACTGTCTTCCAAAAGAGGGGAACTACTGGGGGCTGCTATATCGGCTTGCCTTTTCAGATAACAGCTTTTACCCCACTGTTCTAAAAACAATTGCTTTTTGTACATGTCTCCAGAGCAACAGTTTTTACCTTTCCAAACTAACAAATATATGCCAGAAAACCAATTCTAACATTAGCAGTGAGAACAAATCCATTTCCTCAGGTATTGTAGCATTCCCACACAAAGCAGATTTCATAAATATAATTTTGCCTTCCTACGTTAAAGCTTTGAAGATACAATAGCTGAAACAGCCAGATGTGTTCCTCCTTTTGGAAAACAAAACTCTTTCCATTCTAAAAAGCATCCCAACACATGTTAGAGCAAAAACACATTCACCTGTTTTTATCGTTGCCTCATCTTAGAAATAAATACAGTCATATTTCAAATAAGTACATTACTTTGTTTCCTATATCCATCCCCTACTCAAGGCAATAATCTGGTTCTAAACAGTTTAACTGTGGCTTTATTGTACAAGAAAGCAAATTTATAAGAAAGGCTTCAATTTGGGGTTATCCAATATGATTTTGATCTAAAGATTATCTCCTCACAGATTAAAATCTAGTGAAATAGCTTTAACCCTCACTAACAAACTAAGTTAGAACCAACAGGATTGCCAGAGTGGTTACATGGGATAGCAATATCTTTTCATGCTTCTTCTCCAGTTTGCTCTTAAAGCAGCGTTGTGAACTTACTTCAAGTCTTCTCGCCTGCTCATCTTTCATGATACCAGAAGCTTACTTTCATGATACCAGTGCTTTTTAGCACTAAGGAGAAACTAATTACCTTTTAATTCTTTTCCCAGCAGCTGGAAGGTAAAAGTCTAAACTTCCTTTTAAAGGAAAAAAGGAGGATTTGTAAAAACCTGCTTTACCCAAGTTCCATGTTGTATGGCCCAAATCATTCTGTGACCAGATGACTGACCCAGAGTTTTTGCAAAGTTTGTCAGGAGTACATCCTGCAGAAAAGACCATCTTCTCATACAACATGGCATTGAAAAGAGCTACCCTAATATTGCCAATTAGGGTAACAGGTGTAGATGCTTGAATAACTGTTTTTCTGAAGGAACAGACTGAAATTCAAATAGTCCAAACCAAAGATCATGCTATTCCCCGTTGCTCCTCATGAGAATGATGATGGAAGGTGAATGTAACAGCAGCATCCCAGGCAGCTTTGAGGACAGCATCTTGGAGGCCACGTTTTTCAGCACAGTGGTTCCACTGGGATAGGTCAGAAGTACAGTCAGACCCCTCTGGAGGCGGCCTGACTTGATGGCCATTCACACAGCGACGGCACTTGATCCTGTAACAAAAATCGCAGAATGCTGACAAAAACCAGAAGCTAGGAAACTGCAAGACTCCTAAGAGCTAAAAGCAATAGAAATTAGAAATATGCTCTATTTCCCAAACTGAAACAAAGGAAATACATTTATGACATCACTGTAGGTACATTCAGTTAGTGGAAAATATGGCCTTGTTCCAGCGAGCAGAATTAAAAGTGTTTCCTGAAACACAGAGCAACCTTGTGATCCATAATATATATATATTACTTTTCATCTTCCCCAAATAAAGGTGTGAAGCCAAAACCTTCAGAGGTCAAATGTCTCTCAATGGGGCCTCAGTGTATGTTAGCATCTTCTGGAGATATTCAATCTATCTGGGTGTTGGGGGAATACCACACCAGCTCGATAATCCCTGATGCTAATTGTCTTGGATTGGAAATGTTTATATAGGGACCTACACATGCAAAGTTCAACACATTCAGTCCAAGCCATCTGACCTGTACATTACAGGACTCAAAGCATATGGATATAAGGCAGGCCCTGCACACTTGCATAGGTCCCTATTTTAATGTTAAGTTCAATGTGCAAGCAACAAGCATGGGCAGTGTTGATTGCTATGATCTTGATCTCTCACCATATTTGTTTTTGCAAGTCCCCACATATCCTTCAGCTATTTCCTCAAATCCCTATACATATAAAAAGCAACTGATCATTAACCTAGGCCCTTCCAAGACTTACTTGTCATGGGTATCACTCAGGGTGGTCTCATTGAATGTGAAAAGTTCTTTCAGTTCCCCAAGAGAGAAGTGTCTTTCGACATCCTGCTCCTCATCTACTACACAGCTACTGAGAGCCTTCTTGTGGGTCTGCCTCTGGAAGATCTTTTCTTCAATTGTCCCTGTCTACAAGGAGACAAAAGAAGAGTGGGTGCTGTGATTCTGTAAGGTCTGTGGGTCCTTAAAAACGTCACTGGGCTGGTGTGCACGTCACAATTAGCCACCTGAAAAATAAGCTACAGTGCAGTGGTGGTTCAAACTCACCTTACTCCCAAGATCCAGTTAGGTCCTCTGGGGCTAGTTCTCTCCCCTACTCCCAAGCTCTGCGGCACATTCTCAACAACCACTATTTTGTTACTAATCACAAATGTGTTCATCAGCCAAGTAGTCTATTTTTCACCTTTGGAGAAATCTGCACATATTTAGCTTAAAATTGCTTTTTTTAACATAACCCTTTTGGACAATCCATGTACTGGGTTTGCATGTCATGACAAGCCACAATTAAAGCATGCCACAATGAAGCATCCAACCATGCACTATGGGTTCTCAGAGTGCTTGCACATGATAAATTGTGCAGAGGAAACCATGCAGAACTTGGATATCATTAAAAACAAGGCCAACACACCTGGTGTTGTACAAACCAGATCAGAACCTGAAATTTCCACCCTCCCATTAGCTCTAGCTGAGACTTTTGTTCCTGGGGGAAAGATGGTGTTAACCATTCTGCAGCATCCTCCCTACATTAGAATTTCTCCTCTGAACAATATCTCCATATAGCCCTGGTCACTTTATAAGGGGGGCAGGGGGTTCTGAAATCTGCCCAATCCTTTAATATCTTGTAGAAGATAGGCTATGCTTATCCTTTGAATTTTGTGTCATTTGTTAACCAAAGTTGGACTGCTAAAATAATTTTAGGCTGTTTGCATTTGCATAATGAACAGATGTGTAGCTTTACCTACTTTGAGCATTTGACATAGAGCAGGTAGGCAGAGAGAGACCTGGAAAGAAACCTGGCTGAAAAAAACAGGAGCCCAAAATAGGTCATGCTTCATATCCAAATGCAAAAGCAAAGGTTAAATTGTTTCCCTTTCTCAGACAACAGCAGCAAAAACTTGACCTACTCAATAAGCCTCCCAAAACTCAATCTGCCATCAAACAAGACATATTTTGCAAAGATCAAATGGCTCTAATGCAATTCTTCTGGGTTATCTCCTTTGAGTATGCATTTATGTAGCCAATTCCATAGCTCTGTATGTCCACTTCTGTAACACAATAAATGAACTCAGGGTCCAGTGCACATCAGCAGCTTCAAGAAAGTCACAGCCAGGCAACTGCTGCACATTTGTTTCCTCCCCGCAGCAGGCTCAGGCATTCCCGTTGACCTTCTGAGATGCAAACAGAAGCAGAGTTACGGGATCCAGCTCCATTCTTACCGAAAGCAATCGATAGATATAGCAAGTCTTCTTCTGCCCATCTCGCCACACACGGGCCATAGCCTGTTCATCATTGGCTGGATTCCAGTCTGGATCAAACATCACAAGTCTGTTTGCTCCAATCAGATTTAAGCCGCAGCCACCAGCTTTGCTGCTCAGCATGAAAATGAATTCAGGGCTCTGCAGGACCAGACCAACATACATGAAAGTGCCTGGCATAGGTAACAGTACCAAATGTTACCAATGTCAAATGTAGCATTATCACAAAAAACAGTTTTCAAAGTGAACTGCCTTAATTTCTCTTGCTTACAAGATGAAAGTAACACAGAAATTTCATAAAGGCTGTAGGTTGGTTGATGTTCCAGTCCTTCCCCACCATCTAAAGCCATTGGGTTCTCTCTACTTTGTAGGGGAGATAATGACAATATGTAACAGAAGTGGCCTTATATCATTTAGTTGCGTAAGCTCCAATTACAGATACTACCAATGGTACATGAGAGGCAATAATTAGACTGAAGCATCTTAATACATGTGAAAATTAAGCAGAAACATCTTGGTTGTGAGGATACAGAACAAGAGGGGAAACGAAATGCAGCATCCTTCCTATCACTTCCTTTCTTTTCTGTTGGTTCTTAATTGTACTTGCTTTTCTTGACCCCTATGTACCATGTAAAGAATAGCTTTTATATTGGGATGGGGAACTTGTAGGCCTAAAAATTTGGAGACACACAACTCCCATCATCCCTCACCACTGGCTATGTTGGCCAGGGCTGTAGGAAGCTGCGGCCCTTCAGGTGTTTTGGCTTACAAATTGCCCACCCAATTTAGATCCTTAACATTTTAAGGGAGTGTGGAGAGAAAAGTACATTATTTTATTTGATTGATTTTTAAATTTATAGACTGCTGAATAACCCAACGGGACTCTAAGTGGCAAACAATAAGATGCAAAACCAATTTAATTGAATGTTACAATTTCTATGAGGAGAAACCAATTGCCAGTGGTAGAACAAAATATTACTCGCAAAATATTACAAATACAATATAACAGAATATTACATAATATATTTATATCTTGTCTTATTCTTTTAAAGAACTCAGAGCAGCTTATATCATTCTCCCCCTACTCCTGCTCTCTGTCTTATCTCCTTAACCACCACCCTGTGAGGTAGGTTGGGCTGAGAGTCTATGATTGGCCCAAAGTTACCCAGTTGGCTTGATAGGTGAGCAGGAACTGGAACCCAGATCACCTGAGTCCCAGTCCCACACTCTTAACACTATACTACACTGTCTCTCATTACTAATTAGAGAATCATTCATTCATTCTATCCTACTCTTTTAAAAATGGGCTCAGAGCAGCACAATTCATTCTCCTCCTGCTGGTCTCAATTACACCATCAAATCACATGGCTGTGTTGGAACTTTCAGGTATTATCCAAGAGCAATGGAAAAGCCTTTTTAAAACATTCTTCCTATTAACATGATGTTTTGTGGCCAACATCTCTCCTTCAAGTATATGCACAGAATGTTTGGCTTAACTGGGATTAAACTGCATGAGGCTGAAGGGGCTTGTCATCGAAGATGACCCTGCAATTAAATTGTAAACTTCACAGAACATGAGCCAAGAAACTTCACTTACAGAGGGGCTGTTGAAGCGTTCCACCATCTTTGCTCTCTTTTTGATAGACATAGTGCCATCCAGACGGACATACAAGTACCTGGCACAAAACATGATGAATTTGGAGCTTGTATTAATATGCCCTTTACATAGCTGTGATTCACCCCCTACCATCTAAGCAAGATGTGTTCTAAGATGAATTTACAATCAGTCATTATACCTCCTAGTTCTGCAAAGCTTCTCAAAGAGGTCCAGTGTCTGGGTGTAATTAGACACAAGGACTACTTTATCATTAGTGGTGCTCCTAGTAACTGCCAGAATATAATCCAAAATCAGCATCTTTCCTGGAAGGAGGGAAAAAAATCAATGTTCACATAATCGTGTTGAGAAAACAATCACAGAATGTCAATATATAGATTTTGCAGCAATGTTTACCTGAGAGTTGAGGTTCTAGAGACTTAATACTGTAGCCAGAAGGAAACAACTGCAGAGCACCCGCAAACCCTTCTTCTTCTTCCGTACACTTCTCGTAGATCAGCGCTGGGTCTGGATTAAAGTGCAACAGCATTGCGTGGAACTGAGTTGGCAAATGTCTTACTTAGTCAGGTGGAAGGACTAACCTTCACGTGATGAAACATCTCTTTTCAAGAGCAGATTTTCACCAAACTTGCGTAGTTGGAGCATCCAACTATCCTCTGAACCATCTTATAAACAATTCTTTGCTGTATTAAACATGTAGGGTCTAACATCTGGCAATGATGACTCTATGCAACAGACTTTGTGCAACAATAACTAACTTTTATTTAGAGTAACATTTCTAACAATGATAAGCCTTGTTCAGGCATTTGCTTGACTATGTGTGAGCTCAAAGTAGGGACTTTGACCAGGCCATACATACTGGCCTCCCCCACTATATCTCTGGGTACACTAGTGGTGTCTCCCTCCATTCAGGCCATGCTATGTTGAAATGCCAAGGTCTGAAAAGATCTCTTTGCATGATTACTGCCACTCTTTTATCAATGATGAATTATTTTTCTGGTCCCTCTGTGCAAAAAAAAAAAAAAAAAAATCTGTGTCCTGGGATCAGTGGTATAGAATACAAGTCCTGGTTTACCCAAAAAGTTTTCTCCTTTAAATAAGAATATATAACTAAAGCATGAGTTATTTTTAATAGCTATCATATTTAGTCACTACTTTGAAGTATACCCTTACCAAATGTATCTGAATGCCCAGTGTTCTATGTGTAAAAGCACGTCCTGTTGTACTTCAGATTTAGATGCTTCGAGGATAGTCATCTTATTCCTAGCATCTTGCAACACATTTTGGATACTTGGGCTAAGGCATGATATAAATACAGAACTACTCACGGTTACACAGCTTCTTCAGAGACGTGATTGAGGAGAGAGATGAAACACTCATCTTTCCCTCTTTCAAATCTTCAGCTGGTTTGGCTTGCTTCAAGAAGTGTTTGTATAGTTCAGACTGAAGGGGAGTCAGCCTGAAGTGAAATGAGACACTGATCATGTTGAGATCACTACCATTTTACAATTGTAAATATTACAGTCATATCCCATTACCATGTCTGAACAAAAATGGTTTAGGCCCAAAAACAAACACAGCCCACAATGATTCAAGCTTTCCAAAGAGTATAAGCTATTTTTTATTCTTGTAGCACATATAATTTTGGGATACAAGAGGAGCTTAGCTCACAATTTACTTTGGTGGAATGCTCTAGCTGTAAGGAAATCTATCCCTCAGTCTGCTGGCTGAAATTGTTTTTAATGCAAACACTAATCTCAAATTATGCCAAAAGAAATACTCCTATTCCCAATGGTAAGGACAGTCTCAAAGCTGCATTTCTAAGGTGACAGCTAAAAATCCAAATTTCTAGACAGAGATTAAATATGTTCAGAGTTAATTTTGTTTTGTGAGCCGCCCCGAGGCTTTGGCGAATGGGGCGGCGTAGAAATTTTCTAAATAAATAAAAAATAAATAAATTTTCATTTTGATATTTTACTGAAATAGCATGTTCAGCTTATCAGAAACTGACTTGCAGTATAACTTTGGACAATCTAAGAAACTGAGGAAACAGATTAACACATCAAGTGATACTATTTTATTATTTCATATTTGGAATATGGTATTTTTACAATGGCTTGTGTCCATTCTTAGAGCAGACCCACTGGAAAAAAAATCTGACACTTTAGCTATGTCTAAATTAAGACCCATTGACTCCAATGGTGTTACTATAAACATGATTAAACTTGAATCCAAGCTAATATAGATGTTTCATCACATCTTTTATCTAACTACATCCAGTTAGATGTAGCATCTATGGCTAACCCAAAATATAGTGTTTCTGACAACCACTGTTTTCTACCAGGCTGCAGAGGCAAACCCTACGTTATTTACACATCCCTTCACCTGTTCTCAGTTGTTGCTTGAAACTTAGTACATTAGTTTTACAACCCAACAAATGAAGTAGGTTAGCGTGCTTAAATTGGGTGGAATGCCTAGCTCCAAACTGCTGTCCCAGGAAGATAACCTGTCTTGTCTCCCTGCTACTCCAAGTGGCTACCAATAACCTAAGTCCAAATGCTCTGAAATACCATGGTGTGAACATAGCATGATACAACATCAACACTGCTGCTTGCAGACAGTAACAAAATAAAGTTAAAATACAAGCAGAGGCATGAGGGGATGCTACTGAGGAATACTTGGACTAGAGGTCCATTCATCTTGCATCCTCATCATCGTAGTCATCTAACCTATGTGCAGTCAATGGGTTGTACAGATTTTAAACAGGCAGAAAGTGCTGGTGGGTAAAGGAATCAGTTTTCTTGACTTTGCATAATAGCTCAATTAATTTCTTTACATTGAGAGGATAATGACTATATGTAGCTAGTGCTTACATATGAATATTTGTCAATTATGTCTCTTTATTATCCTGATAAATAATTCAGTGGAATTTAAGATGAAAGGTTAATTGATCCTTACTCAAACCCAGAAAGAATATTTTGCTATGATAGTGTAACACACAGTAGAATACAGTACAGACAGTTTCTAATGGTTTTTGCTTTGAAGTAGATTCCAAATAAATTCCGTTGTGAACTCCTTGCACTTGCTCATTAAGTGAAAAGGTTGCACTTTCATCCGGTACCTGCAGCACACCACCTGTTCAATTTTGACTGGCAAATATTTGGAGAGAATATCTGAAGTCCTCCTTATGAGACACCTAGAAAAAATCAAAATGAATACCAATAACAAGATGGCTGGTGCTCATGATGAGCTTTCGGCACTGTTTCTACTTGATATGAAATAGATTCATATTATAAACCTAAAGTCCTTGATCAGCACTGCAAGTTAACAGGATGCTTCTTTGTTACAAAGCAGGAAAACAAAAGCTATTCTAGGCTGAGATCTGCCAACAGGTCAACATCTACTAAAGCAAACCAACTCCTGTGGAACTGATCAAAGTTTTCAAATGAGACAGCAAAGAAAGCAAAACAGCAGCAGGTAATACCAAGATTACAGGGGGAAATGAGTTTAGGGGATCTAAACACATACATGACCCACAGATAAATCAGTGGTTCCTTCAAAATGGGTTGTTTCCACTTCTGGAGACCTGTTGGAAGCTCTCAGGATGAACTGAATAATGAGTGACTTCTAATGCCAAGGAACTAGGTTCAACCCAATGAGAGGAAGGCCTCAGAAGGTACAAGAGCAATAAATTATTCTTAGCATGAAAAGCTATTCTGAAATTTACCTGTTGACAATGCTGATGAGCTCTTTAAGTCTTTCCTCTCCTTTGTGCCTTTGCGCCTCACTTGCATCTGCATCTCTGCCCTTCAGAATGGGCATTTCAAAGTGTTTTTTGAACTCCTGAGCTGTCCCTGTGCAAAAGAAGTTATGGGAGATTTGGAATGCAGCATCCACTGTCCCAGAAGCACCATGCCTCCTTGTCCTTACCATATCCTTTTAACAAGATATTCATCTGTACAAAAGCGGTTACACAAAGAACCTCCCTCACATAAGTCTGAGTTAGCAAGATATGGCACAAATTCCTGGCTCGGAATTGTGATGTCATATACGACAAACAGGAAAGACTACTGCTCTGCTAGCAAAGGAAACAAGAACTTCTCTAGTGATTGTTGTTCATTTTCTGGAACGCCAACTGTAGTGACGATTTCATTAGCTCAAGTCTTCCAATAAAACAGCCGGCCATTAAATATGGAACAAGGCAATACCACAAAGACGTAGGTAACTGAGTATGCAGTATCAATCTGATACATGCTGGCAGCTCACAACAATGCTTTCTCACATCCAGCCAGAACAGCAGGGATCCTTAAAGGTTGGGATACAGGTGGGGAGTGAGCAAAGGATGAGAAAAATCTACTGCTGAGGAATAAAGAAAGCAAATCAGAGTTTCTTCCATTGTCTGCCAGACAAACATCAGCTATGGCAACAAACCATGGGTTAAATCAACCACAGGTATGAAAGCAGGCTTTTAGATTACTATGCTGCTACAGAGTCACTACCTAGGATGCCTGAATTGACAAAATGCACTAGACTGAAATATTCAAGGAGGTCATTCTGAATGGGGGTTCCTGAGATGAGCACCCGTCGCGGTGTGTTCAAGCTGTCGAGAGCCTGGTATGTCTGGTTGTCTGAGTTCTTCAATCTGTGACCCTGAAAATAAATTGTAAAGAAAAATTATGGTGCTCAGGCAGAAAAAAATAACTTGATGCATATTTAGACAGGGTCAAGGTAGTACACCTATCTTATAAGCTTAAAGATGCAATTAAAGCTAAACATTGACAAGTGACAGGAAATCTGTTAATAGCTGCATATATGCTAGTGGCTGGAAGAAACAGGCACTGCCAGTGAAGGAGTGAATGGAGAAAGGGAAGTGTTAAAGGATTCTGATATACAAAGTTTTTTTATTAAAGAACATTCAGGAATATTGGTACCCCTTTATAAAATACTGGAATAGAGAATATGAATTTCAAGAATGTAATACCAGATGTATTGAACATAGCCCAATGCACTGACTATTTCATTTATTTCTGGAACCACAGGACCTCTTTGATCCTTAAAGTACAAGAACAAGGAACCCCTTTTTAGATCCCAACATTCCCAGGGCTACTTGAGGCCCGTGTGCTCTGAGAGAAGACAGAAGAAAAGCCTGGGAGCTTCTCATCAGCTCCTGAAAAAGCCTTCAGCTGGCCTGAGAGAACTACATTGTGGTGTTTGGATTTTGTTTTTTCTTATGTTGTCCTGGTCTAAACATACAACTGTTTTGTCAAAATATGTGCAACTGTTTTCTGTCTTATTTACAGAAATCACTTATTTACTTGGCTATTTATTTGACTGACTGTAACCTGCTTAAAAATCAGAGCCAACTGTTCAACACACCCCACTCACATGAGGAGCAAGGATTTGAAAAGCAGACATAATCATTAAACAGGCAATAAGCCATTTTTTAAATGACAGCCTCCTTTTCCTCTGTGTTTACATGTTTCCTGTATGTACACATTGACTAAGGAAGCACTTGGCATTACTTGCCAAGTCCTCCCTCATGTCCCATCTTCTTTCTCAACTGCCTGTTGCAGAAGTGGCAAGGCTATGCCTGGACTTAGCATCTTTTTTGCTGTACTCCTGCTTGAACTTTCCAGAGAAGAACAATTTCCATTCTTCCTCATGGTCTAATACTGAAGGAAAGAATTCCTTCCATGACAGCAGCATCTTTTGTGCTCCAGTGTCTATCGGTTCTGAATGAACACTGCTGATGCCTTCAACTGTCAAAGATGCTCACTTTGAAATATATGTTGTTTATGGAAACAGAGTAACTTGTAATAGAGAAAGTAAGAGCTGATGGCTACAATGGATTGTAAAATGTTAAGAAATGTGGAGTGTGGCTTGTTGCAAATCCAACAAACCTTCGATCTCAGCTGCTTTCCTCCAACTCTATAAAGAAGCAAGATCTACAAGGAAATGGTACTACATAAATAGTTTGTTGGGCAGATTCAGTACTGAAATTTAGGAACATCAAAGTTCAGTTCTAGGCTTGATCAAAGTTAGTTAATGAAATCATCAGTTTCCATCCACATACCTCATCACATATGACTAGTCCAACACTCCCTTTCCGGAGAATTTCAGCATGAAGGCGAAATGTTTCATAGGAAATTATCAGGATGGGAGAAGGGACTCTTAGTCCTCTCTGATTCATAAATCCAGCTACAAGGAAAAATAAAAATGGCAAAGATGAAAAGGGGAATGACATGCTTTTGAAAGCCAGCAAAGAGACAGGTGAAAACATTAAAGGCTCTTCAGTATTGTAAAACTGTGCAACCAACATTGAAAGTTAGTCCATGGAAGACGGTGGCTACATAAGGGAAAACCGTGCCACCCGCCACCATATTATCTGCCTTGGCTATTTTGCTGCATGCTACTTCTTGAACTGCTACATAGTGCTTTATACATCGAAGCATCACGATCCACTATCCACCTCAATCCAAGGTTAAACTGAGGGTCCGGACCATCCAATCCCAACAATCTACCCCAACTTCCTAGCTTCTCCACATTTGTCTCTTCACTCAACCTTTGTTTCAGACTCAGTCATATTTAAAGAAAACCCACTGACATCAATAGGACTAAAGTTATTCCTGTCTATTTAGCTGCATTCATTTTAATAGGTTTACATTACTGTAAGCATGACAATGGCTGGAACTAGCCCATAGCTTTTTGCCATCTTTGTTGTTCCCTCCTTTATTCAGAACCATAACAACCATAAATCAAATTATTTATTTATTTATTTATTTATTTATTTATTTATTTATTAAAACATTTTTATGCCGCCCCATTCGCCGAAGCCTCGGGGCGGCTTACAACATAGATAAAACAAGTTAAAATCCATATAAAATAATCTTAATTAAAACTCACATTATAAAATAAGCCGCCCTGGCCAGATAAAATTCAATTGTATTTAGCATTTAAAATGTTGCTTAAATAAAAAGGTCTTAGCCTGGCGCCGAAAAACAAATAACGACGGCGCCAGGCGGACCTCTCTGGGGAGCGCATTCTACATAACTTACAATAATTCAACTGTAGTCTGCTAAGAGAGTGACTGATGCCTTAATTCTGTTTGAAGCTATTCAGCTGTTCAACAAATGTAGTGTTCATGTTTTCCAACAAAACAAAAAAGAAAAAGAAAACCCAGTACATACTGTATAGCTTTCATACCTAGCTTATTGTCTATGTCCTCTTTGGAGCCTCCATCAATAGCCAGAGGTTGAATCCTTCCTCCAAGCCATTTCTCCACTTCATTATACCAGTTTTTCACAAGGCTGGAAGGCGAGACCACAATCGCCTTGTCAATTTCAGGCTTGCAATCTGGGCTTTGGCGCAAGAGTGTCCACATCAGAGTGATACATTGCAAGGTTTTTCCCAGACCCATCTCATCTGCCATGATGCAGCCATGACTTCCAGGGATCCGACGGCTTGTCACGCACTCCCACAGGAATTTCACCCCCTAGTTGAAAGTATTTATCTTTAATCAAAGCACACTTGAAGAATATAAATCATATTGTGTTAGTCAGATGAAGCATAGAAGATCTTGCCATGACCAATACCAGTGAATAATAACCCCAAAAAGTAATAACACAAGGCAATGAAAATTGGAAGTACAAAAAGCTCAGAAAAATGCATAAATGCAAGTTCCAGTATTAGCCAGTAGTGCCATTTGCTGCAGGTTAGACATACTTCCTATGCTGGGATTTACAATATCGGGTAACCAAGGCAAACACTGTGCTTACAGTAGCATCAAGAGAAGTCTCCATGCCACCGTTTCCTGCAGAAAATGTGAGCTGAGCTAAACCGGCTATTGCTGCATGGTCAATATCAGCACTTCACCACAGTTGCAGCCAACACACAGGTCATTCCCACTTCACTTTCTGCTACAAAGCAGAAAAGCAGAAGGGAACTTAGTGGTCTGATACTGCATGGCAGAGATGCTCCATGTGCCTTGCCATGCAGCTGCAAGGACCCTCACACACAGCCTTCCTCCTAAGCTTAGAGGGAGCGAGAAGATACCATTCTCAGCTATGAGATGGTAGCTACCCATCCCTACCACTTGAGAAGGCAGAAAAACACACTCACCAGAGTGTGCTTACCTCGTCTCTACGGATTGTTGTAGACTTGCCTGCGCAGTTTGAGGTAGCAGAGTCCTCAGATCCCATTTTTCTCCCAGGGATTTCTCAGCCACACCTGTTGCTACTGCATTTGGTTTCTCAGAGCACTCACCTCTCTCTGGTGGGGTCGTAAAATACGACTGAGCACAGGATCCACCACAACATGTACAGGTATTTTGTCCCTTCAGGAGGCAAACAGAGAATGGATCTGAACTAGTGTAAAGATCAAAGTGATGCCATGAAAAATATTTCCAAGGGACAGAAGGACTACTAGCATTAATGAGCCACTCAGTTTCACAAGACAGGGGCTCTTATACTGTGATTCAAAGTCACTGGGCACTGATCTGATTCAAAGCAACCACACAATTCAAAAATGCTCTGGCTACATCATACACTAACTCTAACATTACACTAACAGCATTCAGAAAACAGTCTTCAGTGATAAAGAAATATTGGTAAGAAGCACCCACACAGAGACCACTATTATCTTTGCCAGCTTCAACAACCTTGTGTGGAACAAAACCTGGCCCAGAAATATCATAAATGTGTGTCCCACCCTTGAGCCTGCATTCTTGGAGATAGGTAAGCATAGCGGCTCTGTATAAAATACCAGTTTATGCCAGCTTGAGATCTAAGGCTCAATCCAGAATCACATAAAAGCAGAAATGAGAATCGAGCTAAAAACCAAGAGGAAGGTATCGGGGCTGAACCAGAACAACTCACTTGTCTATTTTCAACTGCTCATGAGCACTCAGAGGCGGAGGTTCATACAGCACCAAAGCTCCTTCTTCAAAAGGGTCGTGGAGAGCATGCCGAACCCCTGCTCGTTTGACACCTAGTGCCCTTAAGCCCAGGGAACCTGAAAGGTCACACAGTGAGAGCAATCTTTATGGTTTCCTCTTCAGCAAAAGCAAGGCTTTTGAGATTCAACAGCAAGCTGGTGCACAGCAACAGTACTTTGTGAAGGGTATAAAGGTACAGATCAGATCTTGGTGAGGTGATAACTTTTGGACTGGGGACCTGGAAGATCTTGGTTCTACTCCCCACTGTGCCACAAAATTGTCTTGGTGAGTCTGGGCCAGTCACTCACTCTCAGCCTAACCTACTTCACAGGGCTTTTGTTTTGAGGATAAAATGGAGCCATGCAAGCTGCCTTACATGAGGGAAAAGGCAGGGCATAAGTGCAATCTAAAAACAGTAATATGATAGGATATCACATTTAAGTCTGGCACATCATTACTGACAACATCATGAGGCAATGAGAAGAAAGGCAACACTATGAGACAAAGAACGCTTTCCACAATAACCCACAAAAAGGATTGTTCTTTTAGCTGAAAAATCAGAGGAAGCCAGTATCAGTGCCGGAGCTAGCAGCCACTCTGATTATTTTGCACAGTGGACAACACAGGCACAGCTGACTGTGTGGATCGGGAACTGTGTTCCCTCCTGCTCTTCACTTTGGTTAGAAATATTATGTCCACCCCAAGACAAGAACTTTTCTGTACAAGGGGCAGTTTCTAGCTTATTTGCAAGTACAAATGTATTAGAGAGAGCAACCCACCTTTCCCCCAAATGGAATTAGCACTAACTACACACTAGTTGGGTAAAATTGCATTGGAAAAGGAGAGCCAAGGCATCTTTAACCATACATGCAGATTATGGCACAAAACTCCAAACCTCCTACACTCACAGTGTAGCGGGAATTCACAAAACTCAGGCTCAGCTCTTCTATTTACATATTCCCCCAACTACACCCATAGCAAGAAAGTTGCTAGAGCTAAGCAAGTTCTTATCCCTAGTGCTTACTATGCAGTTGTCACCCCTTTCTCCAATAAAAAGCCCCTGAACTACAAGAATTTATCCCTGCTACTAAGATGGGAGACTCCTCAAGTGTCCTGAACAACGGTTTTATAACTGCTAAGGAGTCAGATTGCTCCAGGAGCCATTATTTATAAAGCACAGAAAGGCCAATACTTGAAGCTATAACTACAGTAAAAACTTGTTTAAACTAAGGATTCAATATATAATCCCATCAGCTCAGTCTATGATTCTACAGACACAAGCAAACCAAGCATTTTTTGGGTATGCCTTCTGCCCATTAATTGCAGGTGCATTATGTAAGCATAACTGCTATAATACTTAAGTTGTATAATACAAAAGAAGCCTAATATACCCAAATGTCCTATTAAAACTTGCCATTCAGTAAGGCTATGCAACTTGCAGAGTACTCACTCGTGCATGTATACTTGGAAGTAAGCCTCACTGGATTAAAGCAGCTTATTGCCAGGCATGTGTGCAGACAGCAGTTAAATGATTACGAATCATTCATTAATGCATTTTTTTCATATAAGAAAAAAATATTCTGTGCTCATTTGTTCCCTCTCTCTCTCTCTCTCTCTCTCTCTCTCACACACACACACACACACAGGCTTAATGGTGGAAAGAGAGCATCCCAGATTTACCTGTATAGTTTGGAATGGGCACTTTGAAAGGTTTTGACAAAATGCTGCGGATAAAGGCCTCCTGAGATTTAAAGAATAAAAAAAATGTAAGTTTAAGATTATAAACATTTAGTCTAATTAAAACATAAGCTTGAAAGAATATTGCAGCAGTCTCAAAGGCATTAATGTGAAGCAAACATTTAGATTTAACTAGCTAATAATATTAGCTATTTTGCATATATATACATATATATGCATATTTAGAAACATGCATGGAGTCTTGAACCTAGGCCTTCAGCGTGCCTGCAATATTTAGCTTATTCAAATATTTAGAAACTGATAAGCCCAGATCTTTTATTCATATATCAAGAGTCCATTAACAACTGGATGTCTTATCATCCTCTTCTTTTATATTCTAAAAAGGTTAGATAAATAATTCATACTATTTGAGATTAAAGTTGATTTAAAAAGGTTTATAGCCTTTTTGTCCTACCACTTCAGGTCCAGAAAAAAAGGGGGTATATAAGCTCATCTATGATGCACACCTTTTCTCACTAGTATAATATGTGCTGCCCCACAACCAGAATAAGTTTGATGAAAACAAAGAGATCACTTGCATGTCTGCAGCCATCAAGAAAATGAGACTGATTGATTAATGGAGCCAAAGGTTTTCGGAAAGGCGACAAATAACACTCTCTATTTTCAACTTTGCTGCCATGTTTCTGCCTCTTCAGAGTCTAGAACAGATAAGACATACCACATGAGTATTTGGAGGATCCAGACATATATGGACACAGAAGCATCAAACTTCTCCAAGTTAGCTTTGAAGATCATATTTAAGTCTGAGAGAATCAAAGCAAACTTATTCCAGTGGATAACATAGCTGCCTCCAGTCCTTTAACATCAAGCAATGGGGAGCAGAAGGATAGTGATCACCAGCCAACTCCAGTCTTCAGAAGTAGTAAATAGAGTGATGGACTGAGAACTCACCTCAAATCCTGCTCAGCCAGGAAGCTTACAAATGCCACCTGGAGCTCCCCTGAAGGAAGTAGGGGATTTGAAAGTTAAATAATTTGTCAGTTTCCAATAAATGCAGGCAGAGACCAGAGTTGCAAACCTATGTGGAAGTAAGCCCCTTAAACTCACCAAGACTTACTTTCAAGTAAAATTAAGCTAGCATGAAAACAGTAAAATGGAGATCAACTATAGTGTCATGGAAGGCTTAGAGCACATACCATCAGGAAGCTGGACAAGAAATTTCATGTTGCTCTTGAACAAGAACAGAAAAGCAACAGAAGACTTCCACCTCCAGCCAGATACAACTAAGTCTAGCATAACGACTTAATATAATGACATTATCCACAGATAGAAAAAATCCTCCCAGATGAAATACCAGCCAAACAAGATGCAGCATTTACAGGATGCTTACAGCTTTAGGAAACCAGTCCTCATCATCCTCAGAGCCATGAGTTTCAGGCTTCCTCTTGGCCAGCTGGCTAGGAGCCAGGCTTCTTCTCTGCAAGACACGGCCAGAAAAAAGAAAGCAATAAGTGCATGCTTACAAGGAACCATATATAAAACTTGCATTTGCAATGAAGCATGGATATACTGCATTTCTGAAACATTTTGCAGGGTGCATTTAAGTTACTATAATACTTAGTTCTATGTTAAGTAATACCATGGAGTAATTATCTGTAAAAGTAACAGAATAAATGGCAACATCATCATCACACAGACAGTGCAACGGTCATAGGAATCTCTTCCATTCCCATCTTGCTTACCATTTCCTCCCAGGGGAACTATTTTCCATCTACGCAGAGGTTGAGAGATACTGGTAACCGCGAAGACTACGGAGAACAGACATTCCAGGGTTTTCAGACGAACAGGACGGCAAGACTCTTGCACCAGGAGAGATGAGGCTTAAAACTATCGGGGACTGAATTAGAGGAAGGCGGTGGAGGAAGCTGGACCCTCTAAAGCGAAAGCAGCAGGGCTGGCTCAAGAATTGTGAACGCGAAGGATGAGAGCGAGCAGGGCAATAAGACCTGGAGAAGCCACCTAAACGCGGCTGGGAAGGCGGATCCCCTGCGGAGGACGCGGCGGCGGTTAAGGAAAGGCCGGGCGGCAAACGGAGGGGTGCGCGAGCTTGCGGAGGCCACGGACAAGCAGCAAGACAGAGGAAGCCGAGCAGGCGCTGCCTGTGCGAATTTCTTTCCTTGTGTTTCCCGCGCGGAGGTTTTCTGGCCTTTCGCCCCGCCCCTCGACTGAGACCCGCTCGATCGCGCGCCGAGCGAGGGGCGGGGCTATATCGATCAGCTCTGCGCTCCCAGCCACTACAAAACTGCGGGGAGGAGCTAACGTGGAGCGAGCCGCGGATGTGGGACTTAGAGGGTCCGTACTGGGGATTCTCCGCTTCGAATCTCCCCTTAGCCACCCACCTGCAGCCAATTTATTTTCAGCCGTTTCCTAATAATCTTTAAGACGGACTTTGTCAAGTAATAATAATTCCTTCCCGTTCGATCCAAAGCAATGTTTGTTATACAGTCACCTACGGATATGCTATGAACAGTTGTCCAACACATACGAAAAAGTATATACAGACAGTCGGTGATGGTGCAGAACGGTGGAACCAACCTGATGTATTAATTGACAATAGATTTAGGACAAAAGAATGGATTTCTTCACGTTAGGAATAATGAACTTGTGAATTCTCAGCAACGCACTACATTAATTGTCATTAATTCATGGAAATAGCTCTTTCAAGTAGTGATTAGCCATGAAGATAAACAACTCCTGAAAAACACATAGCTGGGAATGACTTCCAACTTCATTTCCTGTTTGCGAGCCTCTCAGACTGTTGGAAACCGGATACTGGACTAAGGATATAATCTTATCAGTTGCACCCCTGGTGACAGGAAGTCTCCAAACTTGGAGGTATCCAATCTTCCAATGCAGAGTGGGTTTAGCCTATCTAGCAAGGGCACTTCAGAGAGCAGGATAACTTGTACCCTACTTCTCCATTCTCCTCTACTTCCTTCCCCATCCACTGGAATACCCCATTTCCTCCCATTCTGAGGATTCTCTGCATGCTGGCTTCAACAAGGCAAGGTTGGGGGTTTCTGGTTGCAGCCTGTTTATGTTGATAAAGTTTGTGTGTGTGTGTGTGTGTGTGTGTGTGTGTGTGTGTGTGTGTACACATATAGATAGTTCTTCCTTCAAAATATCTGAGATGCATTGCATGGAAAGTATAGCCAATTAGTTTCTTCTGAAACCTGAAGCAGTGCAGGGTGGTAGTGCCTAAGCATCCGATGTGGGACACATCTGAATCGTGATAGCCGTTCACTGGTTCTTCATTAATTTTGTGGAATTATATCTGAAAATGTCTGTTGAGACCACTGTTTAGACAGTTAAAGACCAGCAGCTGTTGTTTCTAAGGAGGCATGTTTTTCCCCCTCTTCCTCCTTGTTTGAATTGCTGCTCTTCCTGATAAACAAGTCTCTGTAGTGCCCAGGTAAGTAAGAAGCTGCATGCATTTCTCTGCATGTGAGAAACAGGTGTATTTACCTGAATATCTGCCACATCAAAGGAAGCACCCTGTCCATTTACAGGATATACAGCTTCAGCAGAAGCTCCTCACTGGAGGAACAGTGAATAGACCATTTACTGCAATCCCTTTTTCCTCCTGCAGGAATCTATCTGTGCTGCCACTACTCTGTTCCAGATTGTCTCCCAGTGCTCCAGAGCTGATTGCTGGGGGAAGAAGGGAACAGAAAGAATCACCTCTCATCTGGCATTAGGGATCTCTGCATGTTGTAAAGCTGCATCCAGTTTAATATCCTGCCAAATATGCTTCCCTTGATAGGCCTTGTGGTACTTTCTTTTATTAAAAATTATGTGATCATTCTTAGAGGAGTTATTTTCTCCTTCTGTCATTAGCAAGTGCTGTTCAAGAATGATATTTAGCCTGGCATCCATGTGAAGTGGGCAGCCTGGTAGCATATTCCTGCAATACCTGGAGCTGCTAAGGTAGGGTTAATGCCAAAATAAGGTCATCATGATGCAGTGCATGCTCAAGCGGCAAAGCAGAACACCAAGGTACAGGATAATAGCCAATCATCACAGAGTGGGTGGTACAAGGACCAGTTACTTCATTTTGGCAACTGTTAGCTACAGGCTGTCCAACAGTTTACTCTGTTTTGCCAGCCCAAGAAGGTCTGATCTTCAACATCCTTTGCTTTTTAATAACTTCAGGGGACCATAACTTCTTAGGCTTGGATGGGGCCTTGTAAGCCAGTTAGCTCAATCTCCAGTTCGATGAAATATCATTTCATTGACTCCCTCCTGTCTCTGCCTCATGCAGCGCTGTCACCTGGTTTATCCCACCAGCTATACTCAGCCAGACAACAAGCTGTTGCCCTAGGCCTCTGATGCTTGGCAGTACCCCAGCAGCAAGACCATGCCCAAATTGCAAATGCTAAGCTCTGATCAGAGACATTCTGCTCGCTTTGTGTGCCACATTCCATCCTCAAAATAGTTAAAGGGAATAACAAGGGTGGTGCTGAAGGGGGAAAAGAAAGCATCAGTAGACACTTTAAAGAATAAAACTTGGTGAACCACATTGTAGTTATACTGTTAGTTCTGACAGCATCACATTGAAATACGCTTTGTTCTTTTAGGCCCTACAATTGAAAGAGGGACAATATAGAGATCAGAAAGTGTTTAATCAGAGAATTCCAGCGAGCCAGGCTTGTTCATTTGATTTTGAATTAAAGTCTCTACCATTCCACTTTAGAACTTCTTTTTAGACTCAGCAACCAGTACTAGCCATTTCTGTTTCAGGCTTGGTGAGTACAGAGCTTTTATGTATGATGATAACTGGCTATTTTTTCTGGCATAAATAATGATTACATGAATAGTTCATGGGGAGGAGGTAATTTCTTTTCTGTGCTGTTCAGTGAAATGTGTAGAGTAGAAGAAATTGGATTAGTCTCCCCTGCTAAGCACTGCCGTGATGTCACCAGAATACCAAGCATGTGCTCAGTAATGGGCATGGTCCTTCAGGGTGTCCACCTGAGAACTTTTATTTTTGATTACAGAAACATAGAAACAGAGCGAGTCAGAAGGGACCTCCCAGGCCATCTAGTCTGACCCCTGGCTCCAGCCAGCTCTGCTCATGACATTCCCACCATGTGCATGTCCAGCCTATCCTTGTACACCCTCTCCAATGGGGCTTCAATCACTTCGCATGGAAGCCCATTCCATACCCTTGGGGTCATAACCACTAGGAAGTACTTCCTGGCATCAAAATTGAACCTTGGTTCCCTGAGCATTTCTCCATTGGAATGGATCCTGCCCTCCTCTGCAGGGGAAAACAGGTCTCTATCCACCCCGTGTGGCACCCCCTCACATACCTATATGTTGGCAACAGATCCCCTCCGAGTCTCCTCTTCTCCAGGCTGAAAAAGACGCAGCTCCCTCAGTCTCACCTCATACAACTTTCCCTGCAATCTGGCCACAGTCCTTGTGGCCCTACGCTGCACCGATTCAAACCTGGCAATATCCTTCCTGTAATGTGGAGCCCAAAACTGAACATAATGCTCCAGTTGTGGGCACACCAGAGTCGTATAGAGTGGCAGTAACACCTCTCTTGATCTAGAAGCCACACTTCTGGCTATTCATCCAAGGGTGGCATTCTTGACCACCGCATCATACTGCTGACTCATGTTTAGCCTACAGTCAACCAGTACCCCGAGGTCCCTTTCACAAGTGCTGCTCTCCAGCCACTTGTCTCCTGTACTTATGACACCCATTCCTATCCCCCAAGTGCAAGACCTTCCACTTATCTGCATTGAATGGCATCCTGTTATCCCCTGCCCACTTCCATAGTCTGTCCAGATTCTTCTGGATCTGGAGTACCTGCTCCTTGTCTGTGAATTTGATCAGCAGACTGGTCACCCCCTCTTCCAGGTCATTGATGAAAGGATTGAACATGATCAGTCCCAGGACAGAGCCCTGGGGAACCCCACTCATCACTGGCCGTCATCCTGATGATTCCCCACTGATAGTAACCCTCTGCTTTCAGTCCATCAACCATGCCCTAATCCACCAGACAGTGTATCAGCCTCTCCCAAAACTCTTCAGTTTCTCAACTAGGATATCATGCGGCACTTTGTCAAAGACCTTGCTGATATCCTGGTAAACTACATCCATGGCATCCCCTCTGTCTAGCCACCTCAAAATCTTGTCATTCTATGTTCATCTTGCAGGTTCATCTTGCAGAACCTGGTTCATCTTGCAGAACCTCCCTTCAAGGTTCATCTTGCAGAACCTCCCTTCCCTATCTAGGGTTACTAGATCTCTCACAATCTTTCCGTTGTCTTTCCTAAAACTAACCAGTCTGTAATTCCCCATGTCCCCTTTACTACCCTTTTTGAAAATTGGGACCACTGATGCCACCCTCTAGTCCTCAGGAACCTTACCCATTCTCCACAAGGCCTCAAAAATGGAAGCCAACAGGCATGAGAGTACCCCCGCCAACTCCCGAAGTACTCTCGGATGTAACCTGTCAGGGCCTGGCGCCTTTGTAACATCCAGTACCCTAAGGAACTTCTTGACTTCTATGAGGGTGACTCCAATCTGTGCCCCTAAAATCCCTGGCTTCATCTGGTCTCCCATGTAGATCTCCCCCGTCCTGCTTTAGAGAGAAAACAGAGGCAAAATAATCTTTTGGCATTTGTGCCTGTTCCCTCACATCAGTCACTGAATCTCCTTCTTCCTTATTTTTCAATTTTCAATTTCAATTTATATCCTGCCTTTTTCCTACAAAGAGCTCAAGGCAGCTTACATCATTCTTCTTCTCCATCTTATCCCCACAACCACAGCCCTGTGAGGTAGGTTGGGCTGAGAGTCTGTGGCTGGCCCAAAGTCACCCAGTTGGCTCCATGGCTGAGCGGGGACTAGAACCCAGATCCTCTGAGTCCCAGTCCCATGG